GGTGCCCCTGAATTGTGAATTTTAAAAGGGTGAAATGTATAGTATATAAACAATGTCTCACAAAGTTACTACTATATAGTAAAGTAAAAATGAAGAGGGTGGAGATGACAAAGGAGCAAGAAGCATTCCATAGGGTTGTTTGGCGCTAAAAGATGCCAGCCTATTCGGCATCAAGAGGAAAAGCAGGTATTTGCAGACAGTGAATGAACTCAGCACCAGCCAGGAGCTGTGGACCCTGAAGACAGATCCTGCTCTTCCAAAGGATCATGGGAATTCGGCATGGCTGTCTGATGGCTGTGCAGCTCAGTCATATCTGGCTTCCTTCTGCTTAGGCCACATCCTGAACTCTGCTAATCACACGGCTTTTAAAAAGAGGAAAACTTCCTCGGCAATATGATAACAAAATGCTTCCTGAAAGAAAAGCAAATAAAGGCCTACATTCGGACAGACGCCAGAGGTGAATGAGGGGGATCCCAAAGCTTAGCCTACCCCAGAGCCTCAGGTGCCAACTCCACATTTGAAGGAGGTCCCCTGAGATGTGAGATGGGCAGTGGGCAATCTCTTCCAGGCCACAGTCTCCCAAAAGCAGCTACCCCCAACCACAGCCACTTCCTGGGCAAGTTTTCAAATCCTCGGACTGCTGCCAGAGCTAATGCAGCGCACCAGCAGTCCCCTCAAACCAGGCAGTATCATCTTCAGCATTATCCTAGGAGCTGAGCACATTCTGAGTTATATCCTGTTAAATCTTCCCAACAAGGACCACCAGACTGTGCACCAACATCTCCCAGAAGTCCCCATCTCTTCTTGCTCAAATCAACCCTGAATATCCTTGTTTTATAAGTCAATCCATATAATTCCTACAAAAGATGAGATGTTCTTTAAAAAAAAAAAAAACTACTCCAGAAGATGGGGCAGCTGAATAAGAGGATAACATCTTTTAATCCTGGAGAGGAAGAAGGGCTAGAAATAGAAATGAAAGACTGACTACTTGTGTCACCAGTGTTGGGACATCAGTAGAGAAACTGCTGATGGTCAAGCAGACTTTCAGTGATTTGCCTTGAAGGTCCTACCAAGTCCAAGTCCCACAGTGCCATCACTAAACAAGGCCAGAAGCCCCAGATCAAACACAACTTTGTGTCTTTCCCTCATGACCTGTGGATCCTTCCTAATGCTGAAAGGACCTGAGATGTTTAATATGCATGCACAAACTCAACTTGCTCTTCTTAGGTCCAAACAGTTTTATTTTTTTTTAAGATTTTATTTATTTGACAGAGAGAGAGAGAGAGCGTGCGCAGTAGCGCACACAAGCAGGGGGAATGGCAGACAGAGGGAGAAGCAGACTTCCCGCTGAACAGGGAGCCAGATGTGGGACTCAATCCCAGGACCCTGAGATCATGACCTGTGCCAAAGGCAGATGAGGTCCAAGCAGTTTTAGAATCCAAGTGTTCAGGGTGCCTGGCTGGCTCAGTTGGTGGAACATGCAACTCTTGGTCTTAGAGTTGTGAGTTCAAGTCCCATATTGGGTGTAGAGATTACAGAAAAGTCTTTTATAAAAAAAGAACTGAGCATTCTAGTCTTAAATATAATTTTGGAAAAAGATGAAGAATTCTGATTTCTTGGGTACCTACTCCCAGCCTTTCCTAAGCAGCCCCACCCTATTTTGGCCCCTGCAGGAGGGTCTCCTGACCTTCCAGTGTGCACCCCTACTTTCTCCTGATCTAGGGCAGGGGATGGAAAATTTCCAAGTGGAAGGACAAAAGGGAACCTCATTCTTTGTCAGAGCAATGCTCTCCTTACCACGGAACAATGGGGAAATGAGTTCAACTCAATAAACAACATTCACCAATCAAATGTACCAGAAAACTCAAGAGGTCTTAAGAAACATGTTTTGTAATTCCACTACCACAAACTCCACCAACACACGGCTTCAGTCCAATTCATGAATATTTACTGCAAGCTGGACCCAGTGTAGCTGCTCCCAGCGTAATGCAATTGTTAAACATCAGTTTTAGACTTACTGTGTACCTGTACCAGGTGGCACTGAGAGAGGCACCTATAACCTAGACCCAGACCTTGTTTTCAAGCCGATGTTATAATAGGAAGTAACTGCTAACCGGCTTGAGTACTTACTGTACGTCAGCCACTGCTTTACAGATACTAATTCCTTCCTCAGAGCAGTGCTTCTGTCTCCCACGTTATTCTTAAGCCCATCTTAAAGGTGAGAAAACTGAAGCTCAAGATGTCAAATAATTTTCCTGACGTGAGACTGAGGAAAGTGGCGAGGTGGCATTCACCCCCAGGCCTTCTGCGGCTCGATCTGCTCAGCTCCAGCAGCAGCAGTAGCCACCAGCACTGGGTCTGGCTTACAGGGGGCACTCAGGGATGCCTGCTGAGAGGAGCTGGCTGGTTAATGTAAGAGGCAGAATGAGAGTGTTTCGCTGAAGGTGCCACAGGCACAGACAAGAGGAAGTTCCTTAATTCTGACTAAGAGGAGCCTAGAGGAAGTGAACCCTGGAATGGGAAAAGGTAAGAAGGGGGCATTTCAGGCTGAGGGGAGCACAGGATCTGTGTAACATTGAGACCGTCTGACAGCTGAGATCCAGTGATTCTATCTATTGGCTAAAGGTATTTAAGCAGATCCAAGCAACAGGGGGCTTGCTCGTCACTAAACAGTGCCTACAACAAAGCCCTAGAAAGAACAGTACATTTGCTAATTTCCATCCTGCGGGTGAATAAAGGGAAAGAAAAAAAGGCATCACCGGTGGGTAATGGGAATGCACAGGATTTCAATATTGGAAGAACCTGTTGTTAAAGGAAACCACCAGAGGTATTCCCTAGTCACCTTCTACATCAGCTCTGAAAAGCACTCATCAATTCGTATCACCTAGATGTGCGGGCTGAATCTCATTAAGAATGGATCCCAAATGACAAGGCCTCTGGGTAACCAAGAATGATCAGCATCCCAGATGGATTATAATAAAACCTCAATAATCCAGATTTTACTGAGAATGACATTATTTTTCCAAGTATCTGGCCTCACTAGCCCTCAAAAGAACAAACCATGGTACTACCTGGTCCCTAAATTGAACACTCCCAATTTTTCCACACCAACCGTAATGCATGTAAGTGTAGTATTTTATTTTATTTTCAAAGATTTTATTTATTTGACAGACAGAGATCACAAGTAGGCAGAGAGGCAGGCAGAGAGAGGAGGAAGCAGACCCCCTGCTGAGCAAGAGAGCCTGATGCAGAGCTCGATCCCAGGGTTCTGCGATCATGACCTGAGAAGGCAGAGGCTTTAACCCACTGAGCCATCCAGGCGCCCCATAAGTGTAGTATTTTAAACCTTCACATGTCTTTCTATGGTTCCAATTTCAAGTAAAGGAAAACAGCTTTAAGCTAATCTTAAAATCAGTAGAGAATGCATTAAATGGTTCTACAATAAAGTTCCCCACTAGAGCTTAGAATGCCCCTTTATTAAGTTCCTTCAAAGAAATTTAAATCTCACAGATAAACAGCATGCCCGACCAAAAAGCTCTTCCCTGCCCTTAAAACGTAGAAATAACCTATTATTTAAAGTCCCAAATAAAACTGCAAACTTCAACAACCTTGATATTTTCTTCTGCTAGGTCTCCCTCCCTCAAGGCTGATTCTGATGGGTGGGTTGGTTAGTGGGTTCTGGGTTCTTCCCTAGCAGACATATCTGAGTTTCTCAAAGTAAGCAAAAAGAATGAAAACAGAAGTGTACATGTTTATAGTATTTATATCACTAACGTGTGATATTGGTTAAAATCTGCCTTAAAAAATGCATGATGAAAAACGCATAATGGGAAAGACTTAAGCCACCTCCTCCTATGAACGATGTAAATGAAGGCCCAATCAGAAAATACCTCCCACCCACCACGAAAAGCACGTTTTAAGTGAATAATGACTATTTCTCTTGATTTCTTTCCCTTCCTTGGTTCACTTCATATAAAATATTCATATCTTCACTATGCGTTAATTCTTCGAATCATATACTTAAATTAAGATCTGCGCCTTTGTAGCATGCACGTTATACTACAGTAAAAAATGTTTAAAAATAGGTCACATTAACTTAAAAAAAAAAAAGGTGTTGCCAGGAAAAACAGCAGGAAATCGGTTTCCCAGCTGCCTGCACCCCCGCACTACCTGCAACCACTTTACAGAACGTCGAAGACGCGAGACCTGCTTATCGAAAATTCTGCCAAATGTCCTCAAAATTTCTCCCTGCTTCGCTCATTTTTGGGCAGCCCGTCTGAGCACCGGCACTCCAAAGCTCCTAGCAGTTGCAGCCTCGCCGGCTGGGAGACGCGAGGGTCGCGCTGCCACTTGAGGGGGCCTGCGGCCCCTCCAGAGCCCTGGGCAGCGCAACCGAGGCCTGCGGGAGCGCCCGCGGGTTGTGGGAGAACCCGGCCCGGGGCTCGCGCCCGCCGGCACTCCTTCCGCCCCTGCCAGTAGGTGAAGTGCCGGATCTGCCCCAGGATGCCGCGAAGCATGAAGCCGGGCCACCTTCAGGGCCGGCTGCAGCTGCCGCTCGCGCGCATTTCCCAAGACGCAGAGTGGGCGAGTGCGCAGGCCCCGGCGACCCCCTGGAGCCCGCTCAGCCTTCCCCAGTGCCCCCCACGCCGGCTGCTCCCTGAGAGGGGGCCGGTCCCCCGGATCCCCTAGGGCATCCAGCGTGGGCCCAGACTCCCCACACCAAACATACTTGCCACCCCCCCTAAGCCACCCCCAACTGCACCCACTCACTCAGGCCACCTGAGAGGGGCCCCTGCCACCGGCACCGCGAGCGCCGCGGCCCTGGATACCTTGCCTAGTTGACCATGAGCCGGGAGAAGGGCGTTTAGCCCAGCACCGCGCTGCGTCCCCGCCCCGCGCGCTCCAGAGCCGGTGCCCTGCGCGGCCCACGGAGGGTCCGCCCCGCCCCCCCGGGGGGTACCTGAAGCCCCCACGCGCCCGCCGCACCTCGGGCGCCCTACCTGAAGGTCGGTGGTTGGGCGGGGAAGTCCGCACGGCGCCTGACTCGGCCATCTTCCCGGGGAGTGGGAATCCTCGCGTAGCCCCCTCCGTCCCGCTTCCAGCCCCGCAGCCGCCACCGCGTTCCATCCGGACGCGCGGGCTGCACAGGCGCACTGCCGGAACCGCCGCGCCGCAACGGACCCGCGCGCACCCGCACGCGCACGCGTCCTCCTCACACAGCGTGCGCACACGGCGTGCACGTGCGAAGTGAGCGCCGGTTCTCACGCCGCGCACGCGCACCTGTGAGGGGCACACTGTCCCTCACAGCGCACAGGCAGGCGGCGTGTACATGCAGCATGCGCACTAGTTCTCACAGCACGCGCACGAACTGCGCGCACTTTCGATGTGCACACCGGTCCTCCGAGCATACACGGCGTGTACATAATTCCTCATAGACTGCTTACACGTAGTGTGTACACACCAGTGTTAAACGCACCTCCCCACAGTGTGTGCACCCTCAAAGCACTGTATACATAGGATGCAGTTTCTCACATTGTGCACGCATCCTCAAAGAGCTGCGAACACAGTGCACATATACCACGTGCACACACGTGTTCACCCAGCGCGCACGTGTTCTCATACACCGTGGGCACACGTCCTCACACAGCCTGTGTACGTTCACACACACGAGGTGTCCACACACATTCAAGCTCAGTCCTGCAGCTCTGGAAACAGTTCCTAGCTAGGGCCTCAGGCAGGCGCCACTGGTGTAGACATCTGATGGACCCTCCCACCAAGCACATTCAGGTTCTAGTTCTCAAGGTGGATGGGCAGCCGGTGCTAGGTTCTCCCTCAGCCCAGCCAAGACTTGCACCACACCGGACAGGACTACGGTAAGCTCACTGGTCAACCTCCCAGGCAAGGCAAGGGGCATGTAGTCGTAGGAACTATGGTTCCTTTTTTCCTGGGGGGAAAATAATGCTCAGTTGAGAAATCTCTCCGAGGACCTCTCTCTCTCTCTCTCTCTCTCTCTTTTTTAAGATTTTATTTATTTATTTGACAGAGATCACAAGTAGGCAGAGAGGCAGTCAGAGAGGAGGAAGCAGGCTCCCCGCCGAGCAGAGAGCCCCATGCAGGGCTCGATCCCAGGACCCTGGGACCATGACCTGAGCTGAAGAAGCTCCAACCCACTGAGCCACCCAGGCGCCCCAGGACAACCTCTCTTTGAAGAAACTGTTAAACGTGTAGTAGCCTCAGGAGTGGAGGTCATGAGCATCTCACCTTCTCAAAGACATATATACTGAAAAAGATGTCTGCATTACGCCAGTTCAAGCTTCCAGGTGTTTACCCAGGTACAGCCTGCCAAGTGATAACTGATCTCAGTGGGGCCCCAGGCTGCACATTTCTCTGTTGGACAGTGACCAGCCCTCTGAGGTTTTAACTCCTACCCCTGGGGGAGGGAGAAATGCCTGATTAAAACACAGAATTAAGCTGAATAAGAGTACAAGATTTTTATTGGGGATGATAAAAACATTCTAGAATTAGATTATGTGATGGTTAACTCCATAAGTATACTAAAAACCACTAAATTTTACATTTTAAATGGGTGAACTTCACAATATGTAAGTTATACGAATTTTTAAAAACCCACCAAAGTCGAACCCTCAGGAACCTGCATCTGAATTAGTAGTGAAAACTTGGAGAGTCCCTTTGTGGCAGAAAAACATGATGAACGTGTTGGTGGTACTCCCAAAGGTGCACAGGGAATAGGGTGTGACTGTGGTGAGAAAGCCAGAAGGGGACTTTAGACAGAAATGAGCAGGAAAGCGGGCAAGTGCAAGCTGGTCCCTTGGCTATTAAAAAAAAAAAAGTTTCTAACCCAAGTAAGATTGAGCCAAGTTAATTAGGGCATGGGAGCCATCTTCACTGGCCCCCCACCCCCGTTTTCCCTTAGAGACCTTGGGTAGTAGTTCATTATTAATCCAACTCTTCAGCTTTTGTCTTGCTGACATGCCGGAATAGCATTTCATCTTGGTTTCATTCTATTTTTTCCTTTCTATTCCCACTTCCATTCCTCCAGTCATAGGCACTTCACTATTTTATTTTTGTAGCTCTATTTTCTAAATATATAGTGTTGTGAAGATATGCATGGTTTTAATTTATATAAATGATATTGCACAATAGCTATCACTGTATTTTCTTGCTTGGAATCGTCAACATCTATTCATTGCAGCTGTATACAAATCAGAAATAGATTAGTCATTCATTCTGGTTTACTTTTTTAAAATGTATTTATTTATTATATATAGAGAAAGAGTGCCCACAAGCAGGGGGAGGGACAAAGGGAGAGGGAGAATCCTTCAGCAGACTCCTGGCAGAGGACAGAGCCGAAGTCCAGAGCAGGCAGCTTAACCGACTGAGCCACCCACATGCTCCTTGGTTGCCTATTCAATCCTTGTCCATCTTTTTATTGGTCTACTTATCTTTTTCCTGTTGATTTCTTTTTTTTTTTTAGGATTTTATTTATTTGACAGAGGGAGAGAGAGTGCACAAGCAGGGGGAGTGGCAGGTAGAGGGAAGGGAAGCAGGCTCCCCGCAGAGTACGGGGAGCCCAATGTGGGACTTGATCCCAGGACCCCAGGATCATGACCTGAGCCAAAGGCAGACGCTTAATGACTGAGCCACCCAGGTGTCCTTCCAAAACTTTTTTTAAAAAAAGATTTATTTAATTTATTTGAGAGAGAGAGAGAGAGAGAGAATGAGCATGAGAAGTGGAAGGGTCAGAGGGAGAAGCAGACTCACTGCCGAGCAGGGAGCCTGATATGGGACTCGATCCTGGGACTCCAGAATCATGACCTGAGCTGAAGGCAGTCGCTTAACCAACCGAGCCACCCAGGTGTCCCCCAAAACTTGTTTTAAAAATAACCTCTACACCCAACCTGGGGCTTGAATTCATGACCCCAAGATCAAGAGTGGCATGCTCTACCAACTGAACCAGCCAGGCACCCCCAAGATTTCCAGAACTTTTTACATTTTTACTTCCTAGTGCAAATGTAATATAGGCAACAGTTTTCCTTGAAAAGACAAGTTCACTTGTGGGTTATATCCACGGATATTGCTGTATTAGAAATTTAAGAAATATTTAGTATTAATTCACTAACCTGATGCTGTAATATAACATACTTCTAAAGAAAAGTAACAACAAAAATATTAACAGTGGCATTTTCACATTTCTGCAAATCTCTTTACAGTTTGGCTTAATAGTGGAGTCTCAGATCTACTTTTCTTTTTAATGTGTTGTAGTATGTTCTTTTGGTTAAAACAGGAATGTAGTTGGAAAAGGGAGAAACATTCTCATAGCCCCTTCAGGTAACTGTATGTTCTTTTGATACTACACCCAATCTTGACTTATGGTAATTTCTTCAAGGTTAGCAGCAATGTGGAATATAAGACTGAATCAATATTCATTCCATTCTGTTACATTAAAATCCCCTGATCACTTAGAAAATACTGGTTGATTCAGCTATGAAGATCTTCCAAATGTCAACACCTTTAATATTAAAGTCATTCATCAATACCATCACTAATCTCTAAAATCTTTACTGTGAAGTTGTAAAGCTATTGATCCTAGTTTTTCAAAACTTCTAATTTTTGTTTAAAAAGCTTAAATCTTATCAACACCAACAAATTCTGCCAGTTCCCTTGGGGCAACAGCCTCATCTCATTCATTTTGGAGAAAATGTTAACCACAAACCCAGGTTTGTCAGTCAAGTAAAAATAGTGTTCCATGAAAAATAGTGGCTAATACAGCTTGCAACTCAATCACACAAGGGTTTTTCCTCAAGACAACTATTACACTGTTCACAGTATGTAGAAGTGCTTTATGTAGCACTTTCTACTTTGTCACATGCAATATTAAAAAGGTGTGTACTCAACGGCTGGATTTAATGAGATTAATAAAATTTATTGCTACTCAGGGGCATTCTTAAGTAAAACTGGCTTTAAAAAGATTTTAGAGCGTGCATACAAGCAAGCACAAGTGAGGGGGCAGAGGGATAGAGAACCTGAAGCAGACTCAGACTACAGAGCCCAATGCAGGGCTTGAGCTAACAACCCTAAGACCATGACCTGGGCCAAAACCAAGATTCGGACGGTTAATCAACTGTGCCACCCAGGTGCCCTATAAAATTAGCTTTTTAGGGGCACCTGGGTGGCTAAGAGAGTTAAGCCTCCACCTTTGGCTCAGGTCATGGTCTCAGGGTCCTGGGATCAAGCCCTGCATCAGGCTCTCTGCTCAGTAGGGAGCCTGCTCCCCCCCCAACCCCGCCCTCTACCTACTTGTGATCTCTGTCAAATAAAAATAAAATCTTTTTTAAAAAGTTGGCTTTTTAAAAAGACTTGAGTTTCTGTATTTGCTTCTGGTAGAGAACCTTTCTTAACAAAAGTTATTCTTACATTTCTAAGGTATTTAAAATAAAAACTATGCATTGATTTCTATTAAATTTGCAAAAATCCAACTAATTCTATACCTGATATTCCAGTGGATCAAATGAGCAATGGAGTATCAGGTATAGGGACTTAACTCAGATTTTGTCTCTACTTTTTGATCTGCTCATTATCAAGTTGTAAACTGAACAAAGCCTGGATTCAAACAAAAAAGACATTTTTTTTTTTTAAAGGTTTTATTTATTTATTTGACAGACAAGTAGGCAGAGAGGCAGGCAGAGACAGAGAGAGGAGGAAGCAGGCTCCCCACTGAGCAGAGAGCCCGATGCAGGGCTTGATCCCAGGACCCTGAGATCATGACCTGAGCCGAAGGCAGAGGCTTTAACCCACTGAGCCACCCAGGCGCCCTAAAAAAGACATTTTTATTTTTAATTAATTTATTTTTAAAATATTTTATTTATTTGACAGAGAGAGGGCATGAGCAGGGAGAATTCCCTCTTGAGCAGGGAGAATGATGCAGGAGATGCAGGACTTGATCCCAGGACCCGGGGATCATCACCTGAGCTGAAGGTAGATGCTTAACTGACTGAGCCACCCAGACACCCTGAAAAGACATTTTTTAAGAAGTGAGCAAGCTGGGGGGGGGGGGTGTAAACAAATTGACCAGAGAGTATCTGCTTCATCCATGGGTCTCTGTAGTACAAAAATTAAAGTCTGTTGAATGTGATTTTGGCAATTTGAGGTCATTAAGGAGAAGTGATCTACCATTCGAAAACATCTTCTGCATAGGTTTGTAACAAACTCAGTCACCCACAAAATGCAACCCCATATTTGAAGTCTGAATGTATTCATTCAAATCAAACAACCAAAAACAGAAAAATAAAACATGAAGTATACATTTTCCCTCAATCACGACTGGTTTTCAGAAGAGCATCTTCATGAACTTAAGTTTAAATAGTTAAAAAAAAAAAAAGTTCAGACAATTCGTAAAGAATCAACTGCATACGGTTAAAAGTTATTTCATATTTTATTTTCTAATTGTAATAGTTTGCATCCATTTTTTTACATAAGTCCAAACCTCCAAATCAGTCAATACTAATTAGCTGTCATGAATCTATATAGTAAAAGGACTCATTAGACTTAAGAAATGAAATATGACCAGAGCTATCAATATTAATAACTACAAATTTTCTCTAAAGAAATATAGAGTAGTTGGTATTTTGCAAAACATCCATCTTTAAGCAATTTAAAGACTTGTTAGTCTAATGCTGAATTAAATGAGGGTAACAATTATTTTAAATATTGTACCAACATGAATGTATGAATATATATGTTCTACAAGTTTCTTTTATTATAGGAACTAAAGACTGTAAGTGAAATGGTAAATAGAGAATATAAAAGATGTGCATATTTGATCTTATACAGTCCTGGGTACTGAGTGAAAAGCAGCAGACACTGCACTAGGTGCAATACACATACAGAGACATAATTAGTCCCCTGCCAATTCTGTAGGTACGATTCTCATCACCTCCATTCTTACGGTAAGGAGCCTGAAATTCACACAAGTGAGAGAAGGTGCCCGTGGTCACCTGCAGGTGAAGGGCAAAGTGGGGGTTGGGGCACAGGCCTCCTGACCACAGGGCCCATGCTCTCTTACTCTCTATCACACTGCCTCCTAAGCTCCCAGCAGCCGTGGGGGGAGAGAAGACCCACTCCAATACTTTCCAAATTCCTGGGTTGTTCACTCTGTCCCTGAGGAGTTATCTCAATGCAGCTGTATGAATATTTTGTTCTTTTCTGAGTAGGAAGAAATGAGCAAAGATAAAAAAAGCAAGGATAAAGAGAACAAGTTTATGGTAAATCAAAAACACAAAAGTGGTGTGTAAAAGTTCATGGGAGTCCAAACCGTATAAATGAAACTCCTCTTGCTAAGCAGGATAAAGATCTAAACATCTCCTACCAATATGAGTCTTAATTTTTAGGACAAGTAACATAAAGAACCTCACTTTCATTCTGATGCTGTCAAGCTACGGTTAATACTGGCTATTTTAAAATCTGTAGGAAATAAAGTATAAATCCAGATAGCTATTTTTATTTCAAACATGCTTTTACCTAACTTGATTACTCTGTTGTTCTGAAGTCAGTACTGACAGTTTATATTTACTAAAGATGTTATTCACCATCCTATGATTTAGTATTTACATAAGATAGATGAGATTAAGTTAAACTACAAGTCACAAGGAGTTTTGCAACCAACTATATTCACAGCCATGATTCTGTAACTGTGGTGAGTAAACCAACGGCCATTCCTTAATAAAATACAAGAATTTTCATCATGCATAGTTTACAGGTTCCTTAAGAGGTGGTCTCTTAAGAGGCTGAAAGTTCAGAAAAGGTTCAACAGTCAAGCAATTAAATCTTGGCAAGTATTTTTTCACACAAATGCTTGGTTTGGTTTTTGAGCCACCTTAGTAATACAATTTATTTATACTCTAACTGGAAGTAGAATCAATACTGCATGAAAAATGCAAGCCCATCAAATTCATTAGTAATAATTACTATACCTGCTTAGCAGGAAGAACAATTATTCTTGGATTTCAAACATTTTATTTTCTTTCAGGGCATACCTTATAGCCTTGTGTTAGTGAAATCAAAGAATATAACCAAAGAAACCCCAAAGCCAAAAAAAACCCCAAAACAACAAAAAACCACAGAAAACCTTAAACAAAAACTCAACAGAACAACACACATACACACACCAAAAAACAAAACAAAAACACCAACTAAGGACCACTTCCATTTCTCATATGAAATGTAATCAATGAAACTATACAAATTCCACATTAAAGTTAGTAAAACAATCCCTCCAAGGAGTGTTGCATATGACCTAGAACTTTACCATTTTATAATCATTATGATTTGAGATTTTCCAGGATGCAATGGCACTAGATTAAGCTCTTACTACATAGGCAAGGAAAAAAACTGTCACTAACACCCACATGAATGGGGACCATACTTGTAATTTTCAGACTCTTTGGACGAACCATATTTGTTAGAGAAGCTAAGCAGACAAAGTAATGTGTGAGTTGTACCATCCCTACCATGAACTGTACCACAGACACAGAGTTACAACATTCTTGGTAAAACAACAGGGGAAAAGGATCTACATATACACCACAAATTTAGTAAAACACTTTTTATACAGAAGCCTAAATATCTTAGGAAGTTTAGATTTTGATGAAGATAATCACTAAGTTGATTTTTCAAGGATAGTTTCTTACAAGTCTTAAAAACCAGCCCATGGACTCGGATGCATTCCACCTAGGTAAGTCTTCAGAACTCCAGAGAATAAGAAACATGAATTCCAACTGTCTACTCATTTCTATTCTCTGATTTAATGTTTTATAGTACCTCAGATTCTGATTCCACAGTTTGCACACTTACAAATAAACATGAGATTAGAGAAGATTTGCTTATTTTTTGAAGCCACATGAAGGTTTATTTCCCTTTGTAGTACTTTTCATCATTGAAAACATCTCTGGAGACCAGCAGAATAAAAGCTTCACAACCTTAATGATGGAACTCTTCATTGCATAAGATTTCAATGTGGCTAGTGAGGTCTAAATAGCCCCGCCCTTAATTTCATCTTGGTAGAGTTGAGAACAAAAACTGAGTAATGGAAAAATCCAAATTCCCAATAAAATATAAGCAAAACAAATCTTTACACACAATAAAATATATCCTAAACACAAAGTAAAGGTATAATATACTCTGCAGCATGACACTGTCTTTATTTCTCAGCAGTACTTCTTCCATTTAGAAATGAGAAACCATCTTTTCAGTAAATTGTTATTCCCTTCTCTTTTTACAGCTTAGGGATAGTTTGAAAAAGACTTAAATTGTACAGTTGTTAGGAAATTAAATTTTCATTTATACATAATTCAAGAGTTTATAAACCACTCAAAATTGTAGCTTATATGTATATGATGTCTGAAATAGAATGACACTTTTAACAATATTTTTGTTCTTTAAAAATATTCTACATACATGCATATGATCAAAAACAGTCTTCTTGTTTGGGAAATTTCCTATGCACAGTAAGAAAAAAAACCTGACAACTATATCAACGTTTCAATGTCAGGATAACTGGGTGCCACCTACTGTTCAATTCCTAGAACTACTAACCTTACAAATTAAAAATTGCTATTAAAACCTAGGTTCTAAAACCTGCATTTTGGAAATGCTTTTTTGTTGATACATTTATATAGTGGCAAAATAAGATCATGAAAAGAATGTACATGATATCAAAATTAGTACAAAAATAGCCACATGCTACTTAAATATGAAAAACTGACCTAATCATTTTTTACTTCAAATGCAGAGTTCTGCTTCTTTTAAATTGTATCAAAATCTCAAGGGAACATCGAAGTAACTGGAATATACAGAAAGTCACTGTACAGTTGACAGGCTAGTCAAAGTTAGGGCTTAATCATAATCCATGAGTGTAGGGCAAATGGTTTATTCAAAAGATTCATTTACTTATGGGAAGCGGCCAAAGTAGGAAAAGGAGTAATGCATTTCCCCCCACTTTTTAAAAATAGTAGATGTGGTCTTTTACCCATAAGCTCCAAAACATCAAAAGAACAAAGGGGGCTTAACTTTTCACTTAAGAGTTACCAGTTTTTAAAGAAATTACCAGTTTTTAAAGAAATACTTTAGCATTACCAGTTTTTAAAGAAATACTTTAGAAACAAATCAGTCTGCTTTAACAAACTGTATTAATGCTAATGAAATTTTAATCTTCCTTAACAGGTCACAGCCAAAATCCAAATTGTGGGAACAATCCTCAGAGAAATTGGAATGTAAAATGTTGAATTCAATTTAGATCTGGAAGAGAAAAGAACATCAGATCAAACAAAAGAATTCTTATCTTCCAGCAGTCTACCACATAATGGAGCCTTGCACACCCTAAGCTACCTTTGAAGAGGAAATTCTATACACTGGGTTTCTCGCCATTGGTTTGTTGCCAGTAAATCTTTACAACCTCCTTCAGAATGTCATGCCATGCAAAATATTCTTTTTTTTTTTTTAAGATTTTATTTATTTATTTATTTGACAGACAGAGATCACAAGTAGGCAGAGAGGCAGGCAGAGGGGGCGGGGGGAGCAGGCTCCCTGTTGAGCAGAGAGCCTGACGCGGGGCTCGATCCCAGGACTCTGGGATCATGACCTGAGCCGAAGGCAGAGGCTTTAACCCACTGAGCCACCCAGGCGCCCCCATGCAAAATATTCTTAATAAAGTTTAGTACCTCTTCCCTTTTTTGTTAGTGATAAGAGATTTTTTTGTTCTGGGGTGGAAGCAGACACACAGGAGTATTATCTGAGAAAGAGAGGGGTCTGGCAGTAACCAAATTCTCCTCTCAACCTGGTTTTAGAAACAACTAGCATTACCTATAAATGATCTGAAGAAATGTCTTGGAAACGTAGGGTTCTCAGGTGATAAAGCAACCCTTGCTTTATCTTAATGTTCAAGATAACTCAAATTCCTTTGGTATCCACCATCTTTTACCATCTCTTTCCCTGCCAGCGTACTGGGTCCAGTCCTAATGAATCACTGGCACAGATTGTTTTTTTTTTTTTAGAAAATCTTAACTTTGTTTAGATCCTCAACCTATTACCTCTGTGTATTCAAATTCAAATTCATACTCAAAAGTGTTCTCTGATTTGGTTCTTATTTCCAAAAGAGACCTACCCCAGCTCTAAAAATGTCTGGATTGCCCCTTTATTTCCAACACAATTCCATGTCAGGTTCTGGTCACAGAATATAATCAATAAATCTACTGTCAAAGTATCATTAACAAGTCAGTCACAAGAATTCTGTGGCTCAGGGTCTCTAAAGGGAGATACATTAAAAAAACAATGACGTATTTATGTAAAAATTCAGAAATGCATATACACATGGAGGATATGTACTCAAATTCTTAACTCACCCTGATTATTCTAAATGGTCTGAAGATGCATCAAAATATAAGATGGGTTGATGGATGAATAAAGATATAGTTAGATATATGATAAATCCGGTAAAAAAAATATTAATTATAGAACCTGGGTAGTGGGTATCACTTGTGATGCCTAATTCAGACTCCCCGCAGATCAGCCTTTGTATTTTTGAAAGGCCCTGGTAATCATGTCACACAGTCTGAGTCAGGAAAAAATACCCCAGAGACAATGAAATTTCATTTTTGAATCAAACCAAACATTAGCATAATTATTTTTAGATTTATATACATAGGTGGGCTCTCAACTACATTTTTATTTTAAGGAGTTGAAAAAGAGCCCAAACTGGAGTTAAGAGTAACTTATAATACTACCCCAATTATTTAATAAATTTATATTGCCAGAAACTAAGTATGAATTTCACTTAAATACTGTAACAGCAGAAGGGCATTTATTCTGGGGCGCCTGGGTGGGTTGAGCCTCTGTCTTCTGCTCGGGTCGTGATCGGGTCCTGGGATCAAGCCCTGCATCGGGCTCTCTGCTCAGCAGGAATCCTGCTACCCACTATCTCTTTGCCTGCCTCTCTGCCTGTTTGTGATCTCTCTCTCTGTCAAATAAATAAATAATCTTAAAAAAAAAAAGGCATTTATTCTTGTGAGCATCACTGCTTTACCTTTCAGAAAAATAATACATTTTCCTAAAACACACCAACGCCAAACCAAGAGTTTGCCAACAACGCATATCCAATAGATGAAGTAACATAATTGGCGAAAGGTCTCTAAAGATTTATTTTAGAAAAGAGAGGTCCCACGTGGAGAAGAGGCAGAGAGAGGGGGAGAGAGTCTTAAGCAGAACTGAGCGTGGCAGCCAACTGGGGGCTCGATCCCACCACCCTGAGATCATGATCTGAGCTGAAATCAAGAGTTGGATGCTCAACTGACTGAGCCACCCAGAGGCCCCTGGAATTACAACATATGTTAAAAGCCTTGTTAAAACTGAAACCTTCTGGGGCATGTGGGTCAAGCATCTGACTCTTGGGTTTCAGCTCAGTTCATGATCTCAGGGTTGCGGGATTGAGGCCCGCACATTGGGCTCCATGCTCAGGGCAGAGTCTACTTGAGATTCTCTCTCTCCCTCTCGCACGTGCTCTCTCTAAAACAAAACTAAACATTTTAAAAAATGTTGTAATTCCAATGTTCCATATCAAGCTACTTAAAAAAGATTCTTCTAATATACCAGTATTTCAATTAAGGCATGTTTCTTTGAGAAGATCTTCTATTTCTTACAACTATCTGCTAAATTCAGACACAGCTATCTCTTAAGATACTTTTAAACGAGTTATGATTCCAATGCCTAGCATTCATATCACCAAAGCAAATACTGATCTTTTCTGGAAGAAATGTTGAAAAGATTATAAGAATTCTCAAAGTATAAGTTTGACTAGTTGTCTTCTAAATAATACTGAGTATTTTAATTCATGGACAAGTCTTGAAATATACCCTAATTCAAGTATTCAACATTTTTAGTTTAAAGGAAGACAGGAGAAAAAGCTGGTATTCTCTGTGGATAACTCAGAAACAAAAGTTGGAAAATATAAGATCCATCTACTCACATCATCGATGTCTTCATCATCATCTCCAATGTCATCGAACTGAATTTCATCATCATCTCCAGGACCAAATGTATCAGTTTCATTGATTTTAGCTAAAGAAACAATAACAAATACACTCATATAACCAAGATAATATTAAAATGGTCTGATATCAAATGTTGACGTATAAAAAGACTCTTATGAGTCAAAGTTATACCAATTCAAGTATAGTTGACATATATATTAATTTCAAGCGCACATGGTTGATTTTGACAATTATATACACTACAATATGTTCACGAGAATAAGCATGGTTACCATGTCACCAAAGTTACTACAATATTATTAACTATATTCCCCATACTATACTTTTCATCCCCATGATTTATGTTAGAACTGGTAGTTTGTACCGCTTAATCCCCTTCACCTACTTCACCCACCTCCCCGCCCCCCAACAACCACTGGATATCTTCTCTATATTTACGAGTCTTTCTCTCGTTTGTTCGTTGTTTTTTTTTTAGATTCCTTAAGTCTAAGTGATATCATATGGTATTGTCTCTCTGATTTATTTCACCTGGCATAATACCCTCTAAGTCTATTCATGTTACTACAAATGGAAAGATTTCACTTGCTTTTATGTCTGAGTAATACTCAGTTGTATGTGTGTATCAATCACATATCCTTTATCCATTTATCTATCAGTGGATACGTGAGTTGCTTCTGTTATCTTGGCTATTGTAAATAATGCTGCAATAAACATAGGGGGTACATACACTTTTTCAAATAAGTGCTTTCATTTTCTTTGTGTATATATCCAGTACTGAAATTACTGGACGGAATGGTATTTTTATGTTTAACTTTTTGAGGAACTTTTTTAACTTTTCGAGGAACCTCCATACTGTTTTCCACAATGTCTGTACCAGTTTGTATTCCTACCAACAGTGCACAAGGGTTCCTTTTTCTCCCCATCTTCGCCAACACTTGTTATTTCTTGTCTTTTTGATACTAGATATTCTGACTGGTATGAGGGGCATCTCACTGTGGTTGTGATTTGCATTTCCCTGATTAGTGATGCTAAGCATCTTTTCAAGGCCTATTGGCCATTTCTACATCTTCTATGTAAAGTGTCCATTCAGGTCTTCTGTCCATTTTTAATTGGATTATTTGGGAGGATTTTTAGGCATTCAGTTGTAGGAGTTTTTTTTGTCTTGTTTTTAAGATTTTATTTAGGGGCACCTGTGTGGCTTAGTATCTCTCCCTTTCGCTCTCAAATAAATAAAATCGTAAAAGAAAAAAAAAAGATTTAATTTATTTATTTGAGAGAGAGAACACGCACATGTGCAGGAGCAGGGGGAGGGGCAAAGGCAGAATCCCCTGCTGAGCAGGGAGCCCTATGCACAGCTTGATCCCAGGACCTGAAAGAAGACGCTTAATCACCCAGGTGCCCCAAGCTATAGGAGGTTTGTTTGCCTTTTTTTTTTTTAAACATATTTTGGATATTAACCATTTATTAGATAAATCATTTGCAAATATCTTCTCTCATTCAATAGGTTGCCACTTTGTTTTGTTAGTTTCCTTCATGGTCCAAAAGCTTTTTGGGTTGACATAGTCCCAAGTATTTATTTCATAAAGATATTTTTAGTAAAGCGGGCTCTAGTTACACAAATTCTGAAACCTTTACAACTTCTAACTATGCCTCAAACTGGTTAGAGCACATGCTAACAACTACCAATCACCAGACAGACTCATCAATCAGAAACTTGAGTCAAATCATGATTATCCCTAAGCAATGAAAATGAACTGGGAAGTGCTGGTTCCATTCCCCAATATACTAGCATTCCCTACACTGGAAATGTTAAGTAAATAATTTTGGAGGATTTTTGTGCTTAAGTAAAATTATATTGTTTTCATAATAATATGCAAGAAAGCCCAAACGAAGAAAAAACACAACAAAATGAAACAAAAACACCAAATGAAATAGATACTTAGGCTTACAAAATAGTATGTAAAGTACATTTCCCCTTTGGTGAGGTTACTAAGGACTTATTTAAGTTTACCGCCTATGAATGCGTAACTTTTGAGGTGCCTGGGTGGCTCAGTCAGTTAAGCATCTGCCTTTGGCTCAGGTCATGATCCCAGTGTCCTGGGATGGATCCCCACATTGGGCTCTCTGCTCAGCAGGGAACCTGCTCCCCCACCCCCGCCCATTCATGCTTGCTCTCTCCCCCTCTCTGAAATAAATAAAATCTTAAAAAAAAATACACAACTTTTGTATTGGTAACAGAGAGACAACATTGGTTTTAAAAAATCCTACAGGATCCTTTAATACTAGGATAAGAACTGAAAACTGACTTTATAAAAATTGACAACAGTACCTAAGTACTATCCCTGCTTCATATTTAAAGTAGATGAACAATGACAATCTCTTGAGAAAGTTATTGTGAATACTGAAATAAATACGGAAACAAAAGTAATCCTCTGATTAGTATTATGCAGAAGTTCAGAGTATAAAATATAACTCCACACCAGAAAGTGTATTTATTAAGGACAGAATCCCAGTTACTTTTTTCTTAAGGTATCCAGTATTATGAAGCAGGCATACTTAAAACGAACCATGTAAACACAAAAGTAAATATGCAAAATTCTACCAAAATTCCTTCACCTAAGTGAAGCACGAACCAAGTACGAACACCATATGACAGGTTAATAAAGTAACTCAGACATTACCATGCTCTGGAAGCTCGCCATATGCCTTCAGACTTCTAGCTTCATCTGCATTGTATTTTAAAATTACATCGGCTTTATTATCCTAAAAAAGACAAGTAACTTTTAGAACTGATTATGCCAAAATATTATTTCCCAAATTATTTTCAAACTGGATAAAAAAATTAAATCTCACTGTGGTTACAATCCTTTTTTCACATTTTAAAGTTTTCTCCTACCTAGTGCGCTTGTTGTCATAAGCACTGGATGACATATGGAAATGCTGAATGACTATACTGTTAATTATACTGGAATTAAAATTAAAAAAAAAAAAAGTATTAGGGGCACCTGGGTGGCTCAGTCCGTTAAGCATCTGACTTCAGCTTAGGTCATGATCTCAGGGTCTTGGGATGGGGCCCCTGCATCTGGCTTCCTGCTCAGCAGGGAGTCTGTTCCTCTTCCTCCCCTTCTGCCTCTAACCCTGCTTGTGCTCTCACTCTCTCAAATAAATGTTAAAAAAAAAAAAAGTATCAAAACAAACAAAACTTTTTAAAAGATTTTATTTACTTATTTGACAGAGAAGAAGAGATCACAAGTAGGCAGAGGCAGACAGAGGGAGAGGGGGAAGCAGACTTCCTGCTGAGCAGGGAGCCAGATGAGGAGCCGATCTCAGAACCCTGACTGAGATCATGACCTGAGCGGAAGGCAGAGGCTTAACCCACTGACCACCCAGGCGCCCCAGAAACAAAACTTTTAAAAAATAAAGTTTTCTCCTACCTTCTAAAAAACATCCTCAGGATTATATAGTATAAAGCTGCTTACATGCATAAATGAATAGTGATCAACAAGCTTAAGGAAGATATTTACAGATCTCACTTTAAAAAGGGCAGAACTGTGCAAACCCAATCTTTTTTTTTTTTTAAAGATTTTATTTATTTATTTGACAGAGAGAGATCACAAGTAGGTAGAGAGGCAGGCAGAGAAAGAGGAAGAAGCAGGCTCCCCACCGAGCAGAGAGCCCGATACGGGGCTCGATCCCAGGACCCTGCGATCATGACCTGAGCCGAAGGCAGCGGCCCAACCCACTGAGCCACCCAGGCGCCCCTAAACCCAATCTTTTAAGTGTTTACTATTATCCTTTGATTAGAAGTCTTCTGGAATACAAAAATTCCCTGGGACCATAATTTACGGGTTGATTAAACAAACTAAAAAAATGTGTATTGTGTAATGACCTAAGGAAATTAATATGCCTTTCCATGAATTAGTGGTTCTTAGAATATGAACCGAATGAAATCTCCAATGGAGCCTTTATATTTCGTGGAGCTAGATCAGTAGAGGCAGAGTGAAGTTAATGAATTTGTATTTTTAAAAGCCCTTTTAAGTGTTTCTGATGTAAATGTCCCACTGAAAACTACTGCCATAGAATGTTCACACTTTCCCATTTGAAAAGAATCCCACTCAGTTAAGGAAGAAAAAAAGTGTTGAAACTGATTGTTTCAACTTCAAGAAGTTCTTTGGACCTAAAAGCAGGACCGAAGGGCTTCAAAGAGGATCAGTGATGCAAAGGCAGCGTGATTCAAACCAGTCCTTCTTGAACTGTGATGTTTATAGAAGTTCAAAGGTAAATTGCTAAAACGCATATTCCAATTCAGGAGGACTGGAGTGGGGTCCAAAAACCTATTATCTCTGACAAGTTCCTAAAAGCCAGTGATGCCACTGATCCCTGGACCACCCTTTAAGTGGCAGGGGTAGAGAAGGTGGTTTGTGGAAGATTAAGAATCAGAAAAGGTTGGTCTTGGCTGTCATTTTATAGTCAGAATTGTACATGTTTTCATATCTTGGGTTTCCTTATCCATCAAACAGAGAACTATTCTTCCTACTTCTGGGGTTATTTTTAAGATCAAGAGAAGAAACTGGACATTAGAATGGTATTTTGTTTTGTTAGAGGGACAGTACACACTTGCGGGGGAGGGGGCCAAAGTAAGGAGAGTGAGAATCTTAAGCTGGCTCCACACCCAGCAAGGAGCCCAAGGCAAGGTGCGATTGTGACCTGAGAGGAAATCAAGAGTTGGACCCTTAACCGACTGAGCCACCCAGGCATCCCAAAATGATATTAATTAAAGCAGGCTTTTTTGTACCTCAGCATTATTCACATTTTGGGCTGGGCAATTCTTTGTTGTAGGGACTGTCCTTTGCAATGTAGGATATTTGGCACCACCCCTTGTCACTATCCATTACATGACAGCGACACTGACTCCCCCAGTTGTGACAACCAGAAATGTCTCCAGACACTGCCAAATAGCCCCCTGGAGGAAACAATTCACTCATGGTTGAGAACCAATCATTTAAAGTAAAGATTTTAATTCTTTATTCTGGAACATATATTTAAAAAAAATCAAGGTAGGATCAAGGCTATAAAAACAGAAACATCACTCACAATGTGATTAAATATATGGTGATGAGTTCCAACAGGGAGAAACCAAATGGCCTACAGAGACCCACAATGAGTAGTCTTCAAGTTGAGATTATGAAGGGTAACTACCATTTTTTCTTCTGGGTGCTCATTCAAATTTAGATCACATACTTCTATCATGATTTCTACCACAGTTACTTGTGTGCCTGTCTCACTCTTTTCACTATCAGGCCATAAGCATTTTGGGATGGGAGCTTGGCTCATTCAGGTGTATCCACTACGGTAACAGTTCCCAGATTTTTATTTCAACAAATATGAATTAAAAAGAAAAGAAAAATTGCCACAGGAGGTCCACCATAAGATTAAATTTTTATTTTAACAAATAAGAACACAAATAAAACCACCACTAACATCACTCATTCCAAACAAGGGAACTTTTTAAATATCAAAAAAGGTAAAAAAAAAAAAAAAAAAAAAGACCATTTAACTTTATGAAAAATTCACGCTGCCTGTTATTTTTTCCATAGTGGAAACACGGACTCCACAAAATGGCCACTTGGGAACCATGATGCCTAGGGTATCTAGCATAATACCTAAAAAAATATAACTGGCCCTTATAAAATGTTTGTTGACACAATGGTGAGCAGCATGCTGGGGTGGAACTGGTCAAATACAGTCATGACTGAAGTTCTAAGCACTAATGGCTCACAAAATTCAACCAAGTGAACAAATGAGAAAAAAATATATACATATATATATTTTTACCTGGTAGTCTCGGAGACCAACCAATATAATGTCTGAAGTATTTATCCAAACCTATGAAAGAAAAGTCACTGCATGTCATATTTAAAAATAAAGAACCAAAGCAACACTGAGTTAGTCTTTCCATAAAACACTATTCACCCAACTGTGGGTAAATTACCTATATTTAGAATAGGAAAAAAATACTACAGTAAGCAGCTGAGATGTTTCAAATCTTCTATAATTTGGGGTGTTAAAATCTTATTTAACTGCCTGTTTATTAATTCCAGAAGAATAATGACTAGATTAGAAATTAAGGAATAGTGAATTACTCCAAGTGGTTAGTTATCCATCCATTACATGTGAGAATACAAAGTTAGAAATGTACTTTTATCACCTTCCCTCTCTTCATTTCACCAACCCACATAACAAGAAGCTGGCAAAACCTCTTTATAGTTTGGTAACGAGATTAAATAATAACCATATAAAATCAGAGTTTGAGGGACTTTTACCCAACTTGATTAATATATCTGCCTCAAAGCCCACTATGATGGGATATTAATCATTCCTTCCAAGGCAGCCCATTGAAGAAATTTAGTATCACCATAACACTAACTGTAATTCCTATTCAAACTTTCTTAACACCCTTTACAACTATTTCCCCCACCCTGAAACCAGAATCCAAACATGGGCCATATACCCCATTTAACCATTAGGTCTCTTTGATCTCCATTCAATTAGAATAGTTCCCCACCCCTTTAAGGTCATTAACATTGCATTAAGAGCCAGGCCATTTGTTTTGTGGGTTTCTCTCAATGTGGATTTGTTGACTGTTTATTCATTATTAGATTCCAGTTAAACATTTTGAGCAGAAAAAAATAGGTGATGCAAATGTGTCTTTAAATGGAATCCATAAAAAATTACCATCAAGGAGTTGGCTGTTTTATCATAGGTAATAAATCACTGTTCTACTGAAATCTTTGGGGAACTTCCAAAAATGAGGTACCTGACCCATAAAAACTATGGAGCCATCTCCCCCCTTAATCACAATTTTAAAGTAAAACAAATTTCCACACCTACCTTTTTTCTCAATTTCCCTCTGATGTGACATAACCTCTTTACACCATCAAAACACATTGCTTCTAATCGTCCATTTCCCAACATTTTGATTACTTGAGCATACTCTGGGGGAGGGAAAACAGAAGTGTATAGGATACTGTTCAACTTTTCAGAACAGCAACTTAAAAATCCACACAAAACTGACTAGAACTGGGGCACGGTCCATTAGGCGTCCGACTCTCGGTTTTAGCTCAGGTTATGGTCTCAGGGTCTTGAGATCAAGCCCCGTGTTGGGCTCTGAGCTCAGCAAGGAGTCTGCTGGAGTTTCTCTCTCCCTCTCTCTGTCTTTCCCCACTCTCCCTCTCTCTTAAGTGAATAGGTAAATCTTAAAAAAAAAAATTTACTAGAACAGGGACAGCTGGGTGTTGCAGTCAAACTCTTGGTTTTGGTTCGGGTCATGATCTCAGGGTTCTGGGATCAAGCCCCGCCTCACAGTCCAATGTCAGCCCAGAGTCAGCTTCAGATTCTCCCTCCCTCTCCCCCTGCCCCTCCTCCTTGCTCTAAGATAAATAAATAAATTGAAAATGAAACAAAACAGACTAGAACACATAGGTATAATGGTTAGGAATAAATATGTGTAGTAAAATAAAGACTAGGGAGTAATAAACACTAAGCTAGTTATTGGTAGAACCAGAATCTAGACTCCATAATGTCCTTTCTATAACAAGCTATCTCTTATCAGAAATGCTTTAATTACATCTATTCATTTTGAGTAAACAGAATGACTACTGTCTTCGTAACTGTAGGCTTTACTTTTGGAGACCAAGGTGGCATGTCCCAAAATGCATATTACATCTCTTCGATCTCTCTCATTTGGAATGTCTCCCAAATTTGGATCTCCTTTCCCTCAGATCCTATAAAGGCTAATTTCAACAATTTGGCAAATACAAGTAGCTTAATGTTAGTTTGTTTTTTTTTTTTTAAGATTTTTTTTTTTTAATTTGAGAGAGAGAGAACAAGCACAAGAGAGTGAGAGAGCGAGCAAGCGAGCACGAGTGGGGGAGGGACAGAGAGAAGCAGGCTCCCAGGTGAGCAGGGTGCCTGATGCGGGTCTCGTTCCCAGGACCCTGGGACTGTGACCTGAGCTGAAGGCAGATGCTTAACTGACTGAGCCACCCTGGTGCCCCAATGTCTTTATTATAAGTCATCATTCAAAGTTTTTGTAAAGCCAGAAAGATGTTCTCAGGCAAAATGCCGAACTTTTAAACAAAACCCTTCCAAAAGGAAACCCAAGAAGCCCCCTGGTTTTATTGACATTTGGAAAACTAAGATGATGAGCATTAGCTTGCACGTGGGCCTGTCTATTCTTCTCTTGTCATTAAATGACAGAAGACTGGAGGTGGATGTTACCTCAGAACCTTTAGCTTACTCAAGTTGTACATAAGACTGACCCACAGAGAATACCCACCGGTCTGTAAGTACACTGAGACCTAACTCTGAAAGGCTCAACCATGGAGTTAACATGCTGAAGTGATTGCTCAGACTATACTGCACCCAGAGCCTCAACATGGTGGGTCAATTCAAAGGCAGCCTCTCTTCCAAAGTGAGGGAAAAAAAACATGAAAAACGTAGTGGTGGTCATAATGAAGGAGGCAGGCCTAACTACGGCTAAGAAACAAAAAGGTCTTTTAGCCACAAAACATGCCTCATTTTTAGTGGCTTATATACACATAGCCATGAACAAAATCCACCAAAGTTCTTACAAAAAGACAATCAAAAAAGGTTCTTTGTTAAAATATGCCGGGAGGTACTAGGATAACTGGAAAATTTCAAAAATAGATTATATACTAGATATATAATATATTCATGTTAAATTATCTGAGTGTGATAATTCTATTGTGATTATATAAGAGAATATTCTTCTTAAGAAACATAATGCAGCAGGTAAGGTAAAAAACTACCATGTCTGTAACAAGCCTGAAAATCATTCAAGAGGGGCGCCTGGGTGGCTCAGTGGGTTAAGCCTCTGCTTTCAGCTCAGGTCATGATCTCAGGGTCCTGGGATCGAGCCCCACATCAGGCTCTCTGCTCAGAAGGGAGCCTGCTTACCCCTCTCTCTCTGCCTGCCTCTCTATGTGATCTCTCTGTCAAATAAATAAAATCTTAAAAAAAAAAAATCATTTAAGAAACACACACACACACACAAATATGTGACGGGTTTAAGGGAGTTCATTGTATGAACACTGCAACTTTTCCAAAGGTTTGAAATTGCTCAAAAATATGGGAAACTAGTGATATGCATCTTCGTTTAGAAAAGTCAATTGTTCAGTTTCACTCTATTCTATGTCCTGAAATTATATGCTAATGGCACTGGAGAAGTGTGGAAAAGGCCTCTAATTCATCCCTCAAAAATCCACAGTCTAATGAAATTACTATGTAGCACCATTTCCTAGCAAAAAAGGTCTACTAAGGGACGCCTGGGTGGCTCAGTTGGTTAAGCAGCTGCCTTCGGCTCAGGTCATGATCCCAGCATCCTGGGATCGAGTCCCACATCGGGCTCCTTGCTTGGCGGGGAGCCTGCTTCTCCCTCTGCCTCTGCCTGCCATTCTGTCTGCCTGTCTCTCTCTCTCTCTCTCTGACAAATAAATAAATAAATAAAATCTTTAAAAAAAAAAAGGTCTACTAAATCATGCCAACTGTTAACCTCAGCTTTTGAGGCTTAGTTCTCTCTGAACTGTATAATTCATTCTTAATTATGAGTGTTCATGCAAAACAATGAAACCCAGACATTTACAGAAACGCCTCCAATCCTCATTGCACACAGGACACCAGGGAATGATTAGAGGCACTCTAGAGAGGTGTGGAGGGCTGAGGAACAGAGAAGGGCAAAGAGGGGCACAGGATGTAATCACTCAGGGTTATGAATAGTTCTAACCTTTTATGTTTTGACATTGAAATTCCATGTTAAAAAAAACTATTACTTAAAAAAAAAAATTCACAGAAACGCTTACCTTGTCCATCTTCTTTGAACACCAACTCTCTTTTTTCAGATTCATTCTCATTCTTACCTCTGCGTCTATTTTTACCTCCTTTACCTGATGGTTTTAAAGAAAAAAAAAAAGATGTTAATTATCTGTACAACAGTATTAAAGAAATAAATGACTCACAGCATGCCTTTAAAAAATCATTTAAACTTAAAAATTCACCTAATGTGGTCACACACTCATATTAAGTTCACAATTTCCAGTCATATCAAACACATCACTTCCCTACTCTTCTTGGGAAATTCCTTTTGGGTTATTTCTCCCATAAAATACCAACAAACTAAAAGAAAGTATTACATAGAATTATATAGATCCCTGAGAATATCTGTGTTCAATGGTCAAAGTTTCTGGACCATAATGACCACTTGGTTGAGCACATTTCTCGGTGAACCTGTCCTACAGTGGCCCACAAGGGCCAGGGTGGGAGATATATGGGTTACCAATAAATTTCCAAATAAATAAGCTCCCTCTTTTATTGGACCTCCCCATGAAAAGTCTGAGTTCAATCAAGTAGGATGAGTTGGGGTGTGGGGTGCGGGTAAAGTTATAGCTCCTGGAATGGGATACACGGATTTTGTGGTGGAGGGAAAAACAACTCCAGCTGATCTGAGAGTTTTATCTTATACCTGTAAGAAAGATTCACTGAGCAAAGTATTTGAAGTTAAAAACACAAGGCACTAATTCCTGAACTTGGAAGCAACCAAGATGTCCTTCAGTAGGTGCAGGAATAAACTGTGGTTTGACACAGGGGAGTATATTATTCAGCAATAACAAGAAATGAGCTACTGAGTTCCTAAAAAACACTAAAGAATCTTAAATGCAAACTGTTTAGGGAAAGAAGGAACCTATAAAGGCTGAATAGTATGCCTCCAATCACACAACATTTTGGAAAAGGCAAAACTATACAAATAGTATTAAAAAAAAAATCAGTAGTTGCCATGAGTTGGGGAGGAGAGGGCAGATGAATATGTAGAACACAGAGGATTTTCAGGGCAGTTATATTATTATTCTGTAGGATACTGTAATGGTGGATACATGTCATTATACATTTGTCAAAACCCACACAATGTATACATGAAGAATGAACCTTAAGTAACCTATGGACTTGTTAGTAATAATGTATCTATACTGGCTCATGTAAGATGTTAACAACATGCTGGGGTAATAAGAGAATTCTAGTTTCTACTCATTTCCCTACAAATGTAACTAATCTAAAAAACAAAGTCCAGGGGCGCCTGGGTGGCTCAATGAGTTAGTATGCCTTAGGCTGTCTTGATCTCCAGGTCCTGGGATAGAGCCCCACAGTGGGCCCCCTGACCCCGACCCTGCCCCAGCTCATGCACACTCTCTTCAAATTAATAAAATCTTAAAAATAAAAAATAGGGGTGCCTGGGTGGCTCAGTGGATTGAGTCTCTGCCTTCGGCTCGGGTCATGGTCTCAGGGTCCTGGGATTGAGCCCCGCATTGGGCTCTCTGCTCAGCAGGAGCCTGCTTCTCCATCTCTCTCTGCCTGCTTCTCTGCCTACTTGTGATCTCCGTCTGTCAAATAAATAAATAAAATCTTTTAAAAAAATAAATAAATGAATAAAATAATAAAATTAAAAAAATAAAAAATTAAAACAAATAAAGTCCATTAAAAAAAAACCGAACAATAAAAAGCAGCTACCCTACAACCCAGCAATCGCACTATTGGGTATCTACCCCAAAGATACAAATGTGTGTGTGTGTGTGTGTGCGCGCGCGCGCACATACACACACACACAGACACACACACACAGGAATACTATGCGGCCATCAAAAAGGGAAATCTTGCCATTTGCAACAATGTGGATGGAACTAGAGGGTATTATGCTAAATGAAATAAGCCAATCAGAGAAAGACAGTTATCATATGATCTCATGGATATGTGGAATTTGAAAAACAAGGCAGAGGAGCATAGGGAAAGAGAGGAAAAAAATGAAACAAGACAAAAACCAGAGAGGGAAACAAATCATAAGAGGCTCTCAATCTCAGGAAACAAACTAAGGGCTGCTGGAGAAGAGGGGGGTAAGGGGGATGGGGTGACTGGGCAATGGACACTGCGGAGGGTATGTGTTGTGGAGAGTGCTGGGTGTTGTGTAAGGCTGATCAATCACTGACCTCTACCTCTGAAAGCAGCAATACATAATATGTTAACGATAATAATAAATAGTGGGATGCAGGAAAAAAAACAATAAAAAGCAATGTGCAAACCAGATGCAATCAGCAAAATCTTGACTGTGGGGGTGATTCAACAAGACAATTTGTTTTCTTCAATAGATTACACTATGAGGGGTCAAAAGACCAGATGGATGGGGAACTTACAGATTTCTTCTTCTTTTTTTTTTTTAAGATTACTTATTTGGAAGAGAAAGTATGAGAGAGAGAATGAACAAAAGCAGGGGTGGGGACAGAGGGAGAGGGAGAAGCAGACTCCCCACTGAGCAGGTAGACTGATGCAGGACTCAATCCCGGGACCCTGGGATCATGACCTGTGTTGAAGGCAGACATTTAACCAACTGGGCCACGCCGGCACCCTACAGATTTCTTAAAAGAGACTTAAAAGATTTGTCAACCAGTGGCAATGTGTAGACCAAATCTGTTTGTTTTTTGTTTTTTCTTTTTCAAAGACTCTGCTGAGCAGAGAGCTTAATGTGGGGCTCAATCCCAGGAGTCTGGGATCATGACCTGAGCCTAACTGACTAAGCCACTCAGGTAGGTGCCCCCCAAATCTGGATTCTGATTTGGTGTGGATGGTGGTCAAGTTTAGATGTGAAGTGATTGTGTCTGGGGCCAGAAAGCGAGTACCTAAAGGTTCCTTATATAGTCTACTTTTGTATTTATTTAAAATTCTTTATGTACATTTAGAAATGAATACAGCAAGGTGAGTAAGGGTATGAAGCTATCACCGGTGTAAAAAAGAAAAATGAAGGGGTACCCAGGTGGCTCTTAAGAGTCTGACTTTTGATTTCAGCTCAGCTCATGATCTCAGTGTCCGGACACTAAGCAGTCCTGTGTCAGCAGCGTGAAGCCTGCTTAAGAGTCTCCCCCTCGGCCCTACCCCACCCCTGCTTTTCTGCCTGTTCTCTCTCAAAAGAAAGAAAGCTGCATATTCACATTTGCTTATATATACATAAAATACCTCTGGAAAGGCATATATAAAAAAAGTTAACAATGACTGCCTGTGAGAAGGAGAACTGGTTTATAATGGGACATGCTTAGGAAAGAGATTTCACTTTTCATACTTTTTGAAATTTGAATTGTAAATACTGTCCAAAAAAAATATATACTTCAACAAAAATCTTACCATGCAACAGACCTAGACTAGCCATGAAGAAAAGAGATAAACAGGAGGAATATTTCTGAGATGGAAACGAGAATTATGACCAGATATAGAGGAAGGGAGAAGGATAAAAGGAACTTTCACAAAAACCTCCCAGGATCTCAATTACAGACTATGTAAAATGAAGGAGTTAAAACAGTAGATCCAAATACCTCTACATTCCTTCTACTATTTAGGATTCTAGAATTTGATCTACTGGTGTCCTTAAAAAACGAATTCTCCACCTCTCCTTGTTTTTCACTTTAAATGACACTAATGATCATTTCCCAACTCTTGTTTTTCTGACTTTTCTTTAAAGATTTTATTAGAGAGAGAGAGAGAGCGAGTGAGAGCATGAGAGGAGAGAGGACAGTGGGAGAAGAAGACTCCCCACCGAGCAGGGAGCCCAATGCGGGACTCCATCCCGGGACTCCAGGATCATGACCTGAGCAGAAGGCAGTCACTTAACCAACTGAGCCACCTAGGTGCCCCTTTTTTCTGATTTTTAAAGGGCCACTTGCACTATTCTTGACTTTTACCAGCTAAACCCCTCCCCATTATGCCTGTTCCTCTGGAGCTTCATTAATTCCAAATTCCCACCTTCTGTTAACCCACTTTCTAAGGAAATTAATTTTTCTCTCACCTATCCCTTCTAAGCTAGTAGTTTTACATCTAAGCCCACTATTTCAACCAAACAAGGGTCTCCTATTTCTAATGGCTCCAGTGAATACTGTCCTCTGTCCTCTTAAGCTCAATTTTATTCAAAACTTTTTTTTTTTTTTTTACAAAGTTGGTCCTAAATCAACACCCTTGTTTCTGTTAGTGGCAACATAACCGCCTTAAAGAATATATCTCTCAAGCATCTGCCTTCAGCTTGAGTCATGATACCAAGGTCCTGGGATCAAGCCCCACATTGGGCTCCTGGCTCAGCGGGGAGTCTGCTTCTCCCTACCCTGGCTTGTGTGCTCGCTTGCTTTCTCTCTCTCTCTCACTTGCTTACTTTCAAAATAATAAAATCTTAAAAAAAAAAAAAAAAAGAATCTCTCTCTCTCATCCTATGAACACACAATCTACCTTCCGCTATCTTGTGCTTTAATCCAAGGAGACTTCTCACTGTCCCAGTAACTCACCCTTAACAAGCCTATGCCTATGAGATAGGTACTATTTTGTCTTCATTTCCCAAGAGATAATAGTCTTTGAAAGGTTAAGTGACTTATCCAAAGCTATATCATAAAATGTGAGATCTGGGATTTGAAGTGAGCAGTAAGACACCACCCCAGTTCACTATACTCTTAGCCACTATGCAATAAAGCCACCCATTTACTTGTCACAATCACCCTATGAAGTAATAGGTCATTTATCCCCAGGTTACCAGGGAGTTCACTGAAGCTCAGAGAATTAACTAACTCACTTTACATATTTCAGTGTGCGGGGGTGAACAGATTCAAACCTAATCTTTGTTGTTGTTGTTGTTCATGGCCCTCACATTAGGGTATCTCTCCACAGCATTCTGTTCCCATTCCAGAACCTAAAACCACACTGGTGCCCATTTTCAAAATGTGGAAGGCTGTAAGTGGTAGGGATATTAAAGAACTCATGGGAAGAACCTGGAAGCAGCAAAAGGTTCAAAGCCCAAACAGAATAAAGAGTGTGCACCAGGCCACTGCAAAGTCAGACACATAACTTCTAGAATCAAGTACATTTTGTCTGTCCTGGGGGCAGTCTCACAATGTTCTGTACTATTGTCAGATGGGCCTCTATAATTTCCTGACCTACACAGAAGTCCTTAGAGTTCAGTAAGTGAGGCATTCCTAGGGGACACCAAAACGAATTTCCCAGAGAAAGTATTTCTGCTCCACGCCATTCATGCCAGATCTTCAAACCAGAGTGAAAGTTCCATTAGGGCAAGGATCCTACCAACTTTATTTACTGAGTTATATACCTGACTTGGGCAATCTTTGAATCAATCAAGAGTAGTCCATACATTCCCAAAGGAGTGGCAATTTTAAAAGTAAAGGCAGTAATTTCCTCTTAAGTGTGGGAGCACCTTACCCCAGTCTTCTTGAGTTGACCAAAAGATACTCTTTTTCCTGAGGTAATAAGCTAAAAATATCTAGAGGCTTCCAGAGGACATATGCTAGTAAGAATCAGTCCAAAGCAAAAGTCATTCAACACACAGTTTGTGGCAATTTATATCTTTGTGAAACCATCACTAAAATTATATTCACAGGGCTTCTGGCTTTTCCAATGAAGAAAAACAACAAACATGAATTTAACTCTACATTAGTAAACCTCATCTCGTAAAATCCAGGGGTCATGGAAAGCACTAACATAACAGATTGATTTTACAAGTACTGAAATGATAACCGACAAATTCAGAATGATGACTACCTCCAAAAACAGAGGAAGACACGGGAAAGGGGATTGCAGAGGGGGACACAAAGGGCTTTAGATGATTCTGTGTTTTAATTTTCAAGTTCAGAGTAATAGACTCCCAGGTGTTCATTGTATTATCTATATTTTTTGTATGCTTCAAATATTATTTATAGAAGAACGATTCACTGCTTGCCAATTTACCAGAATTAACCATACCCTTTATCACTCCCCTCTCTGTTTTACTGCCATGTCATGGGAATAGAACCTTAAAAGAGGCTAGTGAACTAGATGTGATTTAACATAGAAGTCCTGTTTCCTGGAAACCAAAGGGTACCTATTATTCATCTGAGAGTGGAGTCAACCAAAAGGAAGATGACTTAATCCAACAAATATTTATTGAGCATCTACTAAGTGTCAAATGCTAGTAATTCAATGTGATTAAGAAAGATAGCATTATTGCCCATTAGAGCTTAGAGTTTAGTGAGGGAACTGGAAATTTCATCACTAGAAATAAAGGTGAGAATAAGATATTTAGGAATAAAGGATTGGACAGGTTACAAGAAAACTTTTAGAACTCTGTTTCACCCAGAATAATCAGCAATAAAATGCTACAAAAAGGACCGGCAAGTTAGATTTCTGAGGACAGGGGAATGCCCTAAGGGAACGGCACCAAATCTTGCAAAGAACCTCAACCAAGTACCCCACAGGATAAAATGAGTAGTGACAGCTACAGAGAGAACAGAAATAAGCCTGGATTAGGGCAGGGGTCTCAAGGATGAATAACCAAACGAAACTTCCTGTGGTTTGTGTAATATGCTCCTCTCCTGAAGGAAATACAATGTTTCCCTGTTTCTATTGACACAATTACCTTGAGAAATATTTATAAAGATACAATTTCCTTGAGAGCTTATAAAAATACTTAAAAGATAGAAATCCCCTTAAGTGTAAAAAAGGGTAATTACTTTAGAACTCCTCTGCTTTCAGGTAAATTAGACTTTCCATTTTGGAAATTCCAAATAAATTTATCTCCGAGACGAAGAATTTGTGGACTTTGAGCCTCAAAATGGAGGGAACTTAAAAAAATTAAAAGGTCTTTACTCCCACCACTTACATACAAGATATGAGGCAAAAGTAGAAAACTTGGGAAAATATGAAACAAGTGTTCCATTAAAAAAAAAAGTTAAATCCCGTAAAGGATGGGAAAGAGTAAATCTAGAAATGAACCTTAAATAAGTAAATATACATCAAGGTTTCGTCCACTGTTCACAAGGGAGAGGGAGCAGTCTCAACAATACTCAACAACTGTCCATGAAAAAACCCATACAGGAGTACCTGGTCACTAAAGCAGGCATTACATTTTTCAAGTTAAGAACTGCTTTCAGGGCTTAACTCTTTGCCCAGGAAGCCAAAGGCACTCATTTGCGAAACCCGGGCCGCCTCAGGGAGGTCTCCCCCACAGGTCCATAACGCGCCGCGGTCAGTCTGGCGCGAATCGGGAGCAAAAGCCCACATTCTCCCGCAGGAGGCCCTACAAAAATGGCGTCGGCTCCACCCCAATGTGACCAAACTGGAAGACAGTAGTAACTTCCCAGCTCCTCTCCCAAGCCCCAAACCGCGAGCGTATCCTGCAACCGTGTGCGGGCACAGCGGAATGGAAGGTCACTGCGGCCTGGGTAACCCGGAGGCCGCGGGCAGGGCCGGAGAGACCCGGCCGAGCGGAGTCGTGGTCCCGGAGGCCGGGCAGCATTACCTTTATTCTTGGGCATGGCGGTGACGGAAGCCTCCCGGCGTTTCCGACTCCTATCCTGGGGGTGGTGGTGGCGGCGGCGGCAGCGGCGACTCCTCCGAGGGGCCCCAGGGGCGACGCGTGGCACCGCGCGGTACCAAGCAGGCAAAAGAGGCCGGGTCGCGTGCGCGGGAGAGCCTAGCGACCGAGTTCTTCCGAGATCGGCCGGCGCTCACGTTCAGCCGCAGCAAATGGCGTCGCCGCTGCTTGCGTCTCTTTTCCCCGCCTCCGGACGGCGGCTGGCCCGCCCACCCCTCCCGGGCCCTACGGCGCAGGCGTGGGCGACGGACACCCGCTTCCTCCCCCCGCCCTCTATTGTTAGAGCGATGGTGACGCGCTTTTGAAGCGTTCACGGTAGTTTTCTGGAACGGGCGGGGGACGGGACCGTGAGCCAGGAGGAGCAGGAGTCAGGGGAGTGGGCGGGGCCTAGGCGTCACAATAAAGGACGGATTCAGGTGGCGCCCGCTGCTGGCTGACATCAGACCTCTCTGCTGCTTTTTGACAAGCCGCGTCTTGGGGTTTGCGCTGCTGCTGACTCATTAATCTCACAGCTCGTTTTAACTAGGCCCTTTCACCCGCCCGACGTGGTCGGGAGACTGAGCAGAAGGGCAAGGCTCTCCGGTGATCTCCATTACCAAGGCATAATATTTGCTTGACATTTGTTTTTTCTTTATAATAAAGGCTACATCTGTTGCTTGCTATTACCATCAGTTAGCAGAATGTCTCACACATAGTAGATGCTCAGTATATACACCGGGAGGGAAGGAGGAGAAAAGACATAAACTCGGTGTTATGGGCTGAACTGTGCCCTCCCAAAATTCATACATTGAATTCTTGACCCCTAACATTTAAGAATGTGACTGTATTTAGAAATAGGGTCTTTAGGGGCACCTTTGGCACAAGTCTTGATCCCACGGTCTGGGATGGAGCCCTGTTTAGGGCTCCCTGCTCAGCTGGGAGTCTGCTTCTCTCTCTCCCCGACCCCTCGCATGTGCTCGCTCGCTCTCTCAAATAAATAAAAAAGTCCTTTAAGAATGAAAAAAAGGGCGGGGGGGCGCCTGGGTGCCTCAGTGGTTAAAGCCTCTGCCTTCAGCTCAGGTCATGATCCCAGAGTCCTGGAATCGAGTCCCACATCCGGCTCTCTGCTCAGCGGAGAGCCTGCCTCCTCCTCCTCTCTCTCTCTGCCTGCCTCTGCCTACTTGTGATCTGCCTGTCAAATAAATAAAAATCTTTAAAAAAATGAAAAAAAAAGTAGGGCCTTTAGAAGTAATTAAGTTGAAAAGAGTTCATTATGGTGGGCTGGAATGCAATATTGACTGGTGTCTTTATGAGAAGAGGAAGAGGAGGTTAAGATGCAGGCACAGAGGGGAACACCGTGTGAACAAGGTGTCAGCCTTTACAAGCCAAAGAGAGAATCCATACAAGAACCCAACACTGCAGACCTCTTGATCTCAGACTTACGGCCTCTGACACTGTGAGAAAATAAATTTTTACTGTTTAAGCCACTCAGTTTCTGGTATTTTGTTATAGCAATCCCAGTCAACTTATACAGCAGGCTATACAGGACATACAGCTTCACTTTTAAGTAAACTTTATTTTTTGGTTTGTTTTTTTATTAGATTTTATTTATTTATTTGAGAGAGAGCATAAACAGGAGGAGCAGCAAGCAGAGGGAAAGGAAGAAGCAAGCAAGCTTCCCACTGAGCAGGGAGCCCGATGCAGGGCTCCATCCCAGGACCCCAAGATCATGACCTGAGCCGAAGACAGACGCTTAACCGACTGAGCTGCCCATGTGCCCCAGTAAACTTATTTTAAATAAATCACTTTTCTGAAAATATTAGGGTGTAAGCATTATCTTTCCAAGGAAATGGACATACCTAAGTGGCAGAGAAATAAAGTACTATTGTTGAAAATAGTGGTTTTATACCAGAGACATCTGACAGTCTCTGGAGATATTTCTAATTGTCACAACTGGGAAGGAAGGATGCTGCTGCTGGCACCTAGTGGACAGAGGCCAGGGATGCTGGTAAACATCGTACAGCGCACAGTACAAACCCACCCACCCGCAAACAAAGCATCATCCAGACCAAAACACTAAAATAGCTGAGGATGAGAAACCAATGACAGGCATTTCTTAGACAGAGACTGAAAGATGATGGGGACTTAAAGTTCTGGGTTTCTTTTTCCATTTGCAATAACTTGTAATATTCACAATTGAGGATGAAGGACATCTATGAAATTTATTTAAATTTTGCTTTCAGGCCAAATGATTATGAACTTGGGACTTTGAAGTTAGAGAGAGCTGGGCTCAAATTCAGCTCTGCAGCAACTTTTCACTCTATAACTATGGACAAGTTACTTAACCTATTTATAAGTCTCAGTTACCTCAGCTATAAATTGGGTATAGGAATAATACATATCATATTGGGTTATTGTGGGAATTAAATCAATATAATACCTTTATTGTTTAGCAGTTGTGCCTAGCACCTGGCAAGTCAGACTCCAAGTGTCTGAAGTTCAAATATTTAAAAACCAAAAGTCTCTGCCAATTACTCAGTATAAAACCCCAAAGGAAAGAAAAAATCAGGCTTCATTTGTCTATCATAGGATGGTTCTCACATTTGACTGACCATCAGAATCATTTGGAAAGAGGTGAGTCATGGGGACATCTGAGGGAAATGACTACCGGGCAGAGCATACAGACCTGGAGCAGGAGCATGCTTAGAATGATGTGAAATGTTGGGGTTCAGGAATGAGTGGTCAAGGAAAAATTCTTGAGATGTCTTCAGTGCAAAAAGGGCGATTTTGTTAAAGCATGGGAACAGTACCTGTGGGCAGAAAGAGCTGCACTGGGGTTGTGAGGAATGGCTAATTATATAATTTCAAGTTGGGAGGGGGTTCAAGATAGCATTAAGTCAGCAAGGTTTCCAGGACCTTGATGGGCTAGCTGTTGTTAGGAAAAGGTCATTTACCACTATCTAGTAAAACCTTAGTCATGAGACCCTTTAAAAGTATATCAGTGGGCCATATGTTGGGAGGATGATTGCTAACATATATCTTGGTGGGGATGGGTAGAGAAAAGGAAGTTTCCAAAGGGATTTTTGGAAGGATCTTGGAGGTCTGGTTAATGTCAAGCTAAGGCTGTCTTTTGCCTTTAGCAAAGCATTCACATTGAGGCAGTTAAGTTCCTGAGGGACGATCACTCTACCTGTCTCAAGTATGTGTCAGTTGGCTGTTAAGTTATTTTTAAATTATTTTTTTAATATTTCAATTTTATATTTGTTCTACTGGTTTTAACCATGTGCTCAAAATTTCTTATGCAGTATTGGATTTACTTTTTTTTTAACATCTTAATTTTACTTTTCAGTGTTCCAAGATTCATTGTTTATGCACCACACCCAGTGCTCCATGCAATACGTGCCCTCCTTAATGCCCACCACCAGGCTCACCCATCCCCTCACCCCCGTCCCTTCCAAAACTTTCAGTTTGTTTCTCAGAGTCCGCAGTCTCTCATGCTTTGTCCCCCCCTCCGATTTCCCCCAATTCACTTTTCCTTTCCTTCTCCTGATGTCCTCCATGTTATTCCTTATACTCCACAAGTAAGTGAAACCATATGATAATTGACTTTCTCTGCTTGACAATTTCACTCAGCATAATCTCCTCCAGTCTCGTCCATGTTGATAAAAAAGCTGGGTATTCATCCTTTCTGATGGCTGAGTAATATTCCATTGTATATATGGATCACATCTTCTTTACCCATTCATCTGTTGAAGGGCATCTTGGCTCTTTCCCCAGTTTCATGATTTATTTTCTTGAGTGCCTCTAACTCTTTCTGTACATTCTGTTCTCTACCCTTCCTTCCCCTTTTAGGTTGCAGCATAATCATTGTTTTCTTAGAAGGCCTACCCTGCCCTGACCCGTAGGCAGCTCTGCTATATATTCCTATAGCATCCTGCACTTCCTTTACCTAATTTTGCTAAAGTCAATCAATTCTATCAATTTAGGGTGGATTAGCAAAATTCAGTATCTGGATCTTCAAAGCTGCAGAAGAGTGATCATGGCAAAAATTGCTCCTTCATGTTGGCTTGTCTGAGGAGCCAGATGTTTTTCTAGATAACCATGGTAGGCTGGCTAATGGACCCCAAAAATGTTCATGTCCTAATCCCTGGACCCTGTGAATATATTATCCTATGTGGCAGAAAGAATTAAGATTGCAGATGCAGGGGCGCCTGGGTGGCTCAGTGGGTTAAAGCCTCTGCCTTCGGCTCAGGTCATGATCTCAGGGTCCTGGGATCAAGCCCCGCATCGGGCTCCCTGCTCGGCAGGGAGCCTGCTTCCCCCTCTCCCTCTGCCTCCCTCTCTGCCTACTTGTGATCTGTCTCTGTCAAGGAAATAAATACAAAGTCTTAAAAAAAATTGCAGATGCAATTAATGTTGCTAGTTAGTTAACCTAGAGATGTGGAGACTTTCCTGGATTACCTGAGTGGGCCAATCACATGAGTCTTTAAGAGTGGAAGAAAAGGTCGAAGAGAGGAGTCAGATTCGTGTGACAAGGACTCTACCCACCGTTGCTAGTTTTGAAGATGGAAGAGGGTGGCCATGACCCAAGGAATGCAGCTAGCCTTCAGAAACTGGAAAAGGCAAGGAAACAATTCTCTCCTAGCACTTTCAGAAAGGAATTCAGCCTGTCCAACACCTTGGTCTTAGTCCAGTGAGACCCATATTGGGTCTTCTTCTTCTCACCTACAGAACTGTGAGAATAAATCTGTGTTGTTCTGAACTGCCAAGTTTGTGGTGATTTGTTACAGCAGCAGAAAACAAGCACAGTAACAGTCCTACGTTGCCTCTGTATAATACCAACTAGACCTTGAAGCTCTCCATCTTAACCTGAATAGCCAAATTAATCCATGTGGATAGTCCCCAAACTGTTTTGGCCTGAATTGCAGTTAAGACAAAGCTGTTAAGGGTGAGACCCTAATGCAATAGGACTTGTATCCCTTTAAGAGGAAGAGACAGAAGGGGCAGAATGGCTACTTGAAGAGGCAGCAAGAGGGTGGCCATCTGCAAGTCAAGGGAAGAGGCCTCAGAAGAACCCAACCCTAGTTGACTTCCAGACTCCAGAAGTATGAGAAAATAAGTTTCTGTTGTTGAAGCCACCCAGTCTGTGGTATTTTGTTATGGCAACCTGAAATGATGAATAAATACACCATCATAATATAAAATTACTAAGAATGTCAATGGGGAAGGTAAGGGCTAACTGTAGGCCTATAACCCATTCCCACTCTACCAGAAATCAATGACCTCAATCAAATTTCCTTAAATATGCAATATTAGCAGAAAGAAAACAAAAAGTTATTATGTCTAAAATGCTTTTAGGGGCACCTGAGTGGCTCAGTGGGTTAAAGCCTCTGCCTTTGGCTCAGGTCATGATCCCAGGGTCCTGGGATTGAGCCCCGCATCAGGCTCTCTGCTCAGCGGGGAGCCTGCTTCCCTTTCTCTCTGCCTACTTGTGATCTCTGCCTACTTGTGATCTCTGCCTGTCAAATAAATAAATAAAATCTTTAAAAAAAAATAAAATAAAACGCTTTTAGCAAGATACATTTTGTCTCTAGAGATGGCTTATTGTAAAACATGGAATTTATGGACTGATGAAGCATGGTTGGCTGGAGAATGGGGGTTCATCATTTGTGTAATCAATGAGGTATAAAAAGGGGAGGTTGCAAAACCAAATAACTCCCCTTGTTTAAGCTGTTTCCAGATAGCTCAGAAGAAAACTGTCCTTTAATCCTGAGTCCAAAGTGTACAGTAATGAGGAAGAGAAAGGGTATTTTGGAGCTAAGTCTGATGATTTTGGACTTCTCGAAGAACAGATTATTTCACCTGTGCCTGGTGATCGCTCTGTATCCTTCGAATCATTAATCACGTTTGGTATTGGGTTAAGATCTATGATTCATGTGCCTGATGGGACTCTCTTTGGGCTAACCAAGACTTTGCATACAAAAATTATCTTGCACTTCTTATTAACTCAGAAATGTTCTTGTTTTAAGTTCTATCAATCCAATTTGATAAATTTATACTTTGGAAAAAAATTTATAATTTGGATAGAATTTGACATTATGAAGGATTATTATATAACTGAAATAACCTGATAAATGACATACATGCATTTATTTGAAACTTTATTATATAAATTTTCATTTCTTTTAAAGATTACAAAACCTGTTCTGTGACAGGAATACAAGCAATATTGTTCCAGGATTATTCATGGATACATCTGAAAGAGCTTAGATTACGCATTAATAGTATGATTTGAAAACTTCCCAGATTAAACTCTTAAGTAAAACAATTTAAAGTATTCAGTGATAATTAATCCTTTACAAGCATTTCATAATTATGGCAGCAGTGCCAAGCATCTGATGTGATTTAACCACCAATAAAAGGTACAATACATAGGAACTCATGATATGGTACCTTGGGCTTCCAGCATGCCTTACTAGAGAGAAACTAGTATAAAGTAAGATCAGGTATAATAGTAGAAAAATATTTGTTTTTTTTTTTCTTTTTTAAAAACTGTTTTAAGTAGTTGCCCACCCTATTCCCACCCAAGGTCAAAAATGCAAAATAATTACATCCCTTAGGTGTATACCTTCCCTTTTGCTTGGGTAAGAGTTAAGATAAACCTAATACATGTACATAATTTTAAGAATTAGAAACTCATCACCCATAATTATTAAGGATGCTAAGGAATGGCAATTAAAGAAAAAAAGCTTTAGATGATAAACTAGATACACAAACCAAAACCTTTATCCTTATGCCCTTGCTTTGTATTTAAAAGTCCTACTTTACATACTTGTTTGAAAACTCAGTATACAGCTCATTCAGTACTATAGTGATACTAGGAGTAAAAATTTTCACTTCCATTAGATATTGAACTAATCTACTTAGACTATTACGGAGACTCTCCTCTCACATGTGTTTACACATATTGTACTCAAACGGTATGTGCTCTAGGTTTTCTTGAGGTCTGCATCTCTGAACTTAAGTCTCTAAATTTTCCTTTTCACTAATCTCTATTCAATGTCATATACTTTGCTAGTTGCTCTGGGAGAAGTCATGGACATTTAAACAGCTTATCATGCACTTCAAGGTTATATGGCAAAATAATGAGGAAAGTGCCTTAAGAGGTAGGAAGTAGACTCTCATCCCAACCCTTGCTATGCCCTGTATGAACAGTTAAAAGACTAGAATAAAGTGGTAAATGTGAGACTGTTAGTAATACAAGGCTTAAGAAAATTAACTTGACTTCATTACTAGAATTGAGAACACTCAATCACACTGGAACCAGTTACAAGTCACTTGACCACACAAAATACAGCAGTGTCAGAAGTACATAAAGCACACTGTAGATAAAAATTCTTCTTGGCCATCCATATTTAGGTATTATCATTCTGTAGATTCTTCACTAGAAAAAGTGGTTAAGCGTGGCTCTGTAGAATACCACAGTCCCAAGAAAGCAAATTTCATTCCTTCTTTAATTGGTCTCCACCAATGGTCACTTGGGGAAACCAGCAAAATGTAAGCAATCTGGAGGCGAAAAGAGGACTATTTTCACTAATTGAAATATAAATAATGAGTTAAGTCAACTTATCTGTGAATTAAATAAAACTCAATGTATACATCTAGTGTGAGTAACATGGAGCTGGACCTTTCAGAGAGACAGAACTCTATGACTAGATTGGAACCCCTTGGTTTAAGCACCAAGGGTCAACCATGGAACCCATCATATTTCTTAAGCACAGAAAACAGACCTTTTCTAACTCTTTACATTCCTGAGATACCTGTCCTAATGCCTTCAAAAATCTCATAAATCCTCAATACCACCATGAGAATTTTATCTATAAAATACGGTAAAGCAAGCTGAGTATTTTTCAGTCATTTATAAAGGCCGGGAAGTAGAGACTATCAAAGCCATGTCGAGATATGTATTGCTGACTTCCATGGTGATTAAGTACATCTGTACAAAGGCTCCCAAATCTTGGATGTTTTTCTGCTTTCATCCCAGGCTGGACCCACCCCAGTCCCTTTCCAACCCAATCCATTCTCTTACTCATGAAGCCTTTGCACCCTTCTCCCTCTTCAAATCTTTCCTGGGCTGAGGGTGCAGGGCACAGCAAACAGGCCAGCCCCACCTCTCATAATGTCCCCACTTCTTAAAATTAGGTGGGAAATGGTTGATCCAAATCCATACTTTGCAGCCTACCACAGTGAAATGTGAATCTCTACTGCATACACACCACACCCCCTCCAGACCCTAAGTGACTTTTCCCCACACATCAGCCTTGCAGCATCTTGATTCTGTGCCTTGTCAAAATATTACATTTTTGGACTTTTGGGGTTGCTTGTGAATAAATGAAAGTTAAAGGTCTACTGTACTTAGGAAAAAAGACATCTCTATAAATTAGAAGGAGTTGAAATGACTTACATAAAAAATTAAAAGGACAAAAACTTACCTTAACATCATCACTTGAAAGGGAAGATACAAAACACGTGGTAGTGTAATCCATATTTTTCAGCATATGCTTGGAAAAGTTAAATGCAATCTACCATTCTAGATATTATTTTGGATTATAGGCTAAGAGGAAGTTTGTAAAAGTGGCCTGATGGTTTAGTTCCTTCTTTCACACTGAAATAATCTTTAAGACTAAACTAAAATCTTCTGGGAGAAGCCCTGGTAACTAGGAGAACTAACTGGTTAAGGGCCCAGAGGAACTGGACTCAGTAATTAATAGAAAAGTAAACCCAGGGCAAGCATTACATTTAGAGCTGTCTGCTGTAAATCAAAGGCAATAGGAACACCAGGACCACAGATGAAATAAATCAAGCTCATGAACTGCATTTTAGGCAAAAGTCTTCAGTTTTGTGAACACATGACTTGCTTTTCTCCAATAAAACTGACAGTTGAAGTAGGCGAAGAAGGCATTATCTTTGAAAGCAAAAAACTTGCCATTCATCTACCAGTGGAGTAATGCCCCAAGAAATACTTTTTTTTTTTAACAACTCTGCTCCTGGTTGGGTGATAATATGAAGGGAAGGTAGCATGGTGTCATGAGGGGAAAAAAACTGAGTAAGAAGTTAAGGATTCTAGTCTTTGTTTTGGGTCTTAGTTACTTTACATGCAATATGAGAATGTTGAACTAGATAATTTATAAGGATTTACACATTTACTTCTGGTTCTAAGACTACGATGGACAACACACCTAAGCACTTATGAAATAGCATTGGTGTCCAAAATTTGAAAATGTCTTTTTTTTTTTTTTTTTGCCTAGAGTTACACTAACATTTTAAAAGCGACAAGATTTGGGATGGGTGTGGTTTGAAACACTGAATAGAGAGAGAGAGAAAGAAAGAAAAAAAATTTCTTTCTGGGCAATGGGAAGCAGTTTTTGATAGTCAGCATTTATATACTCAAGAATTAAAAAAAAAACTTTCTCCATCTAGATCTTCTGAATCCCTCTTATTGTACATTTTTTTAAATTTAGAAGATAAACTTACATTTGATTTCTATGCAATAATCATTTTGTGTCATTTAAGCAAAATGAATGTTACAGATTTCCCCTTTCTCTTTAGCTGTGTGGGGGAGAACTTAAAGTAATAGTAAGTGGCTTCTAAGCCATTTAACTAAACTACACTTTCTTGGCTTTGTACTCTCAAAGAAAGATTTAAAGCTTTGGGCAGGTAAAAAGACTTCTGATGTAAATGGCTCAGTACATGGCTAAGAGATCTGTTGGGCACATTCTTGATGAGGTTAAGTTTAATCACTTTTCCTAGTTCATGTTTTTCATGTTATATATTGATGTACGCTAGGTAGCTTAACCAAAATACAGGTAATAATGGATACAAAAGTTTCTTTAATCAAACAGAATTGTGGAAACTACCCAAATTAGATGTAGACAATGAATACTGTAATCTAAGCAGACCCAGTAAATGAAAGCTGATCATTTCTGAAATTAAAGGAAGCATTATATGGCTATAAGTCATCAGAAGGAATTCAGAAAACACTCAATGGTGAACATTCACTTAGCCTACTTGAGCTATAATTTCAGGTGAGAACAAATACTGTTTGATCAAGAATGTTTTATTCCCTCGAATAAGAAAGTTTAAATCCAATTTCATAGAGAGGCTGGTGGCCTTTATTACATTCAAATTAGTGTTTACTATAGAGCATCGTAATGGGATAGAACTCATTATGATTTACCTTTTTTCCAAAAAGCATACTTTTCTTGCAGGTATACAAGAACAGGTATCCTGTTATTCATATGCTAAATTCTGCAATTTGATCTATTTAAACATGAAAGAACTAATGGGACTTGAATGACCTGTTGTTAAATTTTCCTTCACCAATCTCTTCACCAGAACTCTTAAAGGCCTTTGATGTATATTGGCAAAATCCCAAATTATATGCCAAATACTAAATATGGATACTATTCAAGATCAAAAGTGCAAGAACTACCTCCTTAATTAAGGAAAAAAGAACCCTAAGGAGTTGCAACGTATATGGACTAACTTCATAGGTGTACTCTTGATGTCATGCCACACACACGTGATAACTTTCTCTACCATAACAGCTCTCTAGGTTAGTCTGACAAAGCACCTGACTTTAAGAAACAAACAAATGAACGAACCAGTGAAACAGACATGGGGAAATATATGTACATTTTGGAAGTATTACATTCAACAGCTGTTCCACAATCTGGCCATTTTTAGGGCTGTCCAACAATACTGTTAATCCAGGTGAACTATTTAACCAGATTTAATAGTCAATTGATTAATAATAATAGATTCCAAGTTAAACAAAGCATGTATACATTAAAGAAAGCAGTACAGAAATGTACTGTATATGAACTGTTTACAAAAACATACAAAATGTTGGATGGCACAAGGGATACAGTGCTAATAGAAACGGATTGTTTAAGCTAAGTGCTTAACATAAACTGTCCATCCCTATAACTAACAAAGAATATTTCAGGGACATGAAATATTTCCTATAAAAATAATGCTATATGGTGTAGAGTACTTTATTCAGTGTATTTTTAGGTGGTATTCGTATGTTCATTACTCTTGTTGATTCAGTGAATATGTCTTCATCATGTTTCCATTTTCATTTCATCCGAAGCTCCAGGAAAATCTAACTTGCTAACAATCATTTAAAGCGAGAAGAGACGGAAGCAGGAGCAGCAGGAGGAGCAGCAGCATTGTGGGTACCAGCTGGGACAGTGTGTGCTTGCAGGTGTCTCTCAGATATGTGCTACCTGTCGCCAGAACTTGTGCTATCAGCTTACACCATGGTACCAAATATCTCACTGAGGTCACTTCACAGAGCTGTGGAGGTGATTTTTTTAATACCTCTCCGCTGAGCAAGAGTAGAGCGGCCTACTGGTTCCAAAACTGGCGACTGATTACGGTTTAAAGCAGAATATGTAGCTGCCATAGCACCCTGAAAATAGGAAAGAGAGGTCACAACACAAATGACAATGGGTAGTCACAAGTACGTAGAATACGAAATACAGATATTCCCCCCTAGATAATTTCTTCATATGAAAATTTATATAGATTTAATTGGGCTTATAATGAAAATAACCATACTGGTCAAACCCTCTGATTTAACTAAAATTAAAGAGGCAGATATGGGAGGCTGAACTTACGGATGAGAAAGGACAGGGATGGGCTTATAACAAGCAGCCCTCACTTTACTTAGGACTATTCAGCTTTTTGTTTCTTTGCAATTCTTTAATACCATGGGCAGCAAAACATGCTCTTCTGGAACTTGTTTTGCCACTGCTGACAACCTCAAAAAATTTGCTCTGGGTTTTGCATAAGAAAGAAAAGTATAAACAAAAGTTAGGAAATCCATAAGCCTGTGTGACAGATAAACTCAGAAGTCATTCTTAAACTGGTTTTATTATATTTTGGCATGCTTTGATTTTCTCTTTTCCAAACCGCTCGTTTTAAGAGAATCTCACTTTAGAAATCGATGCAGGCTGAGCGAAAGGGAAAGGTGCTGTGGGCATGGACAGGGGACTCACAGTTTCCTGGAAGTCATGCAAAAAGCAGTGCCTGAATGGGGCAGCTCACCTTGACTAGATGGGGTGCATCCTGTCTGTTTAGTTGGTACTGTGGCAGTTGGTCCCAGTGGACGATCCAAGGATGTCTGAGCACAAGGGCAGCAGTCAGTCTCTGATGAGGATCCACATGAAGCATCTTTGACACCAGGTCCTGTAATGGGAAGAAGAGGAGTAATAAAACAAGTTTAAACTTTTGTTTTTCTATAGCACTTGATACTGGTCAGCATTCTTCTTTAGCTTCTATGACACTATTTTTTCCTGGTATTAAACCTTGGGGTTCAAAGCAATTTGGTCAATATAACAATTTCTTTTTTTTTTTTTTAAGATTTACTTTAAAGAAAGCGACAGAGAGGGTGCCTGGGTGGCTCAGTGGGTTAAGCCTCTGCCTTCAACGCAGCTCATGATCTCGGGGTCCTGGGATTGAGTCCCACATCAGGCTCTCTGCTCAGCAGGGGGCCTGCTTTCATCTCTCTCTCTCTCTCTCTCTCTGTCAAATAAATAAATAAACAAACAAATAAATAGATCTTTATAAAAAAAAAAGCGACAGAGAGAGAACAGAAGTGAGCATGAGCAGGGCAAGGGAGAGTGGGAGAGGGAGAGGGAGAGAATCTTAAGCAGACTCCCCAACATGGGGCTGGACCCCATGACTCTGAGATCATGACCTGAGGTGAAATCAAGAGTTGGATGCTTAACTGACTGAGCCACCTCGGTGCCCCCAACATGGCAATTTCTTTAAAAAAAAAAAAAAGGGGGGGGCAAAAAACCCAAGTCTCTGTTTTCTCCTTCCTGAGTAACAGTAACTTTGGTGTACTACAAAGAGTAAATTTACCACATTTATGTATCTTTAAGTACTTTGGCTCTTTTATTCACTGAGATATTCTGACTTTTCTATACTTTTGTAGTTTTATTTCTAAGTAATTTTCAGCTGAAGACTTTTTTGTGCTGCTGGTAATAATGAAAAGCAGAACATAACTGTCCAATAATAGGAATTTAATTGGAGAGCTCCAAATGCCCCCTCCAAAAGATTAGAGTTATTTTTTTTTAAGTAGGCTCCACGCCCAACGTGGGGTTTGAACTCACAACCCCAAGATCAAGAGTCACATGCTCCACCAACTGAGCCAGCCGGGTGCCCCAGATTAGAGTTATTTTTATTTTCCCCACTTCATGGGCATTGCACAGGCATTACTTAAAAAAATAAATACAGAGAAATAAAAGAACAAGAACTCCCAGAATACCATTCTTCCAGAGAAAATGCCTTCTATCTATCCAAATGCTTTCCTATGCATGGAACACAGATCCATATAATTGCTAGATAGTTTTATACTCTCCACAATAAGAACAGTTGTGACTTAAAAGAGCCATCTACCACTTGTTTAATTTTTCATTCAAAATATATCTATTTGAGTATCTATTAAAGGCCAAGTATTCTGCTAGACATCGGGTATTCAGCAGTGAACAAGATAGAAATGAACTCTGACCTCATGAAGCTTTCAGCCCAGTGAGGGAGAAACAAAGAATCAATTACAAAGCAAACTGTAAGTCTTTGATGGGATGAATAAAGACATATAGCTAGAGGAGCACAAAGAGACACCTGACCTGAACAGGATGGGGTGGCTTAGAAGTGACTTCTTTAGAGGAATGTGAGACCTGAAGGATGAGCTGTAGATAGATTATAGAGAAGGGGAGGAGGAAACAGAGCAATTCGGGGAGCTAGAGCGGAGTGTGATTAGAGGAAAGCCGTCAGGGATGAGAACGTGTCACAATTAAGGAACTGAAAGGAGTGCAGTGAGGCTGTAATAAAAACAAGTAGAACATGGCAGCAGATAAATGGGAAGGTGAGAAGGGACTAGACCATGAAGGCCCCTGTAAACTACATTAGCAAATCTGGTCTTTGTCTGGAGGTAAGAAATTATTTAAAGCAAGGGAATGACACAGTCAGGTTTGTACTTTAGAGAGCTTACCCTCACTAAGTGTGGAGGAAAATGGATTGGAGGGTGCAAGCCTGAAGACTCCAATTTGAGACTGGCAAGAGATGATGGCTTCAGGCTAGTATAAGAGATGGAGAAATATGGATGGTCTGAGCTACTTAAGAGAAAGAAGCAACAGAACCTGGTGGCTGACTGGTACTGGGAACTGAAGAGATGTTATTCCAAGTACTCCTTTGCTATTATTTAGTTTCTTATTTTTAGTTTTCATTAACAGCAAAGAACAGGAATAAGCTACTGAACAGAATTAGAAATAAAAAGTGAAACAATTAGGAACTCCCCTTCCAAATTCCTAAAGTGAGAAAATATGCTTCAAGTACAAAAAAAGTTGCAAAACTGCCCAGGGGCACAACAAAACTCTCTTCCTTCCATAAGTTTCATCACTCTGTTCAGATAAACTCATTCGTATTCATGGCTTTAGCGTCTACAGATGGTGACTCCTAACTCCACTGTCCACCCAAAACTTCTCTCCTAATATCTGCATCAATACAGCCAGTTGCCTAATGGACATACATCTCTTACTTATATATCACAGTCGCATTTCAAATTCGTAATGTCCAAATCTGTAATTATCATGCCTCTCAAAACTACTTCTTTTGTATCCCACATCTTGGTGAAAGAACACCACTACAACTCATTTGCCTACGGTGGATATGTGGACTACATGCTTACTGTCTGCTTCCCCCTTGCTTCTTTTTTTCTTTAAAGATTTATTATTTTGAGACACACACACACACACACACACACACACACACACACAGAATCTCAAGCAGACTCCATGCTCAGCATTGAGCCCAGTGTGGGGCTTGATCTGACAACCCTGAGATCATGACCGAAGCCGAAACCAAGAGTCAGACGCTTAATCAACTGTGCCACTCAGGTGCCCTTCCCCTGCTTCTTATGTCCATTTAACCACTGAGTCTATTTTGCCCCCTAAATTTCTCTTTAATTTAGCTCAAATCCTGCTACTCCTGCTCTAGTCTAGGTCTTCATCATTTGTGACCTGAAATACTGTAAAACCTTATAAGTAAAACCCTTAACATTAGGTCAGTGAGGACTGAATGAAATAATATAGGTATTAAGTGTTAGCATAGACCTTGGCACGTAAGTGCCCAGTGAATTGTAGTGATGGTCCTGCTCTTCTCAAAGCCACATATGAAACATATGGCCCATATGACTAATGACATTCACGTGCAACTTGCTCTTGCGGGAACACATCAGACTGATAAAACCCTCACTTCTGACTGCGTATTCACTGTACCATATAATGCTTATCTCAAGTCTTAACTGGACAAATTTGCAGAAGTTATCAGTAATAACGTGATATTTATAAGAAACGCCGTGAGTTAGATCCAATTTTTTGTGCTCTATTTTTTATCTCATCCTCACCTTTCTCTTTCATTAAAAAAAAACATACTGGAATCAAGTCAATGAGAGCCAAATTATCGAAATTAAAGCAAGTCAAGGTTATCTCTATAATTTATTTTAAAAGGAGGCAATGGGTAAGCTCTGATACTTTATACAGTATTTTTTAATACTGTATTATTTAATATGTCTCACAATGGATCATGACAATTTCTGGCAGACTCCAGAGAGAAGAATTACTGCTCTATAGAACAAACTTGAAAAAGGAAACTCTCATCATTACAACGCTTAATACTTTTCAGCAGTCCTCCAATACCTAGAATAAACCTGAAATCCTGAGCATAATCTGCCAAGCCTTTTATAATCTGGGTTCATCAGCTACCTTCTCACGTGTACCCCGTGCTAGTCACAACAAACTGTGCACAGCAACCTGGAAGCATTCTGCCATTTTCAGGCTGGCCTGACCACAAATAGCACACGCTGCTCCCTCAGCCTGGGATGGAATACATCCTTCTGCTCCCTAAAGCTGCCAGGAAAATCCCCTCACTGCTTCTGGAAAGCTTTCTTGGAAATCTTTCTGAGCACCATCTGTAAACTTCTTTAACACACAAAAATGTACCACTGTAACAGCACACGTGACAGTGTGCTGTATACTTCTGGCCATCTCCCAACTAGACCATGAGCTTCCTGAGATCAGGAATTCTATCTCAGTCACATCTTTGATCCCTGGACCTTCACATTTTAAGCATGCTGTAAGTGTTGAACACATGGATTAAAAAGAAATCCCAGAAAAAAAATGAATCATCTGGTTTAAGAAATAATTGTTAAAAAAAGGGAAAGGCTAACACTTCATTTTAAATCAGTTATAAAGCCAAGTATCATCTATGCAGACATTAAATTAGTTAACAAAGGCTTCATCTCTATGCCAAAATAATCAACCTACATTTTTGACATACCCTATTTACTTTTGCAATCATCTCAACTCAGGCTTCCACCTCTAAGAGAAATCAGCAAGCGCATTTACCAATATGTATCTTCTTTATCTCCTCCATGTTTTTCTTATTCGGAAGAGGAAAACTGCTCTTCTTTTTCTTTCTAATTTTTAAAATTTTCACTCTTGATTTTAAAAGAGCATTTTCCATGAATAAAGTAAAACTAGAGCAGAGTTGGAAAGCAAGTCTGCCAGAGTATGGCAGATCTTCCAGTGAGAAAGGCTTTTCAAATGGATTTCAAGCAGACACCTTAAAACCATACTACTGTTTATTATGAAAAAGATGAGACCCTTTTCTATATAATATGAACCAAAAATAGAACATGGTGCAGTTATTCTAGGGAATAAGGGCTTTGGGACCAACTGCTTAGTTCAAAGCATCCACATGCTCCCGGTATGTAACTATGGACAAATTCACACAAAAATTCTAGCCTTGGTTTTCTTCTGTGAAATGGGGATACTACCACCTATTTTACAGGGTTTGGAAGAGGATTAAATGGGATGATTTAGGTGAGGTGCAGTGTGAGGCACAAAAAAGCCACAAAAATCATGAAGATTACCACCATTATCATCATTCTTCTTCTTTTTTAAAATTTTATTTATTTGTTAGAGTGAGAGTGAGAGAGAGAGAGCACAGTCAGGCAGAGTGGCAGGCAGAGGCAGAGGGAGAAGCAGGCTCCCCATGAAGCAAGAAGCCTGATGCAGGATTCAATCCCAGGATACTGGGATCATGACCTGAGCCGAAGGCAGCTGCTCAACCAACTGACCCACCTGGGCATCCCATCATTCTACTTCTTATTACTATTATTTTGGTTAACAGGTTTATTATTTTTTTATTCCAAATTTTTATTTAAATTCTAGTTCACAACATACAGAGTAATATTGGTTTCAGGAGTAGAATTCAGCAATTCATCACTTACATATAATACCCAGTGCTCACTACAACAAATGCACTCCTTAATACCCACCACCCATCCCTCCATCAACCCTGAGTTTGTTCTCTATCATTAAGAGTCTCTTATATGGGGCGCCTGGGTGGCTCAGTGGGTTAAAGCCTCTGCCTTCAGCTCAGGTCATGATCTCAGGGTCCTGGGATCGAGCCCCGCATCGGGCTCTCTGCTCAGCGGGAGGCCTGCTTCCTCCTCTCTCTCTGTCTGCCTCTCTGTCTACTTGTGATTTCTGTCTGTCAAATAAATAAATAAAATCTTAAAAAAAAAAGAGTCTCTTATATTGTGGAAAGAGTCGAGATGCCCTTCAACAGGTGAATGGATAAAGAAGATGTGGTCCACATATACAGTGGAGTATTACTCAGCCATCAGAAAGGATGAATACTCAACTTTTCCATCAACATGGATGGAACTGGTGGAGATTATGCTAAGCGAAATAAGTCAGGCAGAGAAAGTCAATCATCATATGGTTTCACTTATTTGTGGAACATAAGGAATAGCATGGAGGACATTAGGAGAAGGAAGGGAAAAATGAAGGGGGGAAATCAGAGGGGGAGACGAAGCATGAGAGACTATGGACTCCAGGAAAGAAACTGAGGGTTTCAGAGGGGAGGGGGGTCGGGGATGGGTCAGCCTGGTGATAGGTACTAAGGAGGGCACGTGTTAATGGAGGACTGGATGTTATAGGCAAACAACGAATCATGGAAAACTACATCAAAAACTAATGATGTACTGTACGGTAACTAACATAACAACAAAAAAGAGTCTCTTATACTACCATTATTATTCATCATGCTTGTCAGTAAGTAGTTTTAGATGTATAGATAATAAAGCCAAACCAATACCTTCTGGGAAACAAAATTAATAGGTCCATTTTTGAGTTCAAGTTATTTGGTAACATCGCCTCAAAATAATACTTTATAAACAAAAGTTTGTAACTGATTATTATTTTTTCTTACCAGGGATTATGAGAAATTATTTTCTAAGAAGCTTCTAATAGGAAGCCATACTTACCTTTGCTGTGTCTGAAACAGAATTCCAGTAACCACCACTGAGTGAGAATTTTCCGCTGCCTATCCGTGCTAATATCTCCTCTGGTGTATCATCAGGGCCATTTGCAAATGGAGTGTAACTAATTTATAATGAAATTAAAATGTTAATGAATAAAATTTCTATTTTGGTTGGTAATCTTCACATTTATTTGCAGTGTTCAAGATTACTCCAGTTAATTTAATTAATGTAATATTTCATTAAAATTTCCTAAAGTGAAAAATATCAACATCATGAAGCACCATAAAGCACAGGTCAAGGTATAAGCTATGAAATATTAATTAGACTTAATGTATGATAATATAAATATTTTAAGATATGACACATTAGAATAGACTATCTAAGAATAGTGTATGTTTATAACATAAGAGTACAAAAGAGGTATGGAAAAAATCAAGTTAAGACCTTAAGACATTAACAAATGGTACATTAAAGAAAGCCAGTAATGATACAGTTACAAATGTGGTACATATACATAGAGAGATATACACACACAGGATTATTAGATAACATGAGAAAACATGAAAAGAAAGATACTACAACAGAGAGATTAAAAAAATAGAACAGAATATTGATGAATAAATGCTGATTACAACATATGGTCGACTCACCCAGTAAGCATTGTATAGAGGAGGACACCAAGACTCCATATATCACAAGCAGCATCGTAGCCTTGTCGTTTTAAAACCTAAAAAAAGCAAAAATTAGTATTAACACACTACTGGTTAGAGAACTGAATAGGCTGTGAACTGTACTAGTTTCTAAATCAATGTATTTAAGAAAAACCTCAACAGAACATGATTAACAAGCAAGGCAATATATTAATACTATTCTACAACTAATAATTCATTCATATATATATATATGAATATATATTTACATACATATATATTTGATTTTGGTATTTGAATTAGCATTCGTTGAGTGATGCTATAGCATATAGAAGACTATAAAATAAAATGAAATTAAGTTTCTTTTTCTCCCCACTGCCTCCCTCTAAGTTTCTTCTTTAAATGAATTTATATTCATTTTTGTATGAGGCTGCAGGAGTGGTTACATAAAACATTACTTTTAGGAATATATATAAAAGTACAAATAATATAATGCAAAATTATACTTTTACATATAAAAAATATGATTCACTCGAGCATTTAGTAATCACCAATTATTATCCGGCATGAAGAGTGATAAATACAAAACACTCTTGTTTCCTCAAGAAAATTAGAATATGGCAGGGGGAATAAACATACATATAGTTAATAATTCAACATGGTAAGTATTATAACAAAATTATGCCTAAAGTGTTATAGGTATAAAGATGAGGAAACCATTCATTCATTTTTGTTTTTAAAGATTTATTTATTTATTTTAGAATGAGAGGGAGAGTGAGAGAATCTCAAGCAGACTGCCCGCTGAACATGGAGCCTGACGTGGGGCTTGATCCTATGACCTTGAGAAAATGACCTGAATTGAAGTCAACAGTCAGACGCTTAACCGACTGAGCTGCCCAGGTGCCCCCGAACAATTCATTTTTGATATGGGGAGAGAAGGAAGACTACGGGGCAGCCTGATGGTACTGGGCCTATAAGTAAGAATTCAGGAAGCAAAGGGAGGAGGTGGAGGAGAGCAGGGGACACTCAAAGGGCAGAGGCAAGAGAGCAGAGCATGCTTAAAGACAGGCAAGGATTCAGTGTGGCCAGATGTCCAGGTAGGGGATACCAGAGAGAACGAAGAAGGGCTTTTACAGATATCTTAAGGATTTAAAATGTTTTTTCTGTAGGCAGTCTGTGGTCACTGATACATTAAACAGGGAAATAAAATAGGTAGATATGTACACCAAAAGAGTAACTCCAGGTATAGAGGAAATGCTGGCAAGCAGACAGACTGGAAACAAGGTCGTCTGATAGGATGCAATTTGTAGCAAACTAAGTGAAAGGCTATGAGGAACCACACTAAGGCAGGACATGGAAAGGAAAAGATGTCATGATAAAACAGGAAGGACTTAGAGATGGGATGTATGGGTAAGGGAAAGGGGGTCTAAACTATTCAGGAATCAGAATGGAAAGGGTTTGGTGACTGACAGGATGTAGAGAAATGATGGAGAAGGAGCATTTCAGGAGGACTTCCAAGTTTTAATTTGAATGACTAAGTGGTGAATCTCAGACAAAGAGTTAAAAGGTCAAGTCTAGGGAGAGTTTAATCATAGAAGAGTTCCTGAAGAATATGAATTTAGAGGCTCTGAAGCAAAAAAGGTCTTGAAGCAAAAAAATTTGAAACAAAAAACATTAGGTTTTGAAGCAAGAAACATTCCAACATGCCAAGGCAAAACAGCTACATGGCGATTTCCAGAAGCAGATTGCTTGTCTGAAGCAAGAAGTCCTCTTGAGGAATAATGAGATGGCTAGATGAAGTGACCATGCTTGGACATCAGTATGTGTCAGAAGCTGTGGATATGTGGACAAAGAAGCAAAAAGTCTGTCCCTCATTAGTTCTAGACCCACCAGAACAGGTGCAAGTACTCTTTTAAAAAGTATTATTTTGTATCTCAGAAGTAACAAGATTACAAAAAGTTTGGAAAATAGAGGGGCAATGGAGCTCTACAATCCAATGACATCCTAACCTTACCAACTGTTACCATTGTTTGGTGAAGTATCTAATGATAAAAGCATAGACTTTGTAGCCATGTTGCCTGGGCTCAAATCTCAATCTGACCTCCAATGACATAACCTCTCATTGTGCACCTGGTTTCTTGTAAAATTCAAGTAAAAGGTCTCATTTCACGTAAGAGAAAAAATTATTATATGTAAATGCTATTTGTGAGGATGAAATCAGCTAATACATGTGATTGGCACATAAGCCCTATATTAGAGTTAACTCTTACTTTTTATTACATAGTTCAGTCACATTTTTAAAAAAAGATTTTATTTATTTATTTGACAGAGAGAGAGAGATAGCGAGAGGGAACACAAGCAGGGGTAAGTGGGAGAGGGAGAAGCAGGCTTCCCGCTGAGCAGGGAGCCCGATGCAGGACTCATCCAAGGACCGTGGGATCATGACCCAAGCAGAAGGCAGACACTTAATGACTGAGCCACCCAGGTGGCCCCACAATTACATTTTTTTTTAAACACGGTGATAATAAACATGCATGAAATCTTGAGGGCAAAGCAGTGGATTTTAGATTTGCTACAATGGGGAACCAAAATTTCTTAGGAAAAGAAGCAACTTGATCAAAGCAGTGCTTGAAGACTTCAGTAACTCTACAGCTCTTCCGTAGAAGGATCACAGGAGAGAGGGAGCAGGGTGCAGCTAGGCTGTGGCAGTCATTTGGGCTGTGGTGAAAGAAGCGGGGCTAGGATGGCAGTTCTGTGAAAGGAAGAACCTCGAACTGGTTTTAGGGGATAACAGAGATGGTACCTAGTTATGTAGCTAAAGACAAGAAGAGACCATGATGTTTTAGCCTCAGAAATACAGGAAGATGATAACAAAACCAGGAAATTAGAAGAATATTAGGAAAGGATGAGAATAAACTAGTTTCCATTTAATTCCATGTGCTCACAGGCCCCAAAGTATCAATGATAGCAGACCGCTACATATGTGTGATTATGTAGAAAGACAGAAGGCAGAGCAAAAAAAGGACTGTAGTGGACTAAGTAGTAGGGGACTGAAGACAGGATTTATTACCATCAGAAGAAAAAGAGCTGACATTTTAATTATTTGTTCAGGAGGTCTTCAATGAAACAACTATTAACCACTCTATATTAAACACAGCAGGGGTGCCTGGGTAGCTCAGTCATCAAGCCGTCTGTCTGCCTTTGGCTCAGGTCATGACCTCAGAGTCCTGGGATCGAGCCCCGCATCAGGCTCCCTGCTTGGTGGGAAGCCTGCTTCTCCCTCTCCCACTTCCCCTGCTTGTGTTCCCTCTCTAGCTGTGTCTCTTTCTGTCAAATAAATAAATAAAATCTTTAAAAAATTAAATAAACACAGCAAATGAGTTTTTAAATATACTGAAATATTGGAAGCAAATAATTCACAATTACCTCTGGTGCAACAAAATTTGCAGTATAACAAGGAGTCATGAGAAGACCGTTTTCTGCTCTTAGCTGTTTGGCAAAGCCAAAATCACAAATTCGAATAGATTCTGGATTGCCAGATTCATCCACATAAAGAATGTTGCTAGGTTTCAAGTCTCTGTGAACCACCTAATTGAAATACAAATTAAAGAGGTACATTAACAATACATTTCCATTACGAAAACTCTTTATTCGCAAAATGTCAAGTGACGTACTTAACAAGACGACTGCTGACCTTTAAATTATCTCATTTTAAAATGCTGATAATGTAAGTTTAACTCTCTAGCACAGAACTGGGGCAAGGACAGGAGGAAAAAAAAACAGTATGTACATCCCTCCTCTTTGTCCAATTGAGCAGTCAAAGCTAGAAGTCAAGAAGCTCTAGGATGAAATGATTACCTTCCACTTGTTAGCTTCTGAGAGCAAGGACAAACAAAGTAAGAATAATGTATTGAAAATAAATTCCTTAAGAAGTAAGCTCTTAATTTCCTTTTATAATTGAATACAACCCATGATTCTCTGGTTCTGCGTCTAAATTTGCAATGGACCCAGTTCTCAAGAGTCCGGAGTGGCCTAGCAAAAACAGTGATAGGTCTTCCAGGTCAGAGGACCTTGCTTACTTTTTCTTGGGAAGCATAAGAATTTAATATAAACAAGTCAGGATTTCGAAGTATCACTTCAAGCTCAGTGGGAGAAATTTATGTAGAGGAGTAATAGCAGAATAAGCTAGTAACAGTTATTCTCCATTAATGCATAAGTAACATCAACCTTTGTAATTTTAGTTCAAACATTAAGAAAAGGTTTAAAAAAAAGTTAAAGGAAAAGGTGTGTGTGTGTGTGTATATATACGCGTGTGTGTGTGTGTGTGTGTGTGTGTGTGTGTGTATAAAATGTTAAAAAGACTTACCCCTTGTGCGTGAAGATATTCAACAGTTTTGGTTATAGTAAACAGGACAGCACTGGCCTCTCTTTCAGAGAAAAATTTCTGTCTAAGAATTTTATCCAGCAATTCACCCCCTTTCATAAGTTCTGTCACTACATACACATATTTTCCATCATCATATACCTGTAAAATTCAACATCAAAATATAAAAAATTATTTGAAGCTTTATATGTGCTCAGAATAAAGTTTAGCATATTCAAGAGAAATTAAAACTCATTTTATAGTCAAGGAAAATTTTACTTATCACAACCAATAGATGGTATAAAATCTGCAAACCATTTTATACATATAAGAATATTAAAATACAAATTGATTAGACTGGATGTCAGAAAAATAAGCTGTAATTTCCTTCTATGAAACATAAGTCATGGCAATCAAAGTTACTATGGGCAACGTATATCAAAGGGCACTGAATTTTTTCTCTCAGGGTTTGTTTCTCTTGATCTTTCTATCTACTGATGATAGCAGGGATTGGTATAAAGACACATGCCTGTAACTTTCCTGAACTCCTACAATTGTAGAACTGTATTTACATATGCAGTACAATGAATTATCCTGGTTTTGATTAAACTGAAAGACAAGTTGTGGCAAGAATTAAGTAGGAAGATTAAGTAGCAAAAATTCCATCTAACCACACAGAAGCATGCCATTTATTCCTCATGTAGAAATAGAAAGCTCCTTGTAATTTTGATTTGTACTCCAGGCAATCCCAAACTGAAATGACCCTTCATTAAACTTCAGTTCCTTTTATTCCCCTTCACCACAGGGTTACTGCACACTTTCATTTAGTTCCATAAGAGGTACCATGTGCTGGGGCCCCCCAAAATGGAGAAAACAAGGTACCCTCCTCAATGTTTGTATTCTAGTAGAGAGAAAGATAGAAACAAGAGTTAAAAAGTCAGAGATGCTATAATAGAAGTCGGGAAAATTTTAGAGACTTTGGAATTTGAAATGAAGGAAGGAGGAAAGATGTGAAAAACAGTGACAGCTTAGGGAGTTTGTAAGGCAAAGATGAAAATATTTTCTATACCTTCTTTTTGATTTACTTGGATTCTTGCAGGTTATATCAAAGAGTCACTTAAGTTACACAGCTTCACATTTAATGGGACTAAGCTAACATTCTTCTAACAGTGAGCAGCAATAAATTAATCTGAGGAAATTAGGAGTTTTGGTTATGAAGAAGGGAGAGTAAACTCTGGAATTCACAAAATCTCAGAGATGAAAGGCGAAAGGTACCTTAAAAGTCCTCTGGCTGAGCTGGCCATAGGACATGTCAGGTCTACAACCCAGATGCAGCCTTTGGGCACTATCAGCGAGAGAAGATTTAATGCTGTCTGGGGAGTTCACACCTTTTGCCAACAGCTCTGTTATGATAAAAACCAGAGGTAGCAAGGAGGGGATACCTTACTTGTCTGGGGTATGGTGATGCTCAGGACAGGCTTCCTGGAGGAAGTAATGTTTTAGCAAAGTTTTAGATGCATGGTAGTAAGCCAGGCAAAGAAGGGAAGTGGTAGTATTAAATGAGGAAACCATAAATTCAAAGACAGAACAGCATGAGAAAAGGAGGAAAGTTTAAAGATGCGCACATAGTCGAGCATGGTTGGGGGATGGGGTGGGAGAGGAAGTGTGAAAACCACTGCAGACAGAGGAAGGCAAGGACTGGAGGTGAGGGGGTATGAACTGTAGGCAGAGGAGTAACGTGGTTACATACGAGTTTTGCTCTCTCTGACAGTACTGTGGAAGAGTCTGGGGAGTCCATGGAGCATGAGACTAGTCAATCCCTAATACTATTTAATACACAAATGTTCCAATAAAGATATTGAAAGCAATAATGTCAGTAACACTTTTCTTAAAGCGAAAGTATAAGAATTAACTACAGAAACAGGTTTTTTTTATTAACTTAAATTATGCTCTATATGTTGTCCTTCAATTTTTTTTTAAACTTACTCTTATTATTTGTCTAACACATTATATTTGAAAACATTCCAAATGTGAGCTGGACAACTGATTCCAATGATCGAAGTTCAAGAAGCTACTACTTACATCCTTTAGAGTAATGATGTTTGGATGCTGTCCATAACGAAGAAGAATTTCAATTTCTTCTGTTGGGTCTCTCTTGCTTTTATCAATAATCTAAAAGGCAAATATTTATCATAAAATCTCATGAACTATTAAGGTCACAAATAGCTACAGACTTTAGGTATTATTTTATATAAATACTGGACATATGAGCCATTTATCAATCAGTTTTATTCAAGTACTTGGCCAGACTGTTTTATCAAAGTTTGAAAGCCAGTCTAAGTTTAGGACTTTCTAAACACTCAAAAGCCTCAAGAAGAGGTACCAAGAACATATCCTTCTTCCCTCCTTGAATGTCTTTAAACCCTGGAAAATCAGTCATCTTCTAAGCCCAATCAATACAGATAATTAAGAACAAGGTGTATCTACAATACTACCACTAGCATCTGTTTATTGAATTAACTTTACTTCCTTTAAGAAAATGCTTCAGTGGAAAAACCCATTAGTTGTAAGCTACTTATAAAAAATTAATTAACAGCTAAGTAGAACAAGCTTATTTTTGAAGCTATGCAGAAAGCTAAGCAGAAAACCACACCTAGAATTTTACTTGACTAGAGTTAAGTTTAATTATTATAATAAAGCCCTTTAAAATACTAATGTAGCCTTCCAACCCTTTTATGTCAGCAGCTTCTTAAAAATATACCTCTTAATGTTTTAATCTGTTAAAGTAATATATCTATTTTTAAAAGGACAAGTTTGGCTTTCATTTTGTCCAAAGGGTAGTCTGAAACAAATTTTGTGACCTTTATATTTTCAATTTTAAAAAAGATTAGTAATTCATGTGTGCAATAAATACTCAAATGCTCCAGCAGTTGAGGAAAGAGCTTGCAACTCACAGTACAAGCCAAATCTGCTATCTGAAATAGATTTAGTTGTAAAACAGTTCTGTATAAGGAGAAGAGGGAATACAAACATTAGGTGTACACTGTAATCAAATGCAAATGACAGTGTGGAATTACCACAGCAAGTTGTGGACTACCATAGCAAATGGATGATTAAAAGGAAATGTATATGGAATAGACATCCTAATTCAAGGGAGATGATCCAGGACTAGTCTTTTGAAAACTAGAACACACTGGGAGGTGTTATTCCCAGCAACATTCTCTTTGATCCGCTAATCTGAGCAGAGGTGATGTCACATTCAGACTTGCGTTTGTAGATCTTAGATTTGTAGTAATTTCAGTAGAATGAAGTTGTGCTGGGATTGGTTTTATGAATTAAATTTAAGTCACAAGAATCCACAAATAGCTTGAAGATATTCTCAAGGTTTTGGTATACTGCCTCTGGTTTCTGTAATTCAAATGGGGCCTCAAGGCATTTCTGCTTTTCTTCTGATGCATTTATGAAGGCAAGATACCTCCTTAAACTGCCCATCATGTACATTACTCACCTTCTCTCCTTTCATGTAAGCAATGTGAAAATTCCTATGTACCCCAGATTTCACTATGAGCAATGAGTGGGAGAAGAGCAAATTAACATGCATTTCTATGGTTCATCCTACATCTGATAGAAAGCCGGACACTGATAGTTTTTAAAACAATTACATCTAAGTTTAGAATAGTAATTACCATTTTTTATGTAGGTGTGTGTCTTCCCAGATATTAGCTATATATATATAAAATACATTTATTTTTACACAGTGAAATCATATCAGATGATAGACAGATGGATGTACGGAAATAATAACAATTAATGCCACTCTCCTACTAACTAAAAATGAGCTACCCACACTTATTGACCAGTTCTAAGGTCCAAAATAGGTTGAAAGATTTAGATATTACTTAAATTGCTTATATTGGGAGAGCAGTGACTACCATTTCAAGAAATGAAAAGGCAGAGACTTGAATATAGTATTTTTTCACTTACAACTACAGGTTTGTAACACAAACTTTATCACAGAGCCATGTGATTTGGTTTTTGGCTTAGAAAATTCTTACTGTCTTTGACACCTGATGAAATTAAAACAGCTAAAGATAACAAATTTTGTAACAGTAGTGGTTTACTTTTACTGGTTCACAGATCCCTTTATATGTAAAGGACAGTATGAATATTTTTGCCAGAAAAATGTAAACACTTAAAATTTGGCATACAATCTTGAGGAATTCCCTGACAGACCATAAATGGGGGACTTTTTAGGGTAAAGGGATGTTACTAAAAATCAGGTCAGATGTAAACTGTACTAATGCCTTCAGCAAACTGGAGGTATGCTACCTTGCCTTTAGTTTACAGGTGAATCTGTGGTTCCAGATTAAGACCCCTGAGGGTTGCTAGGCAGATACTTAAATTTACCTTACCTTTAAAGCAAAAGACAACACAACACAACACAACACAACAAAACAAAAAGGCACATTTACCAAAGAAGAAGTGTTTAATTTTAACTGGTACTGACATGTGTGAATAATAACTATTAGAATTGTATTTTATATTTTGATTTAACTTTTTAAAATAGGTTCCATGCTGGGCGTAGAGCCCAATGTGGGGTTTGAACTCATGAACCTGAGTTCAAGACCAGAGCTGAAATGATGAGTCAGATGCACAACTGACTGAGCCACCCAGGCACCCCAGAGTCGCATTTTTAAATCTGAAAAGATTTACCTTCACTGCAAATTCCATGTTTGTAGCTTTATGTATGCATCTCTTGCAAACAGAGTAGGAGCCAACTCCAATATCTTCCTTTACTTCATATCCATCGGTAAACTGAATACTGTTTCTGTGCAACTGCTACAAACACAATTACAAATTGACAGTTTTATAATGACTACAGTATAAATCATTATAGGGGAATATGCTACCCATTATACATTGTTGATGTTAACAACAAATATAAATGAATATAAACAAAATAAAAATGAATCTTTACAGCATTTATTCTTCCACAACTATGTATTTTTAAAAAAATATTTTGTTTATTCATTTGACAGAGAGAGACACAGCAAGAGATGGAACACAAGCAGGGGGAATGCAAGAGTGAGAAGCAGGCCTCCCACTAAGCAGGGAGCCCAATTTGGGGCCCAATCCCAGGACCCTGGGATCATGAGCTGAGCCGAAGGCAGCTGCTTAACCAACTGAGCCACCCAGGCACCCCCACAACTGTGTATTTTAGAGGTGTCTACCATAAAATGTATAGCAAGAAATAGGCTTTTTTAAAAGCTCATGTTAAAAAGAAAAAATTGAATATGTACAACAGAAAATTAGTTACTTGACAAAGGGTGGAAAGTCTTGCCTGTGCCTGAGCCCTGTTCCATTCCCCACATGGTACTAGGTCTTTGAAGTACTTTTGCAAATAGGGAGAAGTTTGAAGCTTCTGGTACAGAAGAAAAATATTTAGGAGGATTTAGAATTAGAACATCTGGATTCTTGTCTCAGAGGTCCCTCTGGCAGGCCGTGCAACCCTGAACATGTGTTTTCTCAGAGGTTAATGGTGAATATTAAATAAAAATAATGTATTTGAAGGTGATACCTATTATCATCATTGTGGACTACCAGTAGCCATGCCCTCCGTTTCCACCCTCAAGTCAAAGTTTCAATACAACTTCTGCTAGAGAAGCTGTTAATGAGTTAAAGACGAATAACACGTGGTAGGATGATGGCTAACAAATTAGTAGTTCCATAAGCAGGCTGGGGGAAGTTGTGCTGTCCGTGGCTATATTGAAAGGAGACCTCCCCCCTGACCAATGCCTATGAACTGTGTTTGGGTTAAAAATTGAAATCTGTAGAATATATGTTTGTGATTTCTATGTTAGGTACAGAAGTTATAACTTGAAAACTTAATATGTATCACATGCTTGCTATAGTAAACTGAACAAACTGCTTCAACCATGAACTTTATCTAAAAACCAGTGTTTAAACTGGTTTTCTAGAAGGTGGAAAGAAGGATGACTAACTCATGAAAAAAAAAATTAGAGCAAAAGCAACTTCATCATCAAGCAAATTCAAGCACTAATTACTGTCCTAAAAACAATCAGTGCTTCAAAAGATATATCTAGTTCCCTCTATGACTTGGAAGATGAATTAAAGTTATCTTTCTATGATACTAGGATGGGAAGAAATAAATCTAATGGTTTGTACTACTTGTGTTCCTCTAATAACATTTATTAGTCCAGTCTCCTGTTACAAACACACAGACATCTGGAATCCTGCTTCTGTGGTTTTTACCCTGTGTTCCAACTCTGATAAACAGATGGGATAATGAGGTGGGGGACGCCCTAAGATAGTACCTATAACCATTTCTTTTAAATAGTAATTGGGGATCCAAAAGAACAAGGGCACAAAATTTGGAAAATATAAGACTGAAATTCACTTTTATTTCTTTTTTTTTTAAGATTTTATTTATTTGATAGAGATCACAAGTAGTCAGAGAGGCAGGCAGAGAGAGGGAGAGAGAGGAGGAAGCAGGCTCCCCGCTGAGCAGAGAGCCCGATGCGGGGCTCGATCCCAGGACCCTGAGATTATGACCTGAGCTGAAGGCAGCGGCTTAACCCACTGAGCCATCCAGGCGCCCTCACTTTTATTTCTTTTATAAAGTTTTATCGGCACCCAGCCATGCTCATTTATTTAGCTATAGTCCATGGCTGCTTTTGTGCTACAGTGACAGAGCTGAGTTGTAACAGAGATCACAAAGCCTCCAAAGCCTCAAATATTTATTAACTGGCCCTTTACAGAACAAGTCTACTGAGCCCTGTTCCAAGCCATCAGGGAATCAGAAGACCTTAGGTCATCACAGCTGACCTGACAGAAGCAGAAGAAGAAACAAGTTAGGGCTGATAAACATTATGAGGCATAGGAGGAGAGGATAGAGACAAGATGGTAATATCTATCTCAACTCTCTTTTATTCTTTTGAATATTTTATTTATTTATTTGAGAGAGAGTATAGAGTAAGGGAGAGCATGAGCAGGAGGAAGGGCAGAAGGAGAGGGAGAAGCAGACTCCCCACTGAGCAGGGAGCCCGATGTGGTGCTCAATGCCAGGACCCCAGGATCATGACCTAAGCCAAAGGCAGAGGCTTAACCAACTGAGCCACCCAGGCACCCTCCTTCCCCCTTCTAGTCAGAAAGGTATCCAGGACTCTGGAGCAGGCAATCTTTTTTTTTTTTTTTTAAAGATTTATTACTTATTTATTTTACTGAGAGAGAGAGAGAGACAAAGAAAAAGAGCAAGAGAGAGAAAGCATGGGTGTGTGCAAACTGGGGCAGGTGGGGAGTGGAGGGAGACTCTCAAGCTGACTCTGCACTGGGCACACAGCCTGCCAGTGGCCCAATCCCGTGACCTTGATGTCATGAGTTGAAAGCAAGAGTTGGATGCTTAACCAACTAAGTCACCCAGGCACGGTTTTCTTTTTTTAATCTCTTTAGAGGCATATGAAAGGAATTTTCAAGATCAATGATATAAAATGTATTTTAAGCCGCCCACTTAAAATCAGCCGATAAATCTAATTATTCACACAGTGAACTAGATCTTAAAACAGTTCAAATTTTAAATTATACATTCACTCACCTGCACAATTGAATGCACACCAACTGTCTGCATAGCTTGGCTTTCATCATCTGAGGTGATAGCAACAAAACTAAATCCCCGAAAAAGCTGATGTGCATTTGCACTGGGTGGAATGCCAGGTGAATCTGAAAAGAATAATATGTTACTAAGAAGGTAATACTCTGAAAGCTAATTAAAGGAAGAATTGTTGACAGTATGACCTTTCTCACTTATTCTGGAATTCCACTTCTTAGGCATCCAGGGCTTCCAGGATAACTCAGTGAAACACTCTCTCAGCTTTGTCCTTATGGCTTATTGGTATCACAACTCTAACATCCTATCTCCTCTGAGCCCAGAAAATAGCTAATACATTGAAGAATATAATAAATCAGTGAATTACTAGGTTAATGTTATTCTAAATTAGCACTGTCTCATAGAATTCCCTGTAGTGATGGAAATTTTCTTTACCTGTGCTGTCCAATATGGTAGCCAGTAGCCACATGCAGCTCTCAAGCATCTGAAATGTGGTTTAGTGTGACTGAGAAACAAACTTTTATTTTTATTTTTTTAAAGATTTTTTATTTATTTGACATACAGAGAGAGATCACAAGTAGGCAGAGAGACAGGCAGAGAGAGGCGGGGAAGGAGGCTTCCTGTTGAGCAGAGAGCTCCATCCCAGGACCCTGAGCCGAAGGCAGAGGCTTAACCCTCTGAGCCACCCAGGTGCCCTGAGAAACAAAATTTTAAATTTTAATTAATTTAAATTCAAATAACCACATGTGACTACTGGCTACCATATTAAACAGTACAACCCTACATGATAACCTAACAATGCTATGGCTCCTGGTGAGGGGGAGATACAAGATTCCTCTACAGATAATTTAGGAGAAAGAAATTTAGTCTGGTGATCTCAGTATATAACATCAGAATCTAGAAATCTAAACTACAAGTTAAAAATTACTATATTTATATATATATATAAGGAATAAAAGTAATTTCTAATCATGGTATGCAGACCTTAGAATATATTTTATGACATGACACGTATGGTTACTCAAATTATTTGTGTGGAATCTACTGGCATTAACAAAAATAGAAAAATATTTTAAAAATTTAATTACAAAAACAAACAAGATATAACAAATGTGCTATTCATAAATATAAACACACAACTAAGCATACTAATATTTATAATTACACTATAAAATCTAGGCACAAGCAAAAACCAAACAGGCAATATACTTAAACATCAACTCCACATAAAGTTCTTTTTTAACATCAGCTTGACATTCTCAGCAACAAATACTGTTTAGTGCATTTTAAATCAATGTGACAGTATTATACTGAAGAACTATGCTAAGAGAACCAATCTGGGTAGAATACAATACAGAACTGCTCTCTTTTGACATTTTTCCTCTATCAGGCCAAATTGTAATGAGAAAGCAAAGTAAAACATTACCATATATCATCAATTCTATGCATATCACTGTTCATGTATTTGATAAAATTTTACATATTAATCTAAATTTCTAAGACTGTCTTACCAAAAAATAATAAAATCCATTGATGTTTAACCAAATTATGAGGATAGTGACTAGAAAGCTTTATAGTGAGGTTTAAATGATATACTCTATAGAAAATATATGCAAATACACTTTTTATTTATTTGCTTGTCAATGATAAACCTGGGGTCTGGTACACCTAAATGAGAGAGTACTAGAGTGCAGAACACAAAATTATATGCATACACATACTAATTTAATAAAATACAGATTATCATTTCAAAGATAACTTCTCTAGAAGAGTCATTGTTTATGCAATTTTAGGATAAAGCATGACACAGGATATGAATCATTTTGAAATGATCACACCTCATGTAAAGTTTATGTTTTGGATTTGAACTTCACAAGTACTTCCAGAATTCTACCTAATATCAGAGTTTTAAAGAGTACTACCTATACTGAAGAATATTTCATGTAAAAATAGCTACAGGTAAATGAACGCACAACCAAAGAATTTTTCCACATAAAGAGTATCAAAGTTTAAGGTACCACCTAATTTGCTAAAAGATTTAACAAGGATCTTAACTGCTATAAAATGTTGTAAAGGAGTTACTAATTTTCTAGTTATTGAAGCAGGGATACGGTACACAGGGCAGATATGAAGATAAAATTAGGAGTCATATATATGTGTTACATTTAGGTTTTCACATTTTCTCCTTACCTTTGGGAGTTTTTGCAGTAAACTCAGGATCAAAATAGAATGTATCTTCAGGCCTGCCAGTTGCAGGTTTAAAAGGTGGATGAATTTCTCTTCTGTACAGTTTCTGGTGGAAAAAAAGAGAGATTTAGACATGCATTAAATACAAAAAAATTCAAGAAAATTTTCATTGTATACTCACATTCCAGTCTATTGTTGAGAAAAATGAATGTCTTTTAATTTCCTCAACTCCATCTGGTCCTGCACCTATCAAAAATTAAATGGTTTAAAACTTTTGATTAAATGGTAATTTTATTTCAAGGAGGAATAGGTAATTTAGTGTTTGTTTTTAATATATGTACTACTATGTCATAATTCCACAACAAAACAAATACCCACCTCCCCCCACTAAAAAATCCCAAAGACCAACAAACACACAAAAGAAACAAATTTATTACAAATTTTACCCAATCTGTTCGCAGGATTTCGTTTGAAAAGCATTCGTAAAAGACTCTGGGCTTCAGGACTCAAAAACTGTGGCATCCCAAGCTTGGCTCTAAATAATAAATCCACATAATAACGTTTTATTTTTTGGAAGTATTTGTGTTCTATTTTAAAATTGTTAATCCTTTCTATTTTGAGATAATTGTGGATTTATACTAAGTTGTAAGAAATAATATAGATCCTGTGTACACTTTACCCAGTTTTCTCCAATGGTCACATCTGACAAAATCATAATACACTATCAAAACCAGAATACTGACTTTGGTACAATCCACTGATCTCCTTCAGACGTCTCCAGTTTTAACTGCACTCACTGTGTGTGTAAGCTTAGTCCTATGCCATTTTACCGTATGTATAGGTTGCTGCAGCCATCACCACAGTAAAGATACTGAACAGTTCATTACCATCAGCATACCTCACGTCCCTTTATAACCACACCTGCCTCCTTCCCTCTCCAGTTCCTAACCTCTGGCAATCACAAATCTATTCTACATTTCTGTAACTTCGTCATTTTAAGAATGTTATGTAAGTGTAATCATAAAGTGTGTAATCTTTTTTTTTTTACTCAGTATAAATTCCTCTGAGATTCATCCAAGTTGTTGAGTAATATTCCACAGTATAGTTGTACCACAATTTGTTTATCTATTTCCCTGTTGAAGGGTATCTGGATTGTGTCATTTGGGTTACTACAAATAAAGATGCTATGAACATTTGTGTATAGTTTTTTTGCGTGGACACTTAATAGAATTTTAGTTCATAATCTTTTTTTTAAAGATTTTATTTATTTATTTGAGAGAGAGAGAGAGAGAGAGAGACAGACTACAAGCAGGGAAAGGGGCAGAGGGAGAGGGAGAAGCAGGCTCCCCGATAAGCAGGGAGCCCGACAGGGGGCTTGATCTCAGGACCCCGGGATCATGACCTGAGCCGAAGGCAGACACTTAACTGACTGAGCCACCCAGGCACCTCAGTCCATAATTTTCTAACAAACTTTTCCATTTTTATAAATTTTGCAACAAGCACTGCTGTGAGAGTAAGATATCTAAGTTTTAGTTCTGGCACTGTTACTAAGAACTTTGTGACCTTGGGAAAAGACAATCCCCTTGGGTCTGTTACTACTTCTTTATAAGCAAGGGACTGACCGTTAGATCAATGGCTCCCAAACTATAACCTTGGAACCTTTTTTTCAAAAGGAATTTAAGAAATCCACTACTTAAAACTGCTAAAAGAACATGTGCTTCATATGCTTATGTTTTCCTCCCATTCCCTTTAACAATCCTACAGGGAAGAAGAGCTGGTAGGAAAGGGGTCTGTGGAACTTCTAAGAGTCTATAGCACACAGTCTGAAACCCACTAGCTTGAATGAGCTTGAAGGTCAGTTTCAGCTTTTATATATAATTTTATTTTTTCCCCTAACTTATACATTAATGAAACTCTCTCTAAGTACAAAAACGATAACAGCTGGGGAAATGGCTAGCAGAGAAATTTCTACTTCAGAAACAGATCCATTTATTATTCAAAGAGTTGTTAGTGTGCTACAATGTGCCAGCTATTCCTTAGTGCTGAGGGTACAGGGATAAAGATAGGAGAAGATAGAGATGGACAACCTGAGGATAATCCTGATATGTGAAGAGGCAAATTCAGAAGGACATATGGAAAGACTGCTAAGAGAATAGCAGGGGATATCTAATTTAACATGAGAGAATGAAGGGCCTTAAATGCAGTTAAAGATTGAGAATTTATTCACCTGGCCAGCATTCTCCCAACATTTTACTAAATAACTTTAATTTCTCTAGATACTCAGCAACAACCAAAAAATACATGATCTAATGAATTTGTGGAATGCTATCTATAATATCCCTCTTGGAGACACAGAATAAAATACACTGCATACAAAACACTGAGAAATCTAAAGTAAAGAATCAGTATTTTTCTAAATATTTGCTGCTAGTATGTCTTTTTCAGAGAATACCTATTCACATCTTGTAGAATTAGGGTTCTACTGAACAAATCTGGGAAAATACTGCCATATTAGGTAATAAGGATATAGCAGAGGTCTTTCAATGGTGGACTAACATGACCAAATTTATTTTCAACAAGGTAACTCCAGAGGTTAGTATAGATTGATCTGGAGTAGGAAGTGGTGGTAGTTGTAGGCATTTTACTTCGGAGCTTTACTCAGTAGTGTATGTAGGAGACTACCACAGTCTGAGAACTATAAGCAGTGCAGTGTAAAGGAAAGCCTGGGACACCGAGAAACTTTCGAGAGCAAATTTGGTCAATACCTGCAAGTGCAAGAGAGGGGAAGAAATCAAGAATGGTTTTCAGGTTTCTGGCTAGGGAAATAGGGTGCTTAGAAATGAGGCTAATTGGGGTGTCTGGGTGGCTCAGTCAGTAAAGCATCTGCTTTTGGCTCAGGTAATGATCCCAGGGTCCTGTGATCGAGCCCTGCATCAGGCTCCCTGATTAGCGGGTAGCCTGCTTCTCCCTCTCCCACACCGATTCTTGTGTTTCCTCTTTTGCTGTGTTTCTCTGTCAAATAAATAAATAAATAAATAAATAAGTAAGTAAGTCTTTTTAAAAAAATGAGGGTAATTGAAAATACAAGAAGAAAAAAAGAACACCAAACAGATAAATTTAAATTAAAAATGTTAAGTCATACATATCATGTTTTTGGAGAGCTATGCTGGTGATTAAATGCCAATAACAGGTCTGATGCCTGGTTAACTTAAAGTAAGAAAGAGTAATTTGAGAGTAACTAAAATGCTGAGAGTAGTTAGAGGAAAGACTGAAGTCAGCCAGGAAAATGAGCACAGAAGGGAAGAAAAGCATATCAAAGATGAAACCCTGGGGAACAAGAACATTTAAACAGTAGTCAGAAAAAGAACAATTTGAGCATTAAAAATAATGAATGCAATTGTTTGTAAATGCTGAATCACACTGATTATTATATCCCATAGATTCATTATAGTAAAATACGAAAAGGTCAAAACTAACATAAAACCCAACTCACTGGACATCATCACCACTGGAGGTAATTAGGGCTCTGACAACTGGAAATTAAGAATCAAACATTTAGGGGCGCCTGGGTGGCTCGGTGGGTTAAAGCCTCTGCCTTAGGCTCAGGTCATGATCCCAGGGTCCTGGGATCCAGCCCCGCATTGACCTCTCTGCTCAGCGGGGAGCCTGCTTCCCTTCCTCTCTCTCTGCCTACCTCTCTGCTTGCTTGTGAGCTCTGTCAAATAAATAAATAAAATCTAAAAAAAAAGAATCAAACATTTATTCTGCCTTTCTTGTTTGAACCTTATTTCAAGGTAACTGAAGAGCCCTCATTGATTAGAGAAAGTTCAGTGTTTTGGGAAATACCAACTAATAAATGAAGAAGGAATAATAGCAATAGAAAAATCATGATTTTTGAATCCCTAATAAAATAACTGTTTCAACTAATGATTATCAATGGTTGAAAACACGAGATGAAACCCTGCCAGGGAAATTCGCAAGAGAGGGACCAGCTGTAACTATAGGAACTCATCACTTAAAGTGGGCCAACAAGGTGTTCTAAGCCTTCTGACGTGACGCAATAGGGTGCACCATGAGCTATGAAATGATCTTGCCAAAAAAAAGTTTAAAGAGAAATGCGATAAAGGAACAAGTTAAACAATATTACAAGGAAAATAAAACAATTTCAACCCTCCTAGGAAAAGACGAATTGTTGTGTAACCATGTTAATGAGAGCCACAAGAACTGGCTTTAAAGTCATTTAACTGATCAAAACAACTTGCCTAGGTAAACACTGTTTGTTTGTTTCTGTTTTTTCCCAAACCAACCCATCAATAACTGCTCTTCATCTGTGAAAATCAAACAAGAATGGACTGACTCCAACAACCACACCTGAGTCCCAAGTGATCAACAACAGACCCACCCAAGTAACCACTCTTAGAGATGATGTCAACCCACTTATGGCCCTGAAAATCTGCCAAGGTTTGAACTCTACCCTTCCCCCCGGAAGTCTATGTAAGAACAGTGGTCTACACTTCTTAGATGCTATCAAGATTAGCATCACTCTCCCTTACTATAGTAAGCAGTAGGACTGGCTTCAATGCTTTTTGTTTCATGTACTTAGGGTCGTCTTTTGACAAGATAAATTCTGAAGGTGGAATTCTGTAAAACTGTCTTGGTTTCTTCCCCAAGCAAATGGTAGGCAAAAACAGGGTAGAGTGTTCTGGAAAAACAGAAGTTTGAGAAATACAACCAAATGAAAGGTTCAGATGTGATTTGGGACTACAGAGACACAGCTTTGGAGAAAACCTGAAAAATCTGTTTAAGAACTGGTGTTAGTGTATACCTCAGCAGTGTCTTGTTAGGTGTGGTCATATAAGAAAACATCCATACTTTCTAGTGATGTAACCTGCAGTAGGTGAGAAATGGCATGTGTGGAATGCTTAAAATATTTCAGTGAAGAGAGGAAGCACATGTGGCAAAATCTTCATGACTGCTGAATCTGCATGACTGATCTATGTGTTCACTGTATTAACACTATTTTTATGAATTACATTAGAAATTTTTCATAATTAAACAGAGAAAAGCAAGCAAAGAAGGAATGGTCAAGCAGGAGACCAAAAGAGGAACTGTTAGGGAGGCAGCAGCAGCAGATGGGAGTAGGAAGATCTAAATGGGGAGAAAGTGGCCAACAGTGTCAGATACTCCCAGAGGCAACTTTCTTACCTGTCTTCTCTAAAATGGCTCCTGCCCCTACTCCTTCCCTCACACTTCAAGAATAATCTGGTTCATTATGTCTATTGCTCCTATTATTATCTGAAGTTATTATATTCACTTGTTTAAATATTAATTCCTTGTCTCCCCCTAGGATGCAAGCACTGTGAGATGACAGACGATCCTGTCAGTCTTGTTCACACTGCATCCTACACAGAGGTAGCAAGACCCCAATCATCTGTTGAATGAATTGTGTGAACAAATCGTGCAGAGAGTCACCTTTCTAACAATGTGCCACTGGGTTAAGCAACCAGATCACTGCTGACCAGAATGAGAGAAGTTTCAGGAGATTGGTGGGAACAAACCACCAATGGGCTGCTGAATACAAGCAGCCAAGAAATGGTACCAGAAAGCACAGACAATTCTTTAAAGAGGCTTTCTGTTGAAAGGATGCAGAGAGATGGTGCAGAAAGCTGAAAGGAAGCCAGGTCAAGAGAGGGTTGTTTTTTGTTTGTTTGTTTTGAAATTAGAGTATATTCGTTAGCTGAAAAGAAGGGGCCAGGATCGATGGAGTAATGAAGGTTCAGGGAAGAGTCACTTATATAGCAAGTATTTTTTATCGTGGAGAATAACAAAGTGCAAAACAAACAAACCCTACACAACCCCAACATCACCAACTTATACAGTTTATGGATTTACCAAAAAGTGAACAGTCATGTGGCCAAGAAATGTAACACTGTAACCTGTCATTCAATGTTAACCACTTTTCTTATTTTGCCTTGGCTGTTGCCATCTACATATGGGCCTTAAAAACTATGCTTTAGTTTGTCTGCTTTAAAACTTTATCAACAGAGGGGCAACTGGGTGGTCAGTCAGTTAAGCGTCTGCCTTCAGCTCACGTCATGATCCTGGGGCCCTAGGATCAAGCCCCACATAGAGCTTGCTACTACCTCTCCCTGCCCCTGGCTCATGCTCTCTCTCTCTCAAATAAATAAATAAAATCTTTGGGAAAAGAAAAACCAAAAAAACTTTATAAATAGAACCATATAGTTATTTATTCTTTTGTGTCTGAACTGTTTTTGCTCAACATCCTTACACAATTAATCCAAGTACCTGCGTATAACTGGTTTGTTCATTTTCTTTGCTGTATGGTACACTGCACCCCTGGGCCAAAGGCCTCAGTCTGTTTTTGAAAGGCTTTCGAGCTAAGAATGGTTTTTACATTATTTTTAGGATTTTATTTGAGAGCAAGCGAGCATGAGCGGCAGGGAAGAACAAAGGGCAGGAACAAGCAGACTGCGCGCTGAGGGTGGAGTCCAACATGGGGTTTGATCCCACGACCCTGAGACCAGGACCTGAGCTGAAATCTAGACTCCGAGGCTTAACTGACTGGGCCATCCAGGTGCCCAGGGACCCGGCTTTTAACATTTTTAAAGTGTTGGAAATAAACAATAAAGAATAAGAATATGTGACAAACAGTGTGTGTGGCTTGCAAAGCCTAAAATATTTACAGATCATATGTCAACCCCTGCTCTATCTCATTTATGAATATATCATAATTTATTAATCTACTCTACTGCGAGTGATCCATTTTCCACTTTTTGGCCATTACAAATAATGCTGCTATGAACATCTTTGTTCTAGTTTCTTGATGTGCAAGTACCTCAATGCATGTAAACTGGGTGCATGCGTACGAGTGGGATTACTGGATGAGGGTATACATGTATTTGGCTTTAGAAGATAATGTCAAAAACTGCTTGCCAAAGGTTGTAAGAACCTTCTAGCTATGGATGAAAGTTGCCACTGCTCCACATCCTGTCAGCACTTGATATTGTTTAGCCATTCTGGTGGGTATGCAATTGTAGCCCATTGTGGTTGTAATTTACATTTTCTGATTTACATATTAGAATCAGTTTATCAAGTTTCACACAAAAAACTTCTTAAAATTTAAATTCCATCTGCATTATTATTATACGCTGTATAATATGGTAGCCACTAGGGGCGCCTGGGTGGCTCAGTGGATTAAAGCCTCTGCTTTCAGCTCAGGTCATGATCCCAGGGTCCTGGGATGGAGCCCCCCATCAGGCTCTCTGCTTAGCAGGGAGCCTGCTTCCTCCTCTCTCTCTGCCTGCCTCTCTGCCTACTTGTGATCTCTGTCAAATAAATAAATAAAAAATCTTTAAAAAAAAATATGGTAGCTACTAGCAACAAACAGCCACCAAGCACTTGAAATATGGTTAGCCCAAATTCTAAGTATAAAGTGCACCCTGGAAAAAATAAAATAAAATGCACATTGAGTTTCAAATAAGTATGGAAAAAATGTATCATATCTCATGAATCATTTTCTATTGTTGATTACATGTTGAAATGACATCTTGGCTATACTGGGTTAAATAAAATATATTATAATCCATACTAAATTTTTTTACTTTTTAAATGTTTCTACTAAAAATTTAAAATTACACAGTAATTTTACATTACATTTCTATTGGAAAATGCTCATCTATACAAACCCACATCTTTACAATACTGTGTCTGTCATAATGTGAATATGGTACAACCTTACAAAACAATCCTTTAAATTTTTACTTTTTTCCTTTATTTATTTATTTGACAGACAGAGATCACAAGCAGGCGGAAAGGCAGGCAGAGAGAGAAGGAGGAAGCAGGCTCCCCACCGAGCAGCGAGCCTGATGCGGGGCTCGATCCCAGGACCCTAGGATCATGACTGAGCCAAAGGCAGAGGCTTTACTTTAACCCACTGAGCCACCCAGGCACCCATTAAATTTTCTTTAAATAAAATTTCCTAGTTTTCTGCATAGAGTTTTTACATAACTTTTGCTAGATTTATCCCTAATTATTTGAGTTTTTTATACTATTGTAAATATTATCTTTTTAAAAAATTTCATTTTCTGTTGCTACTATGTAGATATAAAATAGATTTTATTTATTCACCTCTGATCCAACAACTTTGCTAACCTCTTATTAATTCTAAGAATATATATGAAGATTTGGATTTTCTACGGACACAGTCATGTTGTATAAATAAGGACAACCTTATTTCTTCTTTTTAAACCTTAAACCTTATTTCATTTCCTGGCCTTATTATACTTGCTAGTATCTCTAGGACAACATGAAGAGAAGTGGAATAATCGATGTCCTTGTCGTATGCCCAATTTAAAAGGTGGAGCTTTCACTATAATAACATTAACATGAAGATTATATGAGTACTCCTTTGGAGATGTAACCCAGAGCCCTGGATCCCTGGTGTTTCTGCTTGGGGCAGGGGCCTTGTCTCTGGCTGTACTTGGTGAAGGGCATGAATAAGGGCCAAAAGCTCCAACATTTGTGTGCCCAGAATTGAAAAAAAGGAACATGAATACTCTAAATCTACAGGGCTGGTTCATATTTGAAACACATTAACATTAACGCCATAATATCAATGAATAAAATTTCATATTTCAGTTTGAAGCATTTATTTCTAAATCTCATCAAAACATATTCACTAGGGAGTACTTAAGGAGTACTTACTTAAGAATCATAGTCATTGTTTCTTTTCGATCTTTTCCTTGGAAAGGTAGTGTACCAGTGAGCATTTCAAACTACAAAAAGGCAACATCATCAGGGGTATTAGTCAAGAAGTATAAAATCTCAAGGCCAGAAAATAAAAAAGCATCATCTTACTTCAAACCAAACCTTGTAAAATTGCTATATAATAAAACAAGTGATTTATACTTCCACCATATTACTGAACTCAAAAAACACCCCAATCCTTACCATTAACACACCAAAAGACCACCAGTCCGCACTTTGAGTGTGACCTCGACGATTAACTACTTCGGGAGCCATGTATTCCACAGTTCCACAGAAAGAATAGGCCTTCTTTTCATGGTCAATAGACTCTTTACTTAGGCCAAAATCTGCCAAAATAAATACATAATTCATAACTGTCCTACAATAATTTCCACACTTAAAGTTTAAGCTTTGAGTTCCAATATTTACATTTATTAAAAATTCTAATCCAAGTTTTCAAGGCAATGTGTTACTCAATATTTGAACCACAATCAAATTTAAAAGAAGTTATATAGAGTAGAAGAGAATATTTTAATAAAATGAGGATTTTTTACCTGTTAACTTGATGTGACCTTCTTCATCAAGAAGTATGCTGAAAGAAAACAAATTCAGAAAATCTTTCAAACCACTAGATACTTATAGAACCTAGAACTGAAACTACTGTGTTAAGCACCAGATCACCACATTTCTTCTAAAATATTGTTTTAGACTGTGATAAGGGAAAGGTAAAAAAGGAGAAAATTTTTTTTGGACACACATACATAACAAAACCCAAAGGCAAAGCCTTATAAACGTGTATTAAGGGCATTTGAAAACTATAAGGAAAAGAACTAAAACCTATATTCTAATTTCTAGTTGCTCTTTGTAATGCTTTTCTGCAGAGGTGGCCTAACTAAAATCCTTAGTGCTTGCACAATAGACAGAGGGTCCACATATTTAAGTCAACTGCATTAAAGCTGTCATTTTTTGGGTCATTTTTTAGGTATGTGACTCAACCATTCTCTCCTAGTTTCTCTATCCAATCCTCTTTTTCTTTTCTTTTTTTTTTTTTTTTTTAGAGTCGGGGAGTGGAAGGAGAGAGAATCTTAAGCAGCCTCGATGCTAGACACAGGGCTTGATCTCAGAATCCAGTGATCATGATCTGAGCCCAAATCAAGAGTTGGACACTTAACCAACTGAGCCAGCCAGGTGCCCCCTATCCAATCTGTGTAAGTTCTCCAGTGTTTTCTCTCTTAGTAAACTCTGAGCTTCTAGGTTTGACCTTATTCATCTTGTTGCTCAGTGCCTGGTAGAGTAGAGACAAGTAAGAAACATATGTTGAATGCATGGGGCCAGTCTACAAAAGGCCAATAAGGCATTCCAAATAGTTTGGGCTTCTTCCCAAGGGCACTGAAGATCATATAAAGTTTATATGCATGAAACGCAGAGATAATCAGATCTGCATTTTCATAAAACAGTTCAGAGGGGAAAATAAAGGGTATTTAGTGAGGTCTTAAATATGGATCATGATAAAGAACAAATGGAGAAGACACTAGGTTTCCGGCTTTAGGAGATACTTGAGTGGAGAATAATGTCATTAATTAACAAGCTATAGGAAGGGATAAGTACTAGGCTGTAGGCCAATAATTCTATTTCTGGATAGGCATTTTAGTATATTGACTTGAAATGCCAATTAATAAACTGTTTCACTTATTCAAAGCCATTCTATAAAATAGGCATTTCTTCACTTTTAATTCTAACTAAAAAAAAGTGAAAGCCAAATTTTGCTATAATAAAATTTTACTGTGTCAAAAATACTACCAACCTTTCTATGTCATCAATTCAAATAGGATTACAATAAAGTTTACCACTGTGGATAATTCAGTAGGGACTTATTTTTCATGTCTTCATAAGGGACTTATAAAAAAATACAAGCTTAATTATGCTCAATTACAAAGCAGACTAACCATTTCCAGAATATAAAGCAAATTATTAGGTATGCTGGAAATTATCTTCCGTCTAATAAATACATGAAAGACAATTCTAAAAACAAAACTTCAAATCACTCTTGGTAATTTTGAAAAAAACAAAAGAGAGAGAGAGAACATAGCTAAGCTAACAGAACATTACTTATTCCTTCTATAGCAAATGCATTTTTTTTTAATAATTATATATTTTTTAAAACCATATAATATATTTTTATCCCAGGGGTACAGGTCTGTGAATCGCCAGGTTTACAACTTCACAGCACTCACCATAGCACATACCCTCCCCAATGTCCATAACCCCAACCCCCTCTCCCAGCAAATGCATTTTTTTAAGATAACCATGTCCACCCTTTAAAAAAAAGACAAAGGTCTTTTTTTTCTAAATTTTTTTAATTTTTAATTTTTTCAAAAGATTTTATTTATTTATTTGTCAGAGAGAGAGAGCGAGCACAAGCAGGCAGAGCAGCAGGCAGAGGCAGAGAGAGAAGCAGGCTCCCCACTGAGCAAGGAGCCCGATGCGGGACTTGATCCCAGGACGCTGGGATCATGACCTGAGCCGAAGGCAGTGGCTTAACCAACTGAGCCACCCAGGCGTCCCCACTCTTTACCTTTGAAAGAAAAAGCCAACTGTATTACTTTCAATAGGCAAAGTTCCTTTTCAACTACTAATAATCATTTTCAACCATATTTATTATAACAGAGTTCTGGTTTAAAAGAATGTGGGAAACCCCTTACAGTGCATAAAGCAACTGGTCTAAAAACTGAAATTTCTTCCAAGTTCTATATGATGGTATATAGTTGGATTACTTAACAACTAAATGTTACTTCAACTAATAGTGTCATCTAGGCATCTTTGTGAAAGATCTAACTTCTTACTTACATTAGATCTTATTTGACTCTTAAGAAAGCCCCATGCTGTATACATAATTTTATGACCAATGCTAATCCAATGGTTTGCAATAAATACATTCAACTAAATGATATAAAACACTAACACATATTTTTATTATGTTTAATCATATGTTTATAGTAATTTTTTTCTTCTAAGGACCATATACTTGAATATTTATTCTCACTAGGAATTATATTTTGTGTCTTTATAGTGCGAAATCAGGAAAATGATGAGAAAAAACAAAACTTAGTAATTATCTGGGGAATAACAATGGATGCATATAAAACTTATCTAAAACCAAAATGAAAAATGAAAGTAAAATGTGAAAGTATAATAATTTCTAAATGATCATGTAAATAGGATCCCAAAGGATCATTTCCTGTTGTAATATATAATTTAAATTTTGCATGTAACATTTTAATGTAAGTAATATCCAAATTCTTTTTTCTTTTTAAAGATTTATTTGAGAGAGACAGAGAGAGTGTGAGTGTGAGTCAGGGGTGGGGGACAGAGGGAGAAGGAGAGAATCTTAAGTAGGCTCTATGCCTAGCACAGAGCCTGATAAAGGGCTCCATGTCACAACCCTGAGATCATGACCTGAGCTGAAATCAAGAGTTGGACACTTAACTGACTGAGCCACCCAGGCGCCCCAAATACTAGCTTCTTGATACTTGCTACTACAAAAACAATGGGAAATTTGCTCAACTCACACTAAGAATTTGAAATGATGTGGAGAAGAAAATTTTCAGGGGCTCAGGTCATGATCTTGAGGTTGTGAGACTGAGCCCCACATCAGGCTCCACACCTGGTGTGGAGCCTGCTTAAGATTCTCTCTCTGCCTCTCCCTCTGCCCCCTGCTCATGCATGCTCTCTTTCTCTCTCCCCACCTCCCTCGAAAAATTCAATAAATGGTATTTGAAGGAAAGCATTAACTCTATGCTATCCTTCATACCAAAAAATTTCCAGATGGAGTTAAAAGTTAAAAAAGAAACCATAAAATGAGAATGTAAGTATCTGATTATGGGATTGGAAAAGGCTTTCTAAGACTAAAAGTCATGGAAGAGATAACAAAAGTCTGGTAAGATCTGACTAAGAAAAAAATACTTGTATAGGTAAAAATAGAATAAGTTAAAATTAAAATACAAACTAAAAAGACTATTTGCAATATATGTCAAATGGTTAAATTCTTAATTTCTAAAGGTATCTTATAAAACAACAGGAAAAAAATATTCCAAGATAAATGAAGGCCACGAACAGAAAATCACACAAAAATAAAAACTGTCAATAAACATATGCACATGGATTTCAATCTCATTAAAAATAAAAATATGCAGTGGAGCCTGAGTGGCTCAGTTGTTAAGCGTCTGCCTTCGGCTCAGGTCACGATCCCAGGATTCTGGGATCGAGCCCCACATCGGGCTCCCTGCTGGACAGGGAGTCTGCTTCCTCTCCCACTCCCCCTGCTTGTGCTCCCTCTCTTGTTGTGTATCTCTCTGTCCAATGAATAAATAAAATCTTAAAAAAAAATGCAAATGAAAACAAGATAACAATAACATATTATAACTGGCAGATTTTTAGAAGTATAAGATTACATAGTGTTATCACAAATGTGAAGCACAGGTACTCTAATATAATTCTTGTGGTAGTTCTACAAAGTAATTTTATTTTTTATTACCTCTTAGATAATTTTATTACATTGTATTCAACTTAGTAGCATAATTCCTTACTTTTCTGGTTTTAAGTCTCTATAGATTATTCCCAGGCTATGTAGATGGTCTAAAGCAAGTGCAAGTTCGGCCAAGTAGAATTTGACATCTTCTTCTGTGAACATCACCTAAAATAAAATAATAATTTTTTGTCTTATTTTCTGTATCTGTAGCTTTTATTTAAAATTCCATCCTAGAGTTTAAATATTTAAAAAGTTATAAACACGCTAATCACATGTAGTTTTATCCACTTTACTAATGAAAGGAAATTTGCGAAAATCCCTGACTGATCAAATCAGTCAACTAATCACTTTCTAAATGCTAAATGTGCACTGTGGGGGAAATAATTTTACATTTTATTAAGTAACATCTATATTCAGATTGTGCCATTGTTGCCCTACCACAGTAACATCTTAGAAATGAAAAGTGATCTTTTAATTGCATGCTGAATTTCCAGTATTGTTTAAGGATACCTTGATATATTATTTATTGCTTCTGAAAACTGGAACTAAAAGATGCAGGACAAAGGACAAAGACATTTTATCAATTTAAAGTCCCACTTTCAGAATAATTTCAAAAGGTAGGAAAAGAACTCTTTTTGGCTCTAATTAAGATTCTTGTGCCACTAGAGAAAACACGATAAACATAATATTGAAATATAACAAAGTTTTTGGTAAAACAGGATGCGTATAGATAGATTAAAAATAAAGATTAATTACATACCTCTTTGGATAAGCGTGTAAACAAATCTCCTCCCCTGAGAAAATCCAAAATAAGATACAACTTCCCTTCAGTTTGAAAAGCTGAATGAAGAAATGAGAATTTCTGTTTAATCCGCCAGTTTATTTTTTTGGCTTACATTAGGTCAACTCATTCACAAATTATTATTATTGAATAATGAATATTATTTTAAGCAAATTAATGATTATATCATAGATCTAAATTTATTTTTTATGAGAAGATAACCACTGATTTCTCTTAGTGTCCATGTGGAAATGTTAAAGGCTGAGTTTTTTATTATGGAACCACTAGAACATTTGTTGCATTTTCTTCAGGCCACAGTCTCCCAGGAATACAGTTGTTTTAAAACATGTGATCAGGGGCGCCTGGGTGGCTCAGAGGTTAAAGCCTCTGCCTTCGGCTCAGGTCATGATCCCAGGGTCCTGGGATCGAGCCCCGCATCGGGCTCTCTGCTCCGTGGGGAGCCTGCTTCCCTTCCTCTCTCTCTCTGCCTGCCTTCCTGCCTACTTGTGATCTCTCCCTCTGTCAAATAAAAAAAAAAAAAAAAACCTTAAAAAAAGATGATAAAAAACATGTGATCAATCACATGGGTGGCTCAGTGGGTTAAGCCACTGCCTTTGGCTCAGGGTCCTGGGATCCCACCAGGCTCTCTGCTCTAATGTTGACATTAGGGATCTTTCTTGCTTTTAAGAAAAGTTGGGCTAACACATATGGACTATAAACTGCTGGTACACTGTTACTAATTATATAATATAATACAAATATATAAATATATAATAAACTCCTTATTATAATAAAGAACAATGATTATTATTACCTATTCCTATGGTTACCACTCAGAAACATAAGTATAAATGCAATAAAGGCTTCTAAAGTTTAAGAAGTAATGGTTTAATTTCCATGATATAATTTATCTGTTAAATACATGTAAATATACACAAGCAAATATTTATGTACATTAATACATCTGAATGCACTTAGGGAGTGGAGGATCAGGTGGAGGGATGAAGTTCCAAGTGGTTTTGAACTTACCATAATGTAACTTGACAATAAAAGGATGATTAACTTCTACCAAGATATCACGTTCCATTTTTGTCCGAACACGATCTCGAACTACAAAATATTGTACATATGGCTGTATTACAATAGCTTTCAGAGACAATCTTTAAAACAAAATCTCTTTGGTGCCTATTTTAAATTAAATTATGGTAAAGTATGAATTCATATTTTCATACATACCAATAAAAATTTATATGTACAAATAAAACTACTAGTCTCAAATTTTTAAAATTAATGTATTTTTTACTAAATTATATAGCTAGACAAATTGTTCATGTTTATAAAATCTGTGCTTTACATTTAAAAATACATACAGAGAACATATCAGAATTTTAATCAGATGTTGGCTTTAACATCAAATATATAAGTATTTTAATCAAAGTTATAAAAAATGACCAAAAAAGAGTAACTTTTTAAAAAATGAAGCATCCCAATGAAATACTCAAACACCCAAGAAAATGGAATAGGTTTTACTAACCCCTACCAATCTTATCAACTCGATTTAACAAGCATTCATTAAGCAACTGTAAAATGTGACAGACATGGTGAATGATGGGTATACCCAAAAAGGTCTATTTTGGGGGAAAGAGGAGAGAAAGGGGAGATGAAATAACGTGGTACAGCTGAAAGAGCAAAGGCTTTTTGGAGTTAAATCAGATTCAGATCTGTGTAATCTTAAGCAAGTTACCTACTCAAACTCTTTGAGCCTCCACTGCCTCTCATCTATGAAGTAGAGATAACACCACTGTACCTTTGTAGGCTGTGTGACCATCTGAGATAAGGTCTGTACATCCCAGAGCCTGGTATATAGGAGATAGTCAATTAAATGGTAGCTATAGCACCATGAATATGATAAAGGGATAAAATGACTTATTACTAGCAATAAGTAGTACAGAAAGAAATTCAGGGAAGGAAAAGATGAGTAGGAAAGCATGAAGGAAGAGGTGGAGTTAGGCACTTTTGGAGTGGAATTTAGATGGATGGGAAGGTCAGACCTAAAGAAGAGAAGTCCAGGTATGGAGTACCAGAGCAAGCAAGGACATGGAGGCATGCATAAGGAAGAGAAAGGAACCAAATTGGTATGGAAATTGGGGAGGTTAAACTGGGAAGACCCAGATTCTTGACAATCTGGAATGGCAGATAAATTTACGTTTCGTCTTATAGGTAAAGCTCTCTTTTACCGATCAATGATTCCCTGAGCAAATTCTATGTAACCAGTACCATGAGACACAAATACAAACAAAATATTCTTCAGGAAGCTCATAATCTGATGGGAATGACAGACAACTAACTAAATAGAATACATTCTGGTAAGTATTCTGTGTTGGTAGCTCAATGGATTTAAGAAGTGAACATGATCATTCATTAAAATTTTATTATTTTATTCTGTTGCATAATAAGGATAAATCAGAAATGACTTGCATTCTTCAGGCCAGAAGGAGTGAATGGTTATGTCAAAGATTAAGCAGAAAGAACCAGGAAAAGAGTCTTCTGTAGGGGGAGGAGGATAGGGACAGAGAGAAAGATGAACTGGTATTCAATATAAAGTGACCAGATATTTAAAAACAGAAATAAGACCCCTGGAAAAAAAGAAACAAAGAATCTAAAACAAAATCCTATGATTCCCATTCTACCAATTTTCCACTTTCAATTGGGAGATTTCAGTGCCAGTGACTGAAAATGGGCAAACCAGATATAGAAATCATTTTGCTCTTGAGATCTACAAAGCTCTTTTAAATGACTTGTCCAGCAACAAGTATATCAAATTCAGTATCACTCTCTGATTTCATTATCTCATCCTATCACAACAACTGGTGTCTTCTATCCAACAGACCGTTTCTATTATTTATATAAATGAGGTTCATCACCTAGGTCTGCTGATAACTCTGTTCCAGTCTAGCCCACATTTGTGCTTTTATACTGCTACCCATATGATCTTGGATTCAGTTTCTATTACCTTAAAGCTGGATTCCAAATTTCTATCTTTCGATAATTATACAAAGATTACAAAGCTTATCATTTAAAACACACCTCTCTGCTCAGTGAGCAGCAAAAATAACCATCATTATATTTACTGCATATCCCTCATCTATTATTCTATCACGATGAAAAGAACAATTATTTGGGAGTCAGGAACTACAGGTTTCAGTGGCCCTGCTAGTAACTAGATGAATTACCTGCTCAAATTCTTACACTGCTCAGGGACTTCCTGCTTCCTTCTCTATAAAATGAGAGGCTAGAAAAAGATGATTTTTTTCCTGTTATGATTATGATTATCTTGTGAGGTGGTTTCCTTACATGTAACGCTGATGAAAACTTGTTTAGTTGAAAATGAGCAGCGAGATTTACTTACTCAAGAATTCCTTCATTTTGTCTGAGGTAGGACTGTGTAATAATTCTAATCTGGTTTCTTTTATCATGTAAAGTCCCACTGACAAATATAAATCATCCTAAAATCAAGAATTTTGATTAGGATATACTGGTTTAGAAGAAGGCATGTTTTATATTGGCTAAACTCTAAACCCTAAAATAGAATTTGTTAATAATGACTCATGCTGGCAAAGCAACCACATTCCTCTGAAATAATTTTTCTCATATAGTAGCTATTAGATTTTAAATCCTCCTTGACTTGAATGTAAGAGTGAACAAGAAGAAATGCTGTTTATGTTTCTAGGATTATGTATTAAGAAACTTTGAGGCCCACAGACTACTGTATTAGGACAAAAGTCCCTACAAACTCAACTTAACACTAATGACTTCTACTTGACCCCATTTATTGTATTAATAGGAACTCTGAAATGGAAAGAGACTTCTGGTTAAACATAAATGTTTTACTTTCTACATTCTTCCAAAGCCCCAATGAAATTACGATAATGGAAAAATTATGCATAAGCTCACAAGGACAAAGAACAGGATGAGAAAGCAAGAGCAGAAGATGAGTAAGTGGTAACTTATACAGTAGATAAGAGAAAGCTAAAAGCTAAGCCTGAGGGAATGAAGCCAATGAGAAATAAGGAAATTCTTGCCAGAGAACTCTTTCCAGTTGGCTATTTGGTAACTTACTCTTTTTTAAAGATTTATTTATTTGAGAAAGAGACTGACAGAGACAGAGAGAGAGAGAGAGAGAGAGAGGAGAGGTGCAGAGAGAGAAGGGGAGAATCTCAAGTGTACTCCCAACTGAGCATGGAGCCCAAAGTGGGGCTTGATCTCACAACCCTGAGATCATGACCTGAGCTGAAAGCAAGAGATGGACACTCAACCAACTGAGCCACCCAGGTGCCCTGGTATCTCACTCTTAAATGTGAAAAAGACAGCAAAGGATCCCCAAGCATTTGAGGAATGGCTCTAAAGATGAAAAACAGTTATAAAAATAAACAGGAAAAAAAGGAATAAAGGGTAACAGAGACAATGTAAAGAAGAAAAAAAGAAGAAAACTTAAAAATCAATGCCATAATAATTTATATACCCCAAAAGAGCAAAGACTATATGGCGCCCATGAAATAAGAAGCTTTAAAAAGGGTCGGGGTGGAAGGAACCAGTATCTTCAACAGATAACCTACCAAAAAAAAAATGGAGACAGAGTTCATAGATTAAAAGACTTACAGAGAATCAACCAACTACAAAATAGAGATATAGATCTCGATTCAAACAAATTGCAAAAAGAAAGATGAATTATAACAATAGGAAAAAGTGGAAATTCAAACACTGATTAGATATCTGTATATTAATTTTTTAGGTATAGTAATATAGTTATATTATTCAAGAATCTTTATCTTTTAGAGATATATACTAAAATATTTATGGAAGAAATTGTACAATGTCTAGGATTTGCATCATAGTATCAAGAGAGGGGAAAAGAAAGGACACAAACACAAAAAAAAATTGACCATGAGTTGAGAAATGCTGAGGCAGCAAGGAGGTTATATGGGGGTTCTCCATTTCTTTTGTTTCTTTCTGTAAATGTCTGACACTTTCCATACTGGAAAATAGAAGAGAACAAGGAAAATCTAGGAAATTAAAAATGATGGTAGAAACAAAAATGTCTATAGAAATTTGAAAGATAATTGGTATATTTCCTAGAAAATAGGGGGAAAAAGACAAAACTAAAAAACAGCAAGGAAAAAAATTAAACGATCCACGAAATCCAACATATTCAAAGAGCAGGAGTTACAAAATGGGGAAGAAATGACAAAATACTTGGCCAAAACTGAAGAAGTGAATTTCTAGATTAAAAGAGACCATCCCATACCTGATATGGTAAATTTCAAAAGTTCACACTAAAGAAATACCATTGTACAAATTCCAGAACAGCAGGGATAAAGAATTGAGTGGTTCTAAAAACTTCCAAAGAGGAAAAGCAGCTTACGTACAAAGGAATGGAAGTCAGTACTGCAATAAACCTCATAATTGCAACACAGGAAACTGGAAGACAATGGAAACTATGCCTTCAAATATCTGAGGGAAAATTATTTCTCACCTAGAATTTTATACTCAGCCAAATTATAAATTAACTGACAAGGTAGAATAAGGGCATTTTAAGACATTCAAGGTCACAAAAATTTTAGCATCCATTCACCCTTTCTGAGGTAGCTACTAGGAGATGTGTTCTACCCAGACTGGAAAGTGAACTGAGAAAGAGGTAGACCTAGAATTCAGAAAATGAGATCTCATACAGCAAAGATGTGAAGGTAATGTGACTCCAGTATACTATCTGGCTCAGTTAGGAACAGTTCTTACGAAGCTGTAATAATGTGGGACACATGGGTGGCTCAGTCAGTGTCTGCTTTCAGCTCTGGTCATGATCACAGTGGTACTGGGATGGAACCCAGCATCTGGTTCCTTGCTCAGTGGGGAGCCTGCTTCTCCCTCTACCTGCTGTTCTTCCTGCTTGTGTGTTCTCTTTCTCTCTCTGATAAATAAATCAACCAACCAACCAACCAACCAACCAAGCTGTAATAATGAAAACATTACTGGGCAGACATGAAAGGCAGAATTATGTGTGGGTGGTAGTATGAGAGAACTAAATCCTAATCTGCTATGTTAGGAAGTCAGTAAATTGTCACCAAATGAAAATAATCAAAGAACTGCAATTAAGAGTACTGAATGTGGATATAAATGACAGAAATAGCAGTTAAGGAGACAAAAGTCATTGTCTCTGAGGTTTGAGAACTGAGATAGGGAGGAGAGTTGGCAAAGCAATATTATTTTGTAAGATTCTATATACATATTACTTTGGTAAAAATTAAAATTGAACTTAAGAATGCGCTAAAAATTATCTGACCGCTTACAATTCCAATATGTCAAATATTTTCATTTTTCTAGGGTTTCTTCTATAGCTTATATCCATGTAATTTTACATACTTGTGGTAGCCAAATTTGTTATAACTGTTGACTTACATATTTTCATTAAGTTCACTTTGGGGATTATATTTGAAATATTTCTTTTTAAATAATATCCTATTAAATAGTATATATATATTTTATTTATTTGACAGAGAGATCACAAGCAGGCAGAGAGGCAGGCAGAGAGAGAGAGGAGGAAGCAGGCTCCCTGCTGAGCAGAGAGCCCGATGCGGGGCTCGATCCCAGGATTCTGAGATCATGACCTGAGCCGAAGGCAGCGGCTTAACCCACTGAGCCACCCAGGCGCCCCTAAATAGTATAATTTTTAAACATTCCTCTATTTTTCAATATTTGTGTGATTTCCAAATTCTCAACATTATAAATTAATATTGCTATGAGAATTTTCAAGTGCATGAATTCTTTCTCTGAGATTATTTCCTCAGGTTAATTTAGCAGCAATAATGCTTCTCTGAATTTATTGCAAAACCACTTTCCAGTTTATGCTTCCATTGTATGAAATGTTAACATTATTTTCCATGTATTTCTTTATCAGCAAAATGGAACATTTTTCCAAACATAGTTTTATCCCCCTTCATAAAATTTTGAAATCTTTTAGGTAGAGGTTGTAATACTACTTTTCAAGACCTCCTAATTTAATTATTCCTTTTATATATATTATTTGGAATTCTACTGTAAGGAAGAGCTCTCCCTTGTTCCATATTACTTAATTTATGTGTCAATCCATGGATTTTTGTTTGACTCAGTGGTTTGTAATCCATCACTATAATTATTGTAATGTTCAAATTGTTCTAGGTTTGGCCCGTAGGAGCCCTGTACTCATTCCTTATATTATTATTTTCTAATATTTGAGGTGTATAATTTCATGATTTCTTATTTATACTATTTTTCATTGTGTGAAAGGCTAAATATTTTTGCAGTGTCAATCTGTTTATAACTTGTAATTTGCTCAATATCTCTTTACAAGTTTCCTAGATGTGTTAAGTTGTAAAATTCAGTTAGATTGTTCAGTTAGATTGTTAGATTTTTTTATGGCATAGGGTTTATTTAAGACTAATTTTTCCAGGTTGCTAAGGAGTCTTTCAAACAAAATTTGTGAAATCATTATTTCTCATTGTTCTGTACACCTGGTTTGCCATACAGCACAGCACCTATTCTCTTTGAGGTGTATGCTTTTCAAATAAAATTTTAAATATTTAAAGGAAAATTCAACTGGAATCTTGAGGATATGGAGCTAATTGGATGGCTGGATGAATACTAAGATTCTTAACAACAGTTAGCCTTCTCTAAAAGGAATTGGGCATTTATTTCCTTTCCTGATTTCTTTTAGATTTTTCAGCTTTATAGTTTATGTATATTATTTACAACACAGAGCTAATCAAATATATGAAACCTACTTTTGTTGTTTTTGTGAATGACCTCTTTTGTTTAAGTTCCACTGATGTAGTTTTATAACTTGGGAGTAAGCATAAAGTTATACAAGTAGTGATATAAAGTAGGGCACTGAGGACATAATTTAATTTTCTGGTCCTAGCAAGAATCAAGTAAGTAGTGTGCCAGTTGTAGAGACTAGCTAGGAAAGAAAATACATTCAGGAAGGGAGCAAGAGAAAGAAAGCAAAGGATGGTGTTTATAGAGAATTGTAGAATTTCTTGGAATGATGATATCCAGCTTAGGTCACTAACTAGAAAGAATAACATCAGAAATAATAAATGATCATCACAAATATTCCTTCCTAAATATTTTAAAAGCTTTAAAATTACATGTAGGGTGCCTAGGTGGCTCAGTCATCAAGCGTCTGCCTTCGGCTCAGGTCATGATCCCAGAGTCCTGGGATAGAGCCCCACATCACGCTCCTCGCTCTGTGGGAAGCCTGCTTCTCCCTCTCCCACTCCCCCTGCTTGTGTTCCCTCTTTCGCTGTGTCTCTGTCAAATAAATAAAATCTAAAAAAATAAAATAAAATAAATAAAATTACATGTAAATTGAAGAGGAAAAAAAGATGCTGGGAATCAATACATTTACAACCTGAGGTTATGGGGTAAAATAAAACTACTAAATAGAAGATTTAAGGGGTGCCTGGGTGGCTCAGTAGGTTGAGCAGCTGCCTTTGGATCAGGTCATGATCCCAGGGTCCTGGAATTGAGCCCCGCATCAGGCTCCCTGCTTGGAGGGAGCCTGCTTCTCCCTCTCCTTCTGCCTGCCACTCTATCTACTTGTACTCTCTCTCTGTCAATAAATAAAGAAATCTTTAAAAAAATAGATTTAAGTATTTTAGAAATTATGTATAATTTCTTCTAAATGACTATTTACCTAAAAGAGTCAAATCCTATATAAGATTGTTCAAAATCAGAGGCTTAAAATAAAAAACCTGGAGACCAGAAGTCAAGATGATAAAGTCCTTAAAATAAAAGCTATTTTTCATTTGATAAATCAGTAGGTTTTCAAAACATTAAAATAATCACATTAATTTGAAGATGAATCAAACCCAGTCTGAATATTCTAAACATTTATTTGCATGAGCCCAAGATGAATTTATAAAACTTCTTCTTTAACATGGCAATGCCCATTCTCACTAGTCATGTGATTCCTAGCCCAGTAGGAAAAATTCATTAAAATAAAGTTTAAACTTAAAGATAGTAACAGGAACAGATTCAGAATGTAAGTAACTGGCCTAGGAGTCACTGGAGATCTGTTGAGACCTTCCAGTTTGCTTAGACTATGCAAACAGTATAAACAGTTACAGCACTTACCTTTCAATGTGGCCTTCTTCAATACTTTCATGGCATAAAGCTGTCTAGCATCAGAGCCTGAGATTTTTTTGACTAAAAAAACCTGTATTTAAATGAGAGAGAAAATAAGTTTTACAAAGTATCACAAACTATGCCACTGTTAAAAGTAAAACCCTTCCAGTAATACTGTGTATTACTAAAGAGATTCCGTTATGCCGTAGATGCTTATTTTTCTCATATATCAATTATAAATACAATGAGTCGTAAACAGTGGTAATAATTTGGGGTGTCAACATAAGTGAACATATTGATTTCTTTCTTTTTGTTGTCTGCCAATTCCCAAAAAGCACGTAACTATAAGACACAAAAATCTTTGAATTGTGTAATCAGATAAAAGTCCAACATGTTTAAGGTATAACATAAGTGGTCATTGCTCTGCTTTTAACAAAATAAAAATTCTTTTGATCTGATAAAAATTGTCATACAGGAGTGCCCCTGGACCACAATTTTCCATTGATACAATTAATCACTGATAACTGGTCTTTTCTATGTATGAAAACTGCACATAAATTTCTCATAGCTGGGAAGAACAATTTAAAACACACTGAAAAAGCCTATTCACAACTATTTAATGTGACTCAAGACAGAACCCTACAATTCGATCTTTGAAAAATCAAATTATTACATATACCTAAATATGAAGAACACAGTTCCTACGTATGTTACTGAGCCTCTTGATTTTCCAAATTATTTTTAGCTGCTTTCAAAATCTAGTGTGAAATTTATGCAAAATGAATAAAGCCTGCTCTACATAATTCACAGTCATGCTATAACATGGCTAATACAAAACTATACATCTTTCCTGTTCATTTTGACCATTAGGTCTGTGATCCTTTTTTAAAGTTTTTATTTCAATTCCAGTTAGTTAACATACAGTGTAATACTAGTGTCCGGTATACAGTATAGGGACTCATGATCTTTTTCATTCAATCTTAAACATACTCACTAAATGGACCTGAATTTCAACTTTTTTTCTTCTAACTATTCTTTCCCAGCAGTTGCTATTGAGTTGCCACAGATGGGAAGAGAAGCAATTATAATCAAGAATTTAACTTTCAGGTCAGCTCTCAATTATCTGCCTTAGCATGCCAGGCTATTAGCAAAAATCAAAAAATGCTACATCCAACAGATTCTAGGGCGAGGCATTCTCATTTTGAGAAACTGTGCCAAAGGTGATTGGCAATGACCTCCAAAGTTTAGTGAAGAGCACCACAACCTGCACAGAAACCTGGATGCACTGTGTGTTCCTCTCCCCAAATCACTCCCTCTTGTCCTTCTATGATGCCCCACCCTTTAGTTCCTTTTAGCCAGTTAGCAGTGAGCTAAACTAGGGAGAAAAAAGCATTCTTAATCAGGTTCCTAAGATGGAATGATGTTCACATGTTAAAGGTAATCAGATTATTAATATTTTTTTAAAAGATTTTATTTATTTATTTGACAGATCACAAGTAGGCAGAGAGGCAGGCAGAGAAGAGAGGAGGAAGCAGGCTCCCTGCTGAGCAGAGAGCCCGATGTGGGGCTCAATCCCAGAACCCTGGGATCATGACCCAAGCCGAAGGCAGAGGCTTTAACCCACTGAGCCACCCAGGTGCCCCTATTAATATTTTTGAACATAAATAAATTCTAATTAGGTGGAGATAATTAGGATTTATTTGGTATTTATTCTTAAGATTCCCTAATCAAGCTTCTTTGTGCCATTCCACAAGAGAAATTCTCCCTGTGGATTCCAAACCTTTTTCACCCTTCTTTGAAAGTACCTTAACACTTTTCAGCACTTCTTGGTTTGCAAAGGACCTTCACAAGCATTTGTAATACATCATCATGATAATTTTGGGAGACAGGTGGACTAAGGAATGCCTATTTATAGCTGCCCAAGCTAGGGCTTAGAGAGGTTAAATAATTTGACTAGTGTCACAGTGGAGGTACTGAACAAGAATCGGGCCACCACCCAGTTCTGTGCCCTTGCTCAGGCACTCTTCATCTGTTCCCTCTGGCAGGTCACCAGTTAAGGGAAGCAGAAGCAGCAGTGGTCCAAGATGCCATTGGATCTTCCCCAGCCAGAGCATTCATGACCTTTCGAACCCCCCATGAAGCTATTCTAAGCTCTGACAGGTCATCCCTGTTTCCTTGGCTTACATGGGCTTTTTAGGATGAGTAAGAAAGGAGACGCCCTATTTTTAATGTTTGCTATTTATAGTAAGGTATTTAAGTTACTTTTAAAGAAATAAAGGGAGATGCATGCTAACTCCTGGCAACTTTAAATATTGTGTTCCCTAAAAATCTAACGTATAAAAAGAAACCAGTCTATTTGGGTTTATCCATAATATGACTGCATGATAATACAATTTCATAGCAGATATTATGTGCTTGGTCTTTTATTATTTGATTCTCACTCCTAACCTATGAGGTCAGGACTATTATTTACTCATTACTTCTTTCCAGAATTATATGCTAGGTACTGTGCTACTAGCTCAATGCTAAGACATGGTACAAAGCATGTCTCCTGCACTCATGGAAAGAACACAGAGTCTAGTGGAGGAAATAGCCATTGAGCAGTTACACACATGAAAAACTGCAATTGTGGTGAGTGCTGCGAAGATGAGGTATATAATGTTCTGACAGGGTAAAACAGAATTTGACTTAGAGTGGCAGAGAAGACTTCTTTGAGATCATAAACATGAGAGGTGCTAGTTAAGATGAGGAAAGGGTGGGGTGAGGTGTTTCACGAAGTGGAAATCGCATGTGCAAAGGCTTTCTATTGGGATGGAGCCAGGTGCTTAAAGACTGGAAAAAAAAGGGCCAAGGTAGCCAGAACATGGATAGTGAAAAATACATAAAGTGGTGCTTTTCAGGTAACTAGGCACCAGAACAAGGGGTTCCTCAGCCATCTTAACAGTATGTTTTTATCCTAAAGGCTTAAAGGAAGCTACTGAAGTGTAAGATTAGCTCTTGGTGGCTGTCACGTAAATAGTGGCTTGAGGAAAGAACAAATTTAGTTCTAGTTAGGGGCCTCCTTCAACACCCGAAGGAGAAATGGGGGTGGCAAAGACTTCAGGAGTAGCAGTGGAGAAGGAGAGGACAGGCACGATTTGAGAAATCTTTACTAAATCAATAGGACTTGCTGATAGTTCATACTTGGTGGGGAGAGGCAAGAGAAAAGACAGGCAGTAGAAGGTAGGTCAAAAATGTCTCCCAAGTTCCTGGCTTGCTTAACTGGATGCCATTCAGAGTTGCAGAGAAAAATGAAACAGGACAGGTTGGCAGGTGCAGGGGAAAATCCTGACTTTGGTTGTAGAGATGTTGAGTTTAAACTGCCTTTGAATCATGTGAAGAGAACAAAATATGCAGCTGTGCATAGAGTTCAGAGGTTAGAGGCATGATCTAGATTGGAGAGAGAAATCTGTCAGGACAGCTGTATATGGGTTATAATTATGATAGTGGGCATAGAGAAAATAATTAGTGGGAGGAGGAGTAGTAGTTAGTAGTAGGAGAAGGCAGCCTAGAATGGAATCTTGAGGGATTTCAATACTTAATGACTGGCTGGAAGAGGAAAATGGGGCTTGGAGAGGTTAAGTAACTTGCTCAAGCACATGTAACAAGTAGAAGAAAAAAAAATCAAATCCATATCTGGCTGACCGAGAGCCCAAACTTGCAACCATCACATTCTACTGTCTACTTAACCAATATTTGAAATAAAAGCATCACTTTGGGTTTAAAGGAGGTTAACAGTTATAATAAATTACCTATATTAGCCAGGAACTGCTAAATAGTCCCCCTAAAACACACAAGGAAGCTAAAGTGGTGTTGTTTTGGAGCTTGCAGACCGTATTATCTTCAGATATTTCCTCACGGGGAGGTGGTAAGCAAGCACTGCAATGTGAAAGTTGAATGCAATCTCAGAATCTTCCTCTTACTGAGAAACAGAATAGTTAGATCAAATAATAGTAATCATAATATTGTACTTCTCGAAATGGAGGAGAGAAAATGCTCCTAAGGTATGCAGCAGGGGGATAAGGAATATTTGAAGCAAAATGATGAAGATGTTGCATCTTCAGGAGCACTTTTAGTTGGTGGCTTTGTGAAACATTTTTGATGTTAAAGACAAACATGGGTATCATTGATTAGAATGTAACCTCGACATTCATTTTAATTAATTAATAAAATTATTTATTTATTTGTTAGAGAGAGAGCAAGAGAGCATGCGGGAGCACAAGCAGGGTGAGTGGCAGGCAGAGGGAAAAGCAGGGTCTCTGCTAAGCAAAGGAGTCCAACGTGGGACTTGATCCCAGGACCCTGGGATCATGACCTGAGCTGAAGGCAAACGCTTGACTGACTGAGCCACCCAGGCATCCCTTTTATATTCAGTTTCAAGACAAGTTGTAAATCTCCAAAATTTTATACTCATAGCGGTAATCCTCCTCCCCTAATTCCTTGGGAGTAACCATTCACTTTCTGCTGGTAGTAGGGATATTCTGGAGGAAAGATTAAAATACACTGTTATAATGTACTTGGCAAGATCACCTTCCGTATCTACATGAGGACTCAAAAAGAGTATAAAAAAGTGTACCAGGGGAATAATTTTTGATTTTTAATCATTTGCAAAGTGTACAAGTCACATGCTCTTGAAGAGAAAACAAATATGAAGTGATTAGTGCCAATTTACAGAAGTTTCCAGTGTACTTTTGAATGATTTTATTCACTTTCTCACACTTATTGACAGTGAGAAATGTAAAAACAGAAACAGGGGCGCCTGGGTGGCTCAGTGAGTTAAAGCCTCTACCTTCGGCTCAGTCATGGTCTCAGGGTCCTGGGATCGAGCCCCGCATCGGGCTCTCTGCTCAGCAGAGAGCCTGCTTCCCCCGCTCTCTCTGCCTCCCTCTCTGCCTACTTGTAATCTCGCTGTCAAATAAATAAATAAATAAATAAAATCTTAAAAAAACAAACAAACAGAAACACTGCTTGTACGGAGATTGGTAATATTTCATAAAATAGTACCATTCTCCGTCTGTCTGAAATACACACAAATTCCAAGAAACAACTTTTAAAAAACAAACACTCATGACTTACCTTTCCAAATGATCCCTGCCCTAATACTTTTAAAAGTTCAAATTGGGAAGGATCTGCCTTTTCATGTCCTTCTTTTACATGATGTGTGATTGCAATTTCTTTGATACTGCCTTCTTCCTGTCGAAGCAAATATAAACAGAAAAAAGAGAGTTAGAGACACTTTCTCCAGCTATAAACCAAGAAACATAAATTTAGCATTATCATATTAGAAATCCTCAAATTATTATTTGGTTTTTCAAAGTAAGCTCTATGTCCAGTGTGGGACTTGAACTTGTGACCCCAAGATCAAAGGTTACATGCTCTACCAACAGAGCCAGCCACAAAACCCTGCAAATATACTTTCAAGTTAAATGTCAAAGAGAATGATACCAGCCCACTGCATAGACCACTTTAACCTCTACTTAACATTAGCACTGAGTATTTCCAAGTCTTCAATTCTTCCTACTGGAGATAATTAAAATAGCTTCATGGGGTGAAGGCAGAGGATGTAAAGAAGTCTGAAAACACAACAGAGTAATCTGCTGTGTTCTGACATGTGCTTGTATTAGGTAAAACCAATCACACACACACACACACACACACACACACACACACACACACACACAGAGTTGTGTTTACTGGGGAGTGGGGTTGAAAAATATTCCAAGGCAAACATGGAGATTTCTACCCTCAGCAAGGCCATTTGGATCCGTATGCTATTCTGTTGGAAATATGTAAGTTACTTTGTTTCTACAACTACTTGAGAACTAAACAGGGAGAAAGAGTTAACTCTAAGACACAAAATGAAAAAAGATTTAACATTTGGAATGGAGAATTAGACACAAAAAAGTTACTACTCAGCATAATGGAACAATGGAAGGTCTTAGGGTTAAGGGAAGGATTTTTAGACAGTGGATGTGTCAGTAAACCTGAGGGAAAGCATCAGAAAGGGAGAAAGGTTGAAAATATATGTATGTATACACAGAATTTCAATTACTTATTCCCTCTGGGATTAGTAGATAAAGTACACCTTATTTAATCAAGAACTATATACTATGTTATAGCCAAAAACTACAATAAAACAAAACCAGAAATATATGCCTGTCAAAGACCATTTTTCTTTTTTGCCTATGTTATTTTTTCCTAGTGTCTAAGTATTATTAGTAGAATCAAAATATGTTGTACAAAAATAATTCATTGTTTTTATTTATTGTTGTTTTCCACATGCATGTTTGAGCTCAATTAACATTTTCTGAGATAGAATGTTGGCTATATATGGAATTACAAAGATTTCTCAAAAAGATACACTGGTCTACTAATATGGCAGGTTCTGAAAAATGAGGAGTGAAAGAAAATCTCTTGTAGGACAAAAAAAGGAATCTAGGCCCACTATTTTACTCTGTAAGACAGACGTTTATAGACTGTGATAATTAATACTCAAGCAGCTTCAACATTTTGGAGGCTCTCAGAACTGTGGCAACAACAAAACAATCCCTCAATATGGTTTAGTCCTTTATTTTGTAATTTCATGTGTACTATCTCCTTTATTTTTCACAACCATCCTGTGCAGGTGTTAGGGTAGAATCAAGCATTACCTGACTCTGAGACTCTACCCCCCTTCCTGTGCACCCCTTCTCTGCAAATGAGACCGGTTGGTGGGTGTACAAGGGCTTCAGAGTGACAGCTATTTGTACCTATATTAGGAAAGGCAGGAAGCAAATTACCAAATTCTTTAAAGAAAACTTTCAAAGAATAATGTATGTGTGAAAATGGTTATATCCAGCAAACATTTATTAAGTACCTACCATGTACCAAGCCTGGGTTAGGTGCTTTTTCACCTTTTATATTTCCTGCTTCATAACAAACCTTGTTAGAGAGGGCTGGTAACAACAGGGTGGGGTATACCTCAGAGCAAGCAAAAACATCTCAGAATTCTCTACAGACTCCCCCATTCATCACTAGAAATTTGACAGACCTTTTAAAGGCCAAATGGTCTGAATACAGTTTGAAGTTTAAAGAGATTAAGTACAGATCACAAGCCAATAACTGGCAGACTTATGGATCAATTCCAGGTTCTGACTTCTAATGACTTCTAAAACAAGGGTCTTAGCATTACACCATTCTGAGACTGTCAGAGGCTTCTGTGGTTCCCCATCCAAGATCAATGACAGGAACATACAAACTTATTCCCTTGATCCTTTTAACTGGTCTGTTTCTCTTGGGTCAGTTAGCTACAGTGATTAGAGAAATGTTTTTGAACTTTTGGTAGCATATCTTCATCAGTTAAAAAAAAACTAGCATATACCCAATATTTATATGCTTATTGATTTTGAAATTATATATACTTTTTTGTATTACTGAATTATATACATTATACATGGAAATGAAACTAAAAGGAAGTTCTCCTCTTTCTTTTCTGTAACCCAAAGTGCTGTCACGTCGCACTTAAAAGACTAGTAGATTACAGACTTAAACTCAAAAGGCCAAGGTCATGGGTTGGATTCTAGCATGTGCCAGTCAGCCTACTATGGAAAAAACTATCTGTTCAAGAGCCTAACTGGAATCTAACAGCCATTTATGCCTTTAAATCATGAGGCTGTGAAGAACTATACTCTATATAACATTCCATATGTCTTATCAGTTTTCTTTTTTGGGTAAGTGGGATGTAATTTTAGGCTGCAATATTGTTTCATCTTTTATTTCATAAGAATACTATAATTAATTGTCACAAATATGCAACACAGGCAGGGAACGATCACTGAATTATAAAATGTTTTGCATTTTGCAGCAGTCATACAGGATCAAGTCTTACTCTCATAAGGAGAGCTACAATCAGGTCACAGATCTCAAAATAAACAGCAGTAACTATTCAAGAAAGATTTCATCTTGGATGACTACCCTTCTTTTCCTCTCACGTCAAACAAGTTACCAAAAAACAGAATCTCCCTTTGATCCCTTCATTCAACAAACATATACTAAAACATCTACTATGTATCAAACATGGTAATGGGAATGTCCTTTCTTTCCTCCCCACGCCCCCACCATTTCCAGCAGCATCACCAGGTAAAATTCTTCATTACCTTTCCTGTGGAAAACTGAAACTAGCTTGGTTACTTGTAATGCCCCTTTGTGCCACTGCCAGTCCACTTCATCCTCCTGACAAATTCATTTTCTGAAAGGAGATAGCTCCAGTCATATGACCAGACTGCCCAAAAACTCCTTCTAAGTTTTCCTAAATTAAATGCACTGCTTCCCCTTGGCATGTAAAGCCCTCTACAATAAGGCTGCAACTTAGTTTTATGGTATTATCTCCCAACATTGCCTTACATGTAATCTTTTGTCCACTGGGTTATTTCCTGTTCCTTAAACATTTTGTTTTTAAAATTAAATATGTGCACATGGATGACCAAATCAAATAGTGACAAAATACCCTATTATGAAAAGCAAGTCTCCTCTCACCCCCAAACCTAGGCTTTTTAAAAAAGTTCTTTCTGCATTTGATAATTTCTTGGTTTATTAACTTTAAGACAATGCCTGCTGATTTAAAAATAAGATGAAGGATTCACTCATACCTCTTTCATCATCTTCTTCCCCACTATTTGATAACTGTATTGCTTTTACATGAATTTCTCATCTTTTCTATTAGTTTTGGATAGAATCCTAACTTCTCACCTCATTTGGTTTTCAAGATTTATTATTTATTTGAGAAACTATGTGTGCAACGGAGGAGGGGGCACAGGCAGAGGGGGAGAGAGAATCTCAAGCAGATCCCCCTCCAAGAACAGAGTCTGATGTGAGGCTCAGTCTCATGACTCTGAGATTATGACCTGAGCTGAAACCAAGAGTTGGACACTTAACCTACTGAGCCACTTAGGTACCCCCTAACTCCTCACTTTATAAAAGGAGGTTAACAGTGCCTATACGGACACACTTGGGTGGCTCAGTCAGTTAAGCGTCTCTGCCTTTGGTTCAGGTCATGATCCTAGAGTCTTGGAATTGAGTCCCGTATCAGGCTTCTTGCTCAGTGGGGAGGTTGCTTCTCCCCCTGCCTGCTGCTCCCCCTGCTTGTGCTATCTGACAAATAAATGAATAAAAAGAATCTTTAACAAAAAATAGTGCCTGTATTTCCCTAACCTGCTAGCTATATTTTTACGTTTTTATTAATATTGAGAAAATTAATTATCTCCTGTAACCACAACCAAACCCTTCATATTATCTCCACCACCTGATTTTAAAAGCAGAAGTCCCATATACCAGCATTCACATTTTTATGACAATATATTGTTTAAATGCAGGCTAGAAAGTACATTAAATTTCCTTTTATACAGGCCCATAATAGTGACTTCCAAGACAATCTGAGGGGACTTAAAAAAGAAAACAAAACAACACTTCATCAAATGCTTAAATTCATGATACATTTTACTTTGAGTTCTATTGGGACCACGAATTTTTTAAAAAGATTTTATTTATTTATTTATTTATTTGACACACAGGAAGAGAGATCACAACTAGGCAGAGAAGCAGGCAGAGAGAGAGGAGGAAGCAGGCTCCCTGCTGAGTGGAGAGCCCAATGTGGGGCTCGATCCCAGGACCCTGAGATCATGACCTGGGCTGAAGGCAGAGGCTTAACCCTCTAAGCCACCCAGGCACCCTGGGACTATGAATTTTTTTTACATGTTTTTCTTTATTTCCTGTTTCTAACAGCCCCGTCATTCCTGGGGGGAGGGAAAGGTTAATTTGACCATTAGTCTTAATTTTTCCTTAACTCTTTACCACACTTCCCATTCTTCTGAGAGCCCTCTCCTACCCCCCCCCCAACAGGAACGATTGTTTTCTAGGCCTTGCTGTACAGCTATTACCTCCAGGTATCTCTTCTGGGCTTTCCTGGTTAAACCCACTATTCTCAGTTTCCCATACCCTTCTCTTTCTTAGATTACTACCCTGTTAACTTCCTAAGAAAAGTGATGTGGAAAAAAATTTTCTGAACCTTGCACATCCGAAGATGTCTTTATTTTGTCTTCACATTTGTATAGTTTGGCTTGGTACCAAATTCTATAGAATAAAAACAGTCTGGCCTTGAACACTGACATTAATGGCCCATTGCCCTCTAGCAGCCAGGACTGCTACTGAGATGGGTG